GATGATTGTTAATTGATGTCTTTTTGATTCGCAATGGAACGTCCTTGGGAGACTTTTTTGTCACGGCGAAGACCAATTGGGAAAAATGAGAAGGTGGAGATAAATTTGGGGAAGGTAAATTTAAAAATAAGCCGGCGATCTCTGTATATTCCAAGACGTTTGAGCTTTCGTTAAGTGATATTTTAGGGCAAACTTTATTTTACATTGGGCAAGTAGTAATGCACACTCTGAGATGGATTTTGAAAAAAAAAATTCATCTGTTTGGGTGCACTTGACCTGTTACGACCGGTTCATAATCATCTGTAATAGATGTAAACATTAACTTCATAAATCATAGATCCGTTTACGTATGCGTGCAAACCGTAGTGATCCAACGTGATTCTCATCTTTACGAAAACCCAATCACCTGTGCTTGCTTACTTTAGTTCTAAGCTTCAATTGGCTGATTGACTTTCCTTGGAGATGCATGATTTTTCGTTTCCTCTCACTAGACTAGTTAATTTCGTAAAAATAACAGTAAAAGTAAACGTAGGGCGAAAGGAATATTGAAACATATAAAACGACTAAATTACTTGTGGCAAAACTTCTACCATGGTCACCGGTCGTTTCGCCTACGGGTCGTTTCGTCTAACTTCTATTCGCCTACGTCTAGAGATAACAATCAAAACATTAATTTATAAAGTCCCACCTCCTTTGGTGTAGGCCGCTCGAGTCACAAGTAAACACAAAGACCGTAAACGGTGGTTCATCTCAATATTCAGTTTTTCTGCGAAGTTCAACAAGGACTTTTCAACAATTCAGTTTTGACATATGAATCGTTGGCGAACTGACATGTTGAACGTAGGCGAACAGACGGTAGGCGAAACGTCCGTAATTCCTTCTACCGGCTATGGAAAGTACAATTGAAGTTGTTGGTGGCCTCAGAAACGTTAATCAATAAGACATTTCGGTACCCAACGAAGTACCCGGGTTTGGAAGTTTGTTTCGTGAAGGTGCACTTTCCGCGATCGATTGTGGGTAGAGAGAGACCAAAGAAATCGAAGTGATGAATAAGAATTCAGATGTGAATACAGTTAAACGGTCTAAAGCATGGGAAAATGGCAGTGACATAGTTAACAAATAGATTCCAAGTTGCCGTGCGTCTGTTCAGTAATAGATCACAGATGACATCAAAATGTGGTAAGAACAAAAAAGTGGCACACGAGGCGCAGCCGAGTGTGTCACTAATGTTCTTACCACATTTTGACATCCTCTGTGATCTATTACTGAATAGACGCACGGCAACTTGGAATCTATTTGTTTTATATAATAAAGAATTTTAAAAAGTTTTAATGATGACGTCATCTATACGTCTGTCCTCCAATAGATCATAAGTGAGAACCAATCAGAATGCGTGCATAACTGAGCTTATTATATAATTCATGTTAGTTTTACTATTAGCCTATCACAGCGGATGGTGTGATAATGCCCATGCCGTGAATCATGGATAGATCTCGACATTCAAATGTAAATTGTTCTAATCAATTTGTCAGTCATGTTTACTTGACGTTGCATACCCCAGGTATTAAACACGGTTTTTTACTCAAGAACTCAAATAATTGTATCAAAACATACAAATTTTGGTTGCTAAATCATGGTAGATCATCGATGCCGGATTATTCCGCCTACAATTTTAGGCCGTACATTGTAAGCTGGAATTGTTAGTGATAAAGATAAACAGTGCAGAATCCTTTTTTTCGATTTTATGAAATGTTAGTCCATAGCTTAACTATTTCACTTACTTTTGTAGCAACTGATCGAGTGACCAGCCATGAGCGACGAGCAGTACAAGTCTTTGTTGATCGTAAACGAATCAAAGGATGCTAGCATCACACTCTACATTTATGTCAGTTGTGATTTATTATGTTGGATGTCTTTCCGCTCCAAAATTATCCTTCCAGGCGAGGAATACTTGTATCGCAGTAAAGATTCCTTCAAATTCAAGCTCGTTGCAAGATTTGAAGACAAATCTAAGCAAACACTGTTGAAACCCAAAACTTGGGTTGCAGACATACTCCTCAAAGTTACCGAAGACCTCCGTCTGAAAGAGGGAAAGCTAGAAGATTTTCCATCAGAGAAACGAGTATGTCTTCGTAAACTTCAAAGAGACAAAAAAATAAAAACCACAAGTGGAAAACGAAACCTGTACGCGATTCTAGGACTAGACATTGATCAGATTCGCCATATGCCAAGAGAGGAGCAAAGAGAAGCGATCAAGAAGGGATTCCGTGAACAAATAAAACGATGGCATCCCGACAAAAATTTTGGCAACGAAGACAAAGCAAAGGAGGTCATTATGGCGTGGGTCGTTTTATTAGATGACGAGAAGCGTGCTCGGTACCACAACGAGGCTGATTACCACAAAGGTTGGCTGTCCCCTCAAGATGGAGGGCGATTTTCAATCCGGAACGATTCACAATAGAGCAGAAGAAAGCCTACAAGAAAAGGATGAAAATGTTTGCTGTGTCGCTAGGAACTGGAATTGTAGGAGTTGTCCTGATTGCTGTCACTGCAGGCTTAGCAGCCCCAGCGGTAGTAGCTGCTGGAGGTGTCTTAGGTAGTGCACTGGCCGGAGCTGGTTTTCAATCACTGCAGCAGACCGTGGATGGGAAGTCCGTTGTGACTGAAGAGTGCGATACTAAACAGTGGTTGTTGAAAGCGGGGATTGGATTTGTTTCTGGGGCAGCAATTGGAGGTGCTACAGTAGGCATCACAGCAGGTGTAGCAGGCCTTGGAAACAGTGTCATGAAGTCTGCAGCTTTGAAGATGGGTCAAAGCATAAAGATTGGAGCAGGAACCGGTTCCGTTGGTGGAGCTGTGTCATCCGTTGCCTCAGATGTCGGGAGAAAGTTTGTTGATGGAGAAGAAGTCACATTGAAGCAGGCAGTTTGTCACGTAGCCTTTGGTGCTTCCATTGGTGCTGCTGCAGGAATAGCAGGAGGTGCTTTCTCCAAAGCTTTAGTAGGTGGCCAGTCATCAGCAGCAACTGCTAATCTCGAAGTCGAGGTCGGAGAACAGATTGCGGTACTGACTGGTGCAAGACGTGTCGCCAATGTTCTGGCTAAGAACATTCCTCGAGCCTTGACGGAGTCTGGAACCGAAGCAGTGATGGGAACAGCAGCTCAATTTGTCGAGGAGCGCCTAGATGATTCTGTGGAAAATCAAAGCCTGGGACAACATCTTAGCAGGGGAGCTGCGAATTTTACTTTCAATGCTCTCAAAGTCGGTGTTCGAGAAACCGCCACTGGACTTGTTTCTCACATGAAAAACGAAATCAAAGTCTTAAAACGAGTAAAAAAGTACTCGAACGACGATAAAAGCGTGAGGCTTGGTAACAAAAGAGTAGAGAGAGTAAAACTTTATTTGGAAAATAACGAGCATCTAGTCAAATATGAAGAAAGCTCTTGTTCAGCAACCTATCATCCTCTGGAATCTGAAGAGCTGTTGAAGGACAAAACGTACCCATTGCCTACAATCTACGAAGAAGCTGACGTCCCTAGCGAACAAATGGATCCCCTGAGTGCAAACGAGTATGTGAACCCCGTGGTCGATATTGATGGTGAAGTTGGCCTGAATGACTCTCGTGGTCAGGTGAAACATGAACGCTTTGAAGAAAACAAAGAGCATCTCATCAAATTGGGAGAAAGCGCATGTTCCCCAACCAATCAACCCTTGGAATCAGACCAACTGTTGGAGAACGAAACCAGTCCACTGCCAGTGGTCAGTGAAGAGGCTTGCGTCCTTGAAGAACACGAATCAGATCAACTAGAAGATATGGAGATCAAATATATATCTGAGGGGGCTTGGACCTCTAGAATGATTGTCAGTTTCTTTCTTGATGGCAAGAAAACTACGCAACCAGTGTCAGGGAGCGGAAAATTCGTCACCATTCCTTCTCGTGCAAAAGATATTGAAGTCAAATTTCAAGTGAGGCGACCATTCTGGGGTGACGTCATGAAGTATAATCGCTTTAGAGAGGCCTGGTTTCGACCTTATGAGCCGCATGTCTTCAGGTACGACAAACCTACTAACCGTACGTTTACCATTAGCGGCAATCTGTGGTGGGAAGCTGTTATGGGAGTCACCAATGAATACCATGATGAAACAAAGGAACTGTGAGGTTTCTGTAAAACTTTTAGAACATTGAACTATAGATTAGCTTCGAGTAGTGACCAGTTTCCAAAACACCTGTGCACTGTGAGTAAAGTAACATCGAAGTTTGATCCTGATTTGCTCACTAAAAGATGATTCTTATGACAAAAGAAAGTAGGTTAGTTTAGTTTTGTAAACAAATCATATATTTTCAGGGACGGTAAATCCTGGTTTTAGTGAACGGCAGCGTTTAATTTATGCAACAAAGCGTTCTTGGAGATCAAGTCATTCTTCCAGCTTAATGTTCATCAAACAAGGAACCTCTTATCTATGTTAATTTAAATCCGCAAATTGCTTTGCATTCAATAGTAAATGACCGCTCCAATGAGTGTTTAAGATCCGCTCCTATTGGTAGAACCGCTGTGAACAAATAGACGCATTGTTTTTGCAGTAACTTTGGATTAATCGTACATCTTTTGTAAGAAAGCGTCGTCTCAGTCGTCAGACAGCGATTATGATCAGATCATTTCGTCGGAGAGAACTGAGATCACTGAACTTATTTGCTTTTGAACTCAACCTCTAATTGTGTCCAACTCTTTAACGGAGGATATGAAGTGTTTTTGAATTTTACTAACATGCACTAATGGAGGCAGACGAAAGAATCGATGAGAATTTGGATCACGAAAGCTGTGATAACGAAGACAGCGTTTTCTCGGAATCAGGATTTGAGGATTTAATTTGTAAGTATCCGACATACATTTTTTTTCATGTGGCTTGAGATCCTCAGCGAATGATTTAATCTTTCGGTGTGAGAAGTTAAGTAGACATCTGTAGCTACGTGACAGTTTCGATTACGATTATAGATTTGCTTATCCCTTATTTCATAGCTCAGCTCAATGTTTGCAATCACATTTAGAATTTATAGAAAAGTGGGAGACATGTTTAGTTTTGGCATATCATGAATATAAGTTCAGATTTCTATACAGCTCCAAAGTAAAGTAATCTCTCGCTGTAAACTATATTCAATTTTCTGAGAGAGGGTTAGAGGCCTTAAGTCAACAATACATACGATGTAGAGTTTTGAGAAAATATCTTTTTTCGATGCTTTTTTTTTGCATAAAACAACTCTAAACATGCATTTTGGCGTTGTCAAATGTTTGTCGTAACGTTTAGTTGCAACTGCTACTGTTATACGTTGATTTTTTGAGCGGATAAGATAATTAAAAAGACAAATATCAACGATTTTGCGTTGTAATCAGTATGAAAATAAATATGCATGCCTGTGTTTACTTATAATTTCAACGCTCCAGCTGGTTTATGAACAAAACGTGTCTATAGTTACTCCTCTACCATGAACGAAAAGCGTGCGCGCCTGCACATAGCAGGTAAGCACGTGTTTAGTATCATGCACATCAGTCAATCAGTACATCGATAAACCTATGTAAAGGCTAAACTATAAATAAATATGATAGCTGCCCTACAGATTAAGCAGATCACTGCCATCAATTGTTGCGGATCGATCGAGCACGTAATAACGATTTAACTTTTTTTTGTTTTAATTTCCAAGCAAGACTAGCGCTTAACATCTAATTATTGTAAATATGTATATCACTTTCCAACTGAAATGTGAGCAGTACAAAATTAAAAAACTGCATGGGCTTATGTGCTTCAGAAAGACGTCGAGTTATAACCGCTTCGCGTAAATTGGACTGGGTACCGATTTCTGCCTATAACTGGTTATACGCTTCCAAGGGTAACAGCCATTCGCTTGGCTCTGATGATGAATTCCGCTCAGGCTGTCGAAACGTCAGTCACCGCTACCGACATCAGACTTTTGCGGGACTACACTCACGATCAAACTACACTTTCACATAATTGGTAATGGTGTTTTTTGTTCGGACAAGTAAGCTCAAATTGTTTCCTCTGTCAAGTGCCTTGAGAATCTTTTTCTGGAAGGAGGGAGCGCCATGCGAGTCAAATTCACTTTAGGATATTCCATGATATTCCTTGCCCTCCTTTAACTTCCGCTGTATAGTGTCCTTCTCCTCCATTTATGGTCTGTTGCTATGGAGAGACCGGAAACAGACCTTTGAACTATACTTTCCCTCCCCTACTAAGTTTTGTAATATGGGCACGAAGTCGAGGTAGAAATGTGATGAATTTTACAGAGCGTGTACTAAATATCGTCAGCTGAATTTCTCGCTTTTCTCTTCATTTCTCTTCGTTCTTCGATTTAGTTATTTGTTATTCAAATCAAAGCAAACAATTCTGAAAGTTAGTCCAGTATTTGAGCAGAACCTTCGAAAAAAGGCCTACAGCGACGAGTTTTTTGTCGATATTTGCACATCTTTGTGTTGGGGAGTCTTTCGCCGGTTTCAACGGTAATCGAGCCTTTTGCCGTTGTTTTTGTCTTCGGTGACGGCTCTCTTTCGCTGTCGTTTTTTGCTTTGAGGAACGCTAAAACTGGCGGGCTTGGAAGTAATTAAACGATCTTCATTTATACACCATGGCGATCGCGAATCGACAGGTACAATGGAAGAATGCGAAACGGAAGATCCAAATTGCTCATCATCATGCGACGGCATAGAGAAAGACGAAACACAGGAGTGGTGTTCTGACATTTTAGGCGATGATAGTTATGTAGAAGAAACACTGTCCAATTCCGATAATCTGGAGGTTGAAAGTGGAGTAGAAAGTGCCACAGGAGATGTAGCTGAAGCAGATTTTCTTGAACCCGAATTCGCCGGAGACGAACTATATTTGCAACTGGGAGATCTTGATTTGACAACAGAACAGGCGCAGGAAACGTTGAAATATTTTAGTAAGTATTGATTCTTGTGTACGTTTGATTATTTACTATTGAAACACTGTGTGATTTGAATGGAACAAGTAAATAAACATTTGTGGGAAATACTAGAAGAATCGATCAAGAATCGTTATGTTTCTACATTTACACCACAGTTGGCAATATGCAATGTTTGAATCAAATTAGTGGATGATAATCAAGACATTTCTGACAAATATTGCGAACGAATCTTTGCTCCTTGTATCGCAGACATTCTTGAATTAATTTTCTAGTGTCTCTTGTTCTTGGAAGTCATTATTTTACTAAATAAAATTCGCGATTTCACTTTAACAATAGGGACACAAGTATACTTGTTAAATTATTCTTATTGATTGACTCAAATTTTTGACTCTATTTACTGCTACAGTTATGTAATCACCTGTGAAATATTGATTATTTTCTGACGAGAGACATATATAGATCATTATTTATATGTTCTCTTCTGTTTTCCTTTCTCTGAAACATTTCATAGACTTTTCACAGTTTGTAATCAGCAATGTTATATGAACTTTGTTTTCTTGAGTTGTCGTGTTGTGTTACTTCTGATGTTTTCCATTGTCACGAGACTTATTATGATGGAAGCCAATTCCTGTTTCTCTGTTATCATTATTTTTGGTAAAGTTTCCGCACAGCCCCATACTATTGTAAAACAAATCTGTTTTCCCAATGGAAATGTATTGTTTTTGTCATTGTTTTCTCTGTTCAAGAACTGAATGTATAATGTTTACGTTTTAAAGACAATCTCGTATGCAACGTTAATGATAAGGTCCTTCCCTTCGAAGAACATAAACATTGAATTATGAAAAGTATTAATGTTTTGGATGACGAATAGAATTAACCTCTCTGACTTTACACTGGCATATGAAGCTTAATTAAGAAAAATCATTTTCAAGCCAGTTATCATCGTTTTATATTCTTGTCTGTACTCTGATGCAGTTCAGCAGTTTTGCACCCTTGCCATTTTAAGCTTCAAAATGTAGCATTGTGTCTGTACTTAAAGCATGTGTACACAGTACACGAGTGAATTTGGGTTTAGGAGTCAAAAATAACTAATTTGCAAGTCAAAGAACTTGGTTGCTGAGTTTATTACCAAAGTGATATCCCTGCATATAAGTCTTATAAGTCACAACATGTTGCAAAGATGCTTAAAACTGGGGCATTTTTAAAATACTTTCTCTCACTTTTTTGTTACATGGAAAGCATTCATTTTTATAATTGCTTGTTATATTTATATATTGATGAAGTTGTTAATCTCTTTTTTGATCTCATGTGGAATTTACATTGTAACATGTCCAATTGTGTATAGCTAGAGATAGTTGAAATGAGACATGTTTTGATCTTCTGAAACCATTTATGGCCAAACAAGCCACTAATACCTGTGTTTTTGGCGAAAATAATTTCTTGAATACTTGTGGTTTACCAATTAAATACGGTAACCAAGTGTGATTTATAAAAATTAATAACCTGAATTCCTATTCAAAAGATACCTTCTTCTCAGGAATACCACTCATTGCAGTTGCAGGCTTGGAATTGCAGAAAAAAAAATATCACTATATGTAATGTTAAAAGACAGACCTAAATCTATTTTTTAACTAAAGAGACATGGCCTTGAATTATTAAAAGCTTATAGTTGTTATTAAACTTTACAAGCTTCACATGCAATCCATTTTATAACTGTGTTTATCTTCAATGATGAAAAGTATTGCAATACCTGTAGTTAGATCAAAAGCTGTTTAGCATTTTATGCACATGTCCACTAATGTTTAAATTTTGGTTATTATAACTCTGTAGACAAAGAGGGATGTCTGTTTCTTAATCAAAAGTAATGGTATTGGTAGACAACATTTGTCATTATGCTGATTGTCCAGTGACGTAGTAATATCTTCAAGTTCAATTAAGCTGAGGAATTTTTTTGATTCCTCAAAAGTCTTTGAGGAGATCTGATCACCTCAGTTTGTTTATTTCCCTAGATATTGTACTTGTGCTGAGGCTTAACACGATGAATTTCATTTTATTTTATGCTAGATTATTGGTATAAGTTGAATTTTAATTCAATGAAGTAGGGCTCTTGCCAATAGCAGAGTGAGTCATGTTGAATAATTGATGACTTTCAAGCAGATAAGTTATTAAAAAGTAGGGTGCACTGTATTTTAAAGTGCTGATATCAGAACTTTGCTTTTCAAAGAAATCTATTGTATTTTTAATGGAATCTTTGGTCCCTGAAGTGAGGAAAGCTTCAGTTTTTAAGCTTGATGCAATAGTTATTGATACAGTGCGCTGCTGAAATTTAGGTAAAAGGTTGCAAATTTACATTGCTGACAATGTTTTGCAATGGAGCAATTTAAAGGTACTGTGTTAAATGTTTTGCATATCTTCTTGATTTTACAGACACTTCAATTATGAGATTACACCAAAGTGATGTCTCCTCGTTGTCTTAATAGACAATTTTGTGGAATTAAGTTATGGAAATGATGATGTTCTCTGTGTGATATAGCATATGAATTGCATGAAATTAACTTTTGCAATACACCATTAAACATTAAAGTGAAATATCTGCAATATTGCCCATCAGTATTAGTTGTAGAGATTCCATAGTGAGAAGGCTTCAGCTTTTAGGTTATATTAATAAAGATTAGTTAGAAAGAGTGTGTGGACAGTTCAGGCAAGAGTCATTTTAAATATTCAAAAACAGCTGTTGATTCACTATACATGTCTTATGAATTTAACGTGAAAATTTAAACTGTCACAACAATTTTAAAAAGTATTGCTGTAAATTTGATGTTGGCTGCAAATTGCAAATTTAGAACATCTAAAAGTGTTAAATCAGCTTCAACTCTTAAAGCACACGATGTAACTTGATGCACGCCACATTATTAGGGTAAATTGCTTTGGCTATCAGCAACTGTGAATTGTATTTGAAACTCGAGTGCAACATTTTTTTTAAGTAGCTTCTAGATATTGGGGAAAATGTTGATAAGAAATCATCTGGGATCTTTTAGAATACTCGTAGCTAATAATTGCATTCTAATGAACACATTTATTGCAAAATTAATCAGTACTGCAACTGTGCAAGTTGGTTATATGGGTGATATTTTATGCATACACTGTAAGTCTGTATGTACCATTTACCAGTGGGGTTTTGTTACTGGTTCAAAACAGAGAAATTCAGGCAGTTCATACAGCTTCAGAGCTAGGAGAATTCTTTGGTTACAATGCAGAATTCTCCTGCTAAATGTCAATGGTCTGAGCAAGTTTTTATTCAGAGTTTGATAACATTTTTTACACCAATTTCTCCTGGTTTCATTTCTCAATGGAAACTCTGAGAATTTGGAAAACACTCGATCCAAATTTTGAAAAGTGATTCTTCTTTATTTGTATTAGCTTTGGCATCAGATCGAACCAACCAGATGAGTAAGACGTACAATGATTTGGATGCCATTTTGCAGCTTCTACAGGAGGTATGTAGCAAAGCTATGTAATGGTAATAGGACTGAATTGGACATCACCAAGTCTTCTTACCAAGTAATCATAATCATTCCAATTTTCGAGGTAGAGACATTGTTTAAAGTAAAAATTTCCTCCATTTTCAAAATTGCCAAGTTTTTAAGGGTAATGGTTGCTGCTATGTTCTGTGATTGGTGAATTTAGCTGATTGGACTAAGTATGATTGGATGTTTTAACTGTCAGATTACTGGTGTCTGATTATAGCCAACTGCCCGATTACACATTCTGATTAAAACTTTACAGAATAATTATTGAAAAAAACAAGCAAAGTGATGCAAGCAGCCAATGCGCCAATCGCATTTGAGCATATTTATTGTTGAACCAAGATTTGTTGAAAAGTTTGCAAATGCCTTTCCTATTCTATTTACTCCCACAAAGCTTCTGGCTTTGCTATTCTGAGCAGATGCAGGACACTCTTTCCTTTGCACTGGAACACAAATCCAAAGATCAGGGGTCCAATTCATAGCAGGGTTCCCAGATTTAATCCATGTGCAATGCTGGTGACAGTACAATGAACATCTTTCTTTAAGATTAATATCTATGCCTTGATTAGTGGTCTGATAATCAAACAATGTTTATAGTACCTCTCTTATCATTAATCTGTAGGAAGAAGAAAATAAAATGTTATTTGCAAGCAAGGTGTTTTCAAAATTGGCCATGCTATACTTCACTATACTGTGCAAGCAAGGACATCCTTCCTTTTCCCCTTCTTTGGGAGGGAGGTAGATGGAAGCTCTGCTTCCAGAGTACATTTTTTCTTTTGTTAATACGGATCTGTTAATCTTTATTGACAGAAAGAGAAGGACTTGGAGCTTTCAGCCAGAATTGGCCAGGTACAATAATTGTTGTATTTAAGAACAGTTGATCCATCAGATTATCAGTGATGAAGATGTATTATAACTTCCCTGAACCAGGAAAACCAGCGGTTGGTGAGATTATTTTTGTGGTCCAAAAAAAATAGGAAAAAGAGCTCAGCCTTGGTACTAAGAAACTACCCAAGAAAGCAGAAATTTTTAACGGCTGAAAAGTTTTAGCCACATCCCAAATTATATTGCAGTACTTATCATCAATAATCATCACGAATCAAAACTTTATTGCATAAGGACAATTATAGGCTTTCACTTGTTTCTGGCAATAATTACATTTACCTATTTATTTAATTAATAAATGATTTGCCTTTAATTTCTTTGTAGTCCTTATTGGAGAGGAACAAGCAACTATTGGCCAAAACACAGGCATTTGAAAATTTGGTGTCAGAATGCGACGAAAAGGTCTGAGTTACTGTTACTGTTACTGTACCAAAGGCATTTAAGGTTCCCATAATTCCCAACACTAATGATATTAAATAAGTAATTAAGTATCAGTTAATAATCAGATGAACCACAAAGTAAAACAGAATGGGATTTTACCAACTAGACTTAACTCTTTAACCTCTAACAGTGACTGGCATCTAATTTCTCCTCACAGTATCATCCCTGAATCAAACATTAAGGTCATGAGAATAAAGGAAATGATCACTAACTAAAGATCTCATGATTGTTAAACAAATTCTCCTTGTCAGCACCTTAAGAAAAGCAAAGAGAATATTATGGAGAATATGCTTACTGATGTTATGGTGAAAATGGTTTTAATAGTATATATAATATTGAACCAACACACAGCTCTTCAACTGGCTCATTTAATGATGTACTTCTATCACCATCATAAGAAAGACTTCTTTTCAGGACTACCCATACCTGGGCATTGCTCTGACGAAGGGCTAATGCATGAAACGTCAGCTTTTAAACTCTTTACAGAAGCCAGTTTATGTTTTCAACGCAGTTGATAATGCTTAATTACCCTGTTATACTCTCCCACTGACCTAACACCGCAGTTTCTTTAGAAACTTACCTCCTTTATTCATTAATCTCTGTTACTGTTTGATTATACTGTCACTTTAATCCTAGGAAATACATGCATGTCATTTAATTTGTTTTGTTTTGTTTTTTTTCACGTACAGGAGACACAACTTCAACATGAAGTATCCATGAAAACTGAACTTCTCCAGAAATTCATTAAAGATCAGGAAATGGACGAGTTCTACCAATTATCTCATCGCTCTGATGAAGACAGTCGCAGGTGGGTCTTGAGAGTAGGCTATCTTGATAGTGTACCAAAATCTCCTCACTAGTTTGCAAGGAATTGTATTGGGGCTTGTTGGGAGAACTGCCAATTAGATCTAGTGAGTATTATTTGGGTTAAGAGGTATACTCCTCCGTTTTTTGAACAGCACTGACAGCTCTTGCAGAGATGACTCCATTAATTCACTTCAACAGAAATGCCAGGCTCTGGAGCAACAGAACACTCATCTCATCTTAGAGGTACAACATTTGCTCTCTTAAAATGATTTTCTTAGTTATTAGTAGAGCAACTTTGTCCATCATAAAACTGGAAAACAATCAATGCTTTCTTTTTCTTTTAGATTACTGCAGGGTTTTTAGTCTTGTATGAATTGAAATTAGCCCTTTATTTTATCTTATATTACTCCATGTAAAACAAACCCCTTTGTATTACAAAGATCCTCTCTCTCTCTTCAATATAAACATGGAAATGATGCAAAATTTAGCTGTTACTTTTAATGGATTTCCTATTAAACTAGCCCTTTGCTTTTTTGGGGGAGAGGCTTTCATTATGAACAGACACAGAATTAGACAGACAGAAAGACAGATCGGCAGTCACAGATAAATGAAGGGGATAAGTTTCTATAGAAACTGTGGTGCTGTGTTAGTGAGAGAGTATGACAGGGTGATTTGGTATTATCAACTGAGTTGATAACGTAAATTGGCCATCATGTAGAGTTGCGAAGCTGACATTTCGAGCATCAGCCTTAGTCATGCGCTCTGACAAGGAGCTAACTCTGACAAAGGGCTGGAGAAGGCTAATGCTCAAAGCATGAGCTTTACTACTCTTTAGGATGGCAATTTATGTTATCAACTCAGATGATAACACCAAATTTCCCAGATAGACAGTCAGACAGACTGACGGCAAGACAGAAAGATAGCCAGACAGACAGACAGATGGACAGACAAACAGAAAGAGTACATGTAACTGTAACTAAAGGAGAATCCCTCTTCTGACAGGGGGAACTTCACTAGGAAAAAGATTGACAACCTTAACATGAACTGATCTTTAGTTACTTATTTTGGTATGTAAGTTAATTTTGTTTTGTAATGACATGGCAATTACATTGCAGGCTCTACAGCTAAAGGAAGAAACAGCAACTGTGGAAATGAAGGAACAACAACTGGTTCTGGACTGTGTCAAACAATTAGGTGTGTTGATTAGTATTCAAATAAAGTATTACTAGTATCCTGCTGCAATGGGCAGAAAGTGAGGAATTTCCAGAAGTTTACAATTGACTAGAAGTTTTTAATGGTGGTTTTGTTCTTTGATTCAGTGGAAGCTAAAGATCAGATTTCTGATTTGACGGATGAGATCTCACAGAAGGCAGAGGATAACATCAGACAGCAGGTTCATAAAAATTTTTGCATCATAATGGTGGCAGATTCAGTTCATTTACCCATAAAGATGTTGGTAGCATTTTAATAAGTAATCTTCCATCTTGTCATTTTTATTCTTAGGAGGAGATCACTCATCTTATTACAACTGTTGTGGATCTTCAAAAACGGCACAAACAGGTCAGTGATGAGTGTTTGTGACAATTCAGTATTATACCCTTAAATCTCTAAGAGTGATCAGCATCTAATTTCTCCCTACAATATCACCCCTGTATCAAAAATTTGAGTCAAGAGAATGAAAAAAAAAGATCACCAACTGATTGTTGCACAATTCTCCTTGTCAGCACCTCAGGGCATGTGTAGAGAACAGTATGGAGAATATACATACTGTTTTTATGCTGTAAAGGGTTACATGACAATCCTTTAAAATTTTTTCTGTAATAAGTGATGTAGGGCAATTACATCTTGGTCCATTTTTTTTTTTTTCATCAGTCATGTTAGACTTCTAATATTACTTCACTTTGTCCTACATGATTCAATTTTTATATTTTAATTTTCAGCTTTCAATGGACAATGAAGAACTGCAAAGTTTACTGAATTCTTCCACAGCAAATCAGAACCAGCTTCAACACAAGGTAATGTCTCAAAACTTGGGGACATTGCAATTTCCCCCTCCTGAAAACAACTATGTAGTCTTTACCAGGGTCCAGCTTTAGCTCGCTACAGAAGGGGGGGGGTCAGGGTCGTACCACTGCCTATTAAGAGTGAGAAATAAGGTGGCCAATTGGTCTGCGTTTGAATACAGCCAGGGTCATTGTGCTTCTTTCATGGGCAAGGGACTTAACTGTTCTATTGCCCCTCTCTTGTGGGCAAAAAATGGGCACTTAAAATCTGTATGGAAAATATGTTTACATTGAGAGGGAAACCTGTAATTACCTGCATTCCATCTTGAACGATGGGACTCCAAGTTAACCCTTTATGTCCCACTAGTGACCTAGACAGAATTTCTCCTTACACTATCAGTACAATATCAAGCAGACAAGTAATGAGAATAAGGAAAAATATCAATTAGGGGATTATTAGTTGATCCAATACCAAATTCTCCAAACTTACATCATATGAATTGTATGGCAGACAGTAAGGAGAAGTACTAAGGAGATCTTGGGAGTTAAAGGGTTAAGAGGTCTGGGCAGGAGACCTGGCTGGGTCATTGTGTTGTGTTCTTGGATGAGACATTTCATTCCTACAGAGCTGCTCTCCACCCAGGAGTATAAATGGGTAGCAGTAGGTTGTAGGGGAAGTCAGATGAAATGCTGAGGGGGTTACCTTGCAATGGACTGGTATCCCATCCAGGGGGAAGTGGTGATGCTCCTAGTCGCTCCATGCTATGGAAACTGGGATAAACTACAGTTGGGTGGGCCACTTGGCCCAAGCACAGACTTGACTATCCAAAATGATGGTAATAGTCTAAGTCGCTTCCTGCTACCAAAACTCACGTAAGCCCCAGAAGTGTGACTCATTAATCTCTTCTGCCTAAGGTGTACATTTTTGTCTGTACAAACATTAAACCACATTGTATAAAACTTGTTGTACATGCCCATAATGGTCTAAGTTAAGGTTGTTTCGGAACACTGGCATTGCCTGTCAACTGACATGGATTTTCTCTGTTTCTGTGCAAGGTGGATGATTTACATGAAAAATACCATGAATGTTTGGAGATGCTCATGGAAAATCAGGTGAGTAACAAGGATGTTAACAGGATTTTACAACAGGGATCCCAAACTTTTGTCCTCTTGGAATCCAGGGGCTTAGCAGTTGTTGTGTTCTTGTGAATTATTAATTTTTTGATGACTGAAGGTTGCGAATGGTTAAAGCCAAATATTTTCCTTGGGTAACATGGAAAGCAGGGAGGGTTGTTTCTAATGTCTGTCTTTTTCTTCAGATTATTTTAGTGCAGTTAGTGGTACTTCCTTTCTAAATTTTTTTCCTAATTTTCTTTGCCTTGCAGAGGGAAGTGAAAAAGTTAAATACAAAGATTGAGTAAGCACCAAACCATTTTTACCTAGAAAATATTTTTATTTTTATGCCTATCTTCATCAAGAGATAACTTCTTCATAATCCTGTCCATGTAAACAAAGTCAACTTCGCAAAAGTAATGGATGAGTGAGGGAGAATGTTACAGAAATTTCTTGGAAAGGGAAGAAAGTTACATGTACTAATGGAATAAAAAATCGTCCTTGCATTAACCCTTTACTCCGTAGTATCAGTATGCATGTTCTCCATACTGTTCTCTGTACATCTCTTAAGGTGCTGACAAGGAGAATTTGTTTAACAATCAAGAGCTTTTTTAGTTGTTGGTCATTTCCTTTATTCTTGTGACCTTTGTTTGTGTGATCAGGGGTGAGATTGTAAGGAGAAATTAGATGCTAGTCATTCTTAGGGATCAAGGGGTTGATAGTCCTTATTTATTTTCTTCTCTATGCGTGTAATCACTGATGGTGTTGATACAAATATTTCAGGAGTGGTAAACTGCCCAGAAAGTTGTCTTCATCACCGCAGCACTCCTACCATGTAAGTTAAAATGTGAGATGCAAGAATAAGACGCATTCCCCTCAAGTCTGTGTATGTAACTCTTGTTGTGGCCACTCGAGTTAACTCTGCTTAGCAGTAGTTTCTACTTTTTTTTCGTTTATTTTGTTGTTGATCGACATTTCTAATTGACTTCTTTTTATTTATGATAGGATGCACGTGATTCCATTGCTTTGGAGATTGAGGAAAGCGTCAAAAGAGACCTTACCTCCCAACAGGAGAAACGGTTAGATTATTTACTGTGAATTAAAATGGGGAAAAATGTGTCCCTATGTTATCACCAAAAAAACGTAAAGAAGATGGGTCTTCGTATATTTTGACTCGCTACCGTCTTCCTGCTCTGTTTAAGGCAATCACCATAATTGCAGTAACTTTGAAGGTTTTTATCTATGCTCTTTTTCTAAACGAGGCGTTTGGGTATCTCAGAAATGGTAATTTTAATGACTTGATGAAACATGTAACTGATGAAGTTTAATATTTTATTTCTTGTAGAGAGCACACTGCTCGTGTTATGGAAACTGTGCGTGCCATTAACACAAAAAGAACCCGAAAAGGTCTAACCTCCAATTCGAAGGATGCCAATTCTCCTGAGGGGTCAGGCTTTAAGTTCACTTACTCCCCCGCAGTAACTGAATCGAAAGCCTCAGTGGAAGGTGCGGGAAAGACTCAAGCTGGGAACCCTGTGGCGGGTTAGTACACAATGTTTTAAATGGCGCCAGAGCTGTGATAAAACGAGTGCAACGAACCAGACAGAACTGGTTGGTAATGAGGCGGATATAAATTCGAATGATGATTTAAGAAGGGTGACATTCTTTGATATTAAGTAAATAGTCCATTGCCTTACAGAACTCAACGAACAGAGAGGCAGTACTTGTGACAAGATTTCTTAAAAGGTTATTCACTAGGTTTTTCTTTTTTTCCCCACAGATCGGCGAGTATCCTACGGACGTCGCCCATTCAGAGCTCCAGAAAAACTCCAGATTGTAAAACCAATTAAAGGTTCCGTGACGCTGCATCAGTGGAAAAAATTAGCCAACCCCACCCTGAATTTGGCGGAGACTCGACCTGGGGTACACGTTAAAGGAGAGGGCCCGGATGCTCAGGAAAAGGAGCCAAGAGAACGGAAGGAGTCAAGTGATTTGGACGTAGACGAGTACGAGGAAGATGAGCCCTTGTACATGAATCTTCCCCGTACCTCGGAGAGTACCTCCGAAGCTGCTAGCAAAACAGGGACAGAAGATGGCGACGAGGATGATGAACCAATCCAGATGCGAGTCTCTCACGGGCTTGAAAAAGGGACCACGTCCCAAAAGAAAGAAGAGACTATGGCTGGGAAGGGTAGCTCTAAAAAGACTTCTCCACAGCAGCTAGGGCTAATATCGCTTGTAAGCGGTCAAGGCTTCCAGGGAGGTTTCAAAGAACGTGGTGGCGACAGCGGCAGTATCTTGACGCACTTGCTAAACAGCCCCTCCTCGACATCTTCAGGGACATCCTCAGTGGGTAAGGTACTTGCTGACGTCCTCAGTAAAGCAAGTAAGGAGGCCTCTGAAAAGGAGCCTACTAGGGCCGAGTCTCTTCGCAACTTGGCGAATTACTTTAGCGAGAAAGAGCGTGGTAATAGCTCGGCGCAATCCCAAGTCAAATCACCTACCTCCCCTCCCCCAGTAGTACCTTTCACAAGCACCCTACCCTCGTCTGGAGGTGTAATGTTGTTGAGCAAGATACTCGGTACTAGTGGCTTATCAGCTGGTTTGACGATACCTGCGCCAATCACTACGACCGCTAAGACCAGTGGTCTGCCCAGCACCACGAGCAGTACATCAACCACTCCAAGTGTTCTTACCCGAAGTACTTTGGTCAGGAACTCCAGCGGTAGTAATTTATTAAACTTGGCCCAAGGTGCCATGGTAGAAGATGCCTCAAATAAGCGTCACAGTTTAGACTCGTCTCAGCTGCTTAAGAAATCAAATAATTCCGAGTCAGAGTCGTCTTCGGGACTTGATTTTCCTGAATTGAAGTTTCCCACACTGCGCAGGCGTGCCAGTAGCGGTGATCTTCAAGAGATGGGAAGTTTAAGCAGTTTTGACCAGTTTGGCAGTGGAGGACTAGGCGCACGACTGAAACGAAGCTCTAGTATCGGTAATATGAAGGACCTCAGCAACGAGAGCCTAGCAGGGTCCTCAGGAGACGCTTCTGAGGGGGGCTTTTTTAATCGTCTTCGTCGTACGCCAAGTATAGGGAGCCTAACAAGTCTGGTGCAGCGATCCAATTTTTCGGTTGGTTTTTCAAATTCGCTTGCAGGATCAAAGCAACGGTCTACAAGTTTAGATGCCCTTCCGGTGTTCAAGCCCGGTGAATCGCCTCCGTCTCCTTCCAAGTTCGATCAAGATGGGGGACATTTCTTTGGCAAGAACGCGCCTTCTTCCAGTGTTGACGCAATACCCGGAGCCACCGGTGGGTTTTTCGGCGGAGGCACTAAATTGAGTAGCTTGGCTGGGGTCCGGGGATTTTGGTCCCAAGGAGGGAGTAAGAGTTTGGACAGCCCTGCCGCACCTGTTCAGGCGCCACCCCCGAAGAGCGAAGAGAGACTGGAAAAAATCAACAACGCTTTCGCGTTTGAGGACTTCGGAGGACTCGGCTTGATGTCCTTCTTCGGGGGGAAATCGCGTGGGTCAAGATCAGATAGTCAGTGACATTAAAACCGCTGGGACGTGTCAGAGACGGACAACCTCTAGCAGGGTTGGAAGCAACGCTGAGATGTTTGCTAATGGTTTTTCTGTTGATGCGGCTGTTTTAAACAGAAATTTTCAAATCAAATTAAAGTTAACGATGGTAGTGACACCAAAGTGTAATAGTAAAATTGAAAATAATGATGAGGATGTCTTTTTTTTTATATTTTTTTACTGACTATTTAGCATTTGAATGGTAACTTTGATTCTGTTATTTTTGAATTGGCTTATTTTTATCCTCTTGTTAATCTTTATTCAACAATGAGATGGTGGTCGATTGTCGAAGTGTGCTCAAGGGTCTCGTGGCATATTGCGAGAAGTGGTAACGAGAAAAAATTATTTATTAACCCTTTAACTCCCAGAAGTGATTAACATAAAACTTCTCCCTACAATATCCCATACATTATTCAGCAAACAGGTAACGAGAATATTCAACGTTATCCGGTAGAAGCTGCTATCTTGATCTAACACCAAGTTCTCATAACTAATTTACAAGGAAATGTGTAGCAGCTAGAGGGGAGAATTAACAATCAGATCTTGGGAGTTAAAGGGTTAAGTATCAATATTGCTCTTTGAAGCACATCGTGAGATTACCTCGTCAAAGGGAGGATGAATGAGCTTAAGTAAATAATTTTTAATTTTATCATTGGTGGAATGACCTAAATCACCTCAAGCCATTTTGTGGTGATTCTTCGAGGTAAGATCTTGCAGAGTGGTCTTATTTTGAACCGTTGTTATGGTGTTTTTCATGGTGTAAAGGTTTTTCGTGTATATTGTACAAGTAAAGGCAGCTCAAATGAGGGAAGAATTTACGAAGGATTAAAAAAATTTATTACGAGCTCACAATCAAGGGGGGTATTTATTGGTAAAAAGATATTCGTGTGGTTCAAATTTGCCCCACCTTGCATTGTGTAAGATAAATATATATATTTTTGGTTCAGAAAATAAGGTGTGGTTAGATGCAGCTATTAGTTCCTAAGCAACCTTCTGCTTTTGTTTTCAGTTGGTTAAGAATAAAATAAATGAGTTGTAAAGGTATGTTGTATCTCACCCGTTATTGCCTCCTCACCTCCAGATCATTTCAATCGGTGAAATACCAGGCTTCTGTTTCCATGGGGAGAAAGGCGAAGGAGCCTTAGTGCTCTAGCTTTTTTTTAAATCGCAGCTTATGAACATTTTATTTTCTTTTAAATCGTGGGTCTCTACCAATGATGATCTTAAATTCGAAGCAGGCTAGTGCTCATAGCACTCGGTAGCTAAAGCAAGGATTCCTAAAACTCGTCCTCTTCACTTTTAATGGTAGATTGACACACTCCGGGTTTTACAGTCGTGTTTCTTTAATAAGTAGAACCGTTCTACAAAACTTCTAAGTAACCTTAGTACAACAAAGGCAGCTGAACTACGCGTAAGCAACACATGATACTCACTGGACACAGCGGCAAAATAAGTACGCATGCTAGTAACGCACGAGAAATTTCATATGCGTAAAGGAATGAAAACGACAATATTTCCATAGTAACACCATCGAGGCGCAACAGTGGCATTTTTGAAATTCTCATTGTTTGGTTTCATTCCACGGGGATAAGCCTGAACCACAACAGACAAAGTTGCCGTTTTCAAGAAAGTTTCCTTCGAACTCCTCCGTCACGTATCTCACTCAACAAAAAAAATATTGCGGTAACAGCTGCAAAGTTAGTGACCGCAGTAGTGCATTAGTAACATGGTTACGAAGTTCGTTGCACCTTTCATCACCTTGGCGCTTTTTGTCGTGGCCTCCTCAGAAGGCAAACTTCCTGGAGAAAAGGATTGTTGTCTCAGCGGGAAAACCTACATCAACTTTGTTTGGAGAAAAATAGCAGTAACCCTGAACGCTCAAATGGCTCGAGTAACGGAGCATGCGCACTCATTTTGCCGCTGTCCTCACTCTGTGATCGTAGTTGATCAAGAACTCAAGATAACGTGAATCGTAAGTCACCTATCTTAACATCGTCGTTTTCAGGTAAATATACATCAATAAAATGATTTGATTACACAATCTCTATCAACATGCTATTTCTATTCATGTCAGTAGTGCTCTCTATTCCCTCTACTCAAATACCAAACTTTCCTCATTAGCATCTCTTACAAATACGCTTGGCTTGTATCTGCTAAGCCTCGATCGAAAACAAATATACTTTTTCTACGGCTTTATTCCTAAAAAAACTGAAATGGAGTTGATTTATCGTGTTGGCAACGACAGCTTTTTCAAGGTCGGTGGATCACAGAGTCTGCGATAATCTGCAAAAAAAAAATAAAAAATTTGGTGCTTTTTTGAAATTACATGCCATATTCCAGTCCTACTTAGCTGTGGGACTAGCCAAGCTGGGTTACCTGTGGTAAAGTGCGGGGGAAGGACTAATCTATTATGGGATAGAAGACGAGACGTCATCTAACATGGCCGTTAAGATGTACGGCGTGTTTCAATCTCGTTCCCAGGGTCCTCTCTCTTCCTCTCTCGCACGAATTCTTATTGTGACGAATAAAGTTCGTTGATCTTTAACAGAAATGTCTGTCGGAGACATAAGAACAGCTGAAGCAATGCAAGGTCCTGTGGTAGAATTCTTGTTACGAGATCACAATGACTTAATAATGTCGTAAGTTGCATTGTTACGTTGATTGAAGAACTTATGCTGGGTTTAATAAAAGCTTGCGTAAATGATAAGTACTTACAGGCCGACAGCGAGACCAGATGAGAAAATGAACACGAGGTGAGCGGACAACACTGGAGAAAAGAACAAAACAAATTGGATTTAAACTCAAGGATCTTTGTGGTGGAGAGTAACTTGAGATACAGAGTGTATGGAAATTTCTCGAACTGGTTCGTCCTCAAGAGAATATCAGTCGAAATTTGCTTGTTCGTCCTGCAATGTGGTCTCCGTCTCATGTTGATGTAACTTTCGCGAACTTTATAGAACATTCTATCAAACAATACAATAATAAATACTGGAAACTTCAAAATTACTTTTCTTGTAGCGGCTACTAGGAAAGGAATTTTGAAGTCACCCGTACCTTTTAGAATGCTCTATAAATGTCAAATAGGCCGGACACCGAGTAAAGAAGATGTTTTTGTCGGCAAAGACCGACTTCTTGAAGAAGCTTCCAGGAGCTATTGTGGTTTGCAATGGAGGTATGCCTATAGTCGAGAGTTTCAGAAGAGATTTTACGATAGCAGTCGGTTTGATGTGAGTTGGTATTTGTGATGACTGAAGGTTAATTTAGTAATGGACTTGAGTTTAGTTGATGTCAGATTGTGCTGTTTAGGAGTTGCTCCCTTGAAATAGTCAAATCGAATAAATTAGTTCATTTCATAGGATAGAGCAATTTTCAATTCAATGTCGAAAGCGATCCGAGATTGTCTACGTGTTGGGTTTGCTTTACTTCCTTCTGTGATTGGTCCAAAAAACTCGCGGCCACTCTCTCAACCAATCACATCCATGTAAAACTAAAGCCAACCACGACTTCGTCGCATGCATTGTCCCGCGCTTTGGGCAGTTTGCTTGCTTTTACTTTGAATCTTATTGGCTGTGAAAGGTATTTCTCCTTTCTTCTGATTGGCTTTTATAATAAATTTGGTTTTGGTTTTACAACACTCAATCCAAATGCACTCCATTTAAGTAGGGTATTTTTTCCTGTCGGTTTAATTATATCGGAACATCTCCCAGTTGTAAAATGAATGATTTAAAACAATTTTTGTTAGAGTTAAACTAGACCAACCTGAGCCGGAAGCTGGACAAACGTCATCACATTTTTTTGCAGATTTCAAGTATTTTTCCTTATAGGACGTGAAATTCTTTTTCACGTCAGCACAGCTGTACATTTTATCGACCATAGTAACGTAACCACAGCTGGTTTTATTGAACCCGTCCTTGTCACATTTCGCAAAGGTATTTTTTTTGTCGGTTTAATTATACCGTGACATCTCCCAGTTGTAAAATGAATGATTTAAAACAATTTTTGTTCGAGTTAAACTAGACCAACCTGAGCCGGAAGCTGGGCAAACGTCATCACATTGTTTTACAGGTTTGAAGTATTCTTTCTCATAGGACGTGAAATTCTTTTCCAGGTCAGCACAGCGATACACTTTATCTTTGAAAGTAACGTAATCACAGCTGGTTGCACTGAGCTCGTCCCTGTCACATTTCTTATTGTTGTTAGATGGCATCTTGATGCTACATGACATGGTCATTGTGATGGTTCCTCCATTGCTGCAAGATGCGCAATCTGGTGACGAGTACTTGGTGTCTATGCTGAAAGTCACTAAAAATATATAACTGCCAAGTGAATATACAGTATTGTTAATCACTGCAGCTAATTCACAATTCCAAGTTTGCAATTCGTGTTAATCTTCTCCATTACTGTTAATCCTCTTCTTTTCCTTTTCGTTTCAGATTTACCTGTTTGGTTTTATTTCTGTTTTAGCTTTATTCCTAAAATTTAAATTCGTCCGCGTCGACAAAAACGATTTAAGAATTCATGATATTTTACCCTTGGTAACCTGTCATTGCTGTCAACACAAATCCCGTGAGAGACTGGTGCCATCTTTTCTCCAAACTGGGCCTGCTCATGCGCTTAATTTTTAATTTATGTACGAACAGCTATGAAATAGTGATTCAGTGAAACGCACAATCACGGTTTCTATAAAAAGGTGCTGATCCCGACAATTTCACACGGAAAAAAATAAAATTATATAAAATAGAAAACGAGAAAAAAGAAGGAAGCAAGAGAGAGAAAAATTGAAAATTAAACAAAGTTTCTTGAGGGACATGTCCCTGAAAACCCAAATTCCAACCTTTCCCCATACTGTTAAATTTTCATTCTGTTGTCCTTAGTTTTTAAGAATACAAAAATGTCTCTTACCATTAGGTGCGGTGAACACAGATGATGATGGTGTGGCAGTGGTATTTGTTGAGTTTGTTGAGTTTGAAGCAAGTACATCTTGCATACAACATATCAAAAATAATACAAACTGTAGGCGGTGAGGGAAAGTCATCTGTCAAAGCGAAAGCAAATGTTATTGCAGTTAACTCATGATAAAAAACACAGAGAGAGAAATTCAATGTAGCGAACAAGAGGCGAATGTTTCCGAGCAGATGTGAATAAAGTGTTGCATGTGAGTTATGTCTCTGGATCTATCCACTCTTTCACTTTAACACCTTAGTTTGACGAGGCCCGACAAGGTTTTGCTTTGCTGGCTTTAGAATACCTCTTTGGTGTAATTTTAATTACATGGGAAGGGAAGCAGTAAATTTATTCCCGCGTGGCGGTATCTGTCCACCGCCTCGAGCTACAGACACAGCGACTCGGTCTTCTGTTTATGAGAAAGAGCAGGACTATAATTACCCGATAATAGAGCTCGTTCTCAAGTAAACAGAGTATTGGGTCTGAACTTGCATTAGACAGCCAACCTGAAAGACGTCTTTTATCTTCCAGAATCACAATGTGTGCCAAGAGTGCAATTAATTGCCCTCATCAGTCGCTATTGAAATAGAGTTCAAAAGCGAACGTCTTTATTGAAAATGCGCTCTGTAGGAGGCTGGCTGGCTCTTAATATCAGTTTCGCTGTAATTACTTCGCAGAGATTGGCAGATTTTAATGTAAAAGCATTTTCCTAGATCTTCGCGTTCACCTAAAAGAGGCGTTTGACAGTTTCACCGGCAGAGAGTTTCCAAAGCGAGGAAGTCTACACAACAAATTTAACAAGTTTCTTCGCAAGTTGTGATGTTAGTGCCTCAGGGCTGTCTATTTTTGGAAAAGGAAAGTATTCATTCGGGCACATGCAGATACGAGTTTAAACAGAGAGAGATGAAATAGTAAGAGCCCAGAATTCAGCCATCTGAACGGCTTATGTAATTCTCTCGTTTTGCAAATGCAAAGTTTGTTAGACTGAATGGATCAGATACAGAGAATTTAGAAAGAAATCGAGGAAACCTTTAGAAACGCGCGAAGTTTACACTTCGCAGCGCAAAGAATGATTAGTCTCTAAATCGGCTACCGAAGACATATTTCTCATCGGTCGCTAGAAGACAGCTATAAAGATTTCGAAAATCACAGTGATGATACTTACTAAAACGTGTACCACAGAACTGCAAAAAAAGTAAAAAGAAATGCAGCATAGATAACGGAAAGATGACAGAGGAATAAATACACTCTCATTCTGCGGTATTTACAAGACTACAGAGTAAAAGTTGTCACTACAGCGACCTGTGATAAAACTTTGCCGGAAAAACGAAGCTTATTGTTACTACAGCGACCTGTGGAAAAACGTAACTTATTTCCCTGTAAGATTTTCGCCAATAGCTCGATGCGTTGACCGTTTCTGACTAGCTACTCACTCTATCTGTTGAATCGTAACAAATTATATCATGATTTAGAATGGATCTTGATATCTGGTCTGCAACTGATATCAGCATTCGGGGATGAAAATAGGCTTAGATAAACCTAAAATCAATGATTATTTCTATCAAATTTGTTCGAAAGGAAATTACGTAAGTTGCTTAGCCTCACCGATGTTTTAATTAAAGTGTTTACTTTTGTTAAGACTGTAGGATTCAAGATTAGAAAGTTCCTCGTTTTAGTGCGAGAAAATGTGCACCGAATAAGTGCTAAAAATTACTAAGCCGCAAAATCAAGTACAGAAGACTGGTGACTCGTTGAGAAATTATTAAAACGGATGACCAGTTCATTCTCTATGCTTTCGAAGCGACGAAATTGACATTCTGAATGCGACCTTCTTTTCACCATAAAACACTAAATGAACGATAGAAACAAAGAGTTCAAATGATGATCCATACCTTGCAACTGATCTCCACTGATACAAAAGGTTTTGCGATCAACTATCTATAGTAAGTGTCGCCGAGATCAAGAAAGCCTTCCCTGTTGTGTAAATAACTTGAAACTGAAACTCGGGCTTATAACTGGTCGCCTTTTTGTTGCCAAGGAAACAGAAAACAGACATTTCAAACCAATCCAACCCTAGCCCCAGGGCTTGAATATTTACAGAACGATTTCCAGAAAGGAATTTCTTGCTCCAGTGAGTACGTAGGCGAACGATATCCAGGCCTTTTTTCGAACTTTTCTGTTTTAGCCGGTGTTGCGAGGATTTCAGATCTCGGTAAACGCATTCTTTGTGGAAGAGAGGGGGTTGGGGCTACCTTCGTTGTATCCCACCTGACCGGCTTGCCACCTCACCTCCAGAACATTTCAATCGGTAAAATACCAGGCTTCTTTTTCGATGGGGAGAAAGGCGGAAGAAGTGATAGCACTCTAACTTATCTTTAAGTTGCAGCTTATGAACATTTTTGTGACTTTTAATCGTCTCTATTTTCTTTTGGGTGCTCTACGAATGGGTTCTCTACCGATGCTCTTCTTAAATTCGGAGAAGGCGAATGCTCATAGCTGAAGCAAGGATTCCCTAAATTCGTCCTCTTCACACTAGCTCGTTAATGATAAATTGACACACTCCGGTTTTACAGTCATGTTTCTTTAATAAGTAGAACCTATCTATCGAGGGAGTCTGGAGTCAGGTGAAGAGAAAGTTGAAGGCGATGATCGGAACCTCCCAAGGCAAACTTCCGTCCTATCTTGATGAGTTCAACTGGCGAAAAGTCTACCCGGGTGAATACTTCGGGAACATGCTAGCGGACATAGCAGAATTCTACCCGCCTAACTGAGCCCGCTTAAAAAAAAAAAAAAAAAAAAAAAAGGTTCCTTTTGAAGCCACCAAATGCAATAAAAGTTATGACACCAACATATATTATATAACGTACCAACATACCAAAAATTAGGATCACATTGCAGTATAGGGCGATTCTTAACTGCACTTTTCGATGGAGAATATTAACACACTTTCGTTTAATGCACAGGGAATGTTCGTGTGCCTTTAAGTTTTAGTGGCATTTTGAAAAATTTTTAAGCATTTATAGTAAGTTTTACATCGATTTTTGAGTGCAAAAATGCACTAGTAAAGTTATTTCACCGCCTGTCGCTAACCTGTTGGTTACCTGTCGGTGGCCTGTCGGTGGCCTGTCGGTTTAGTGTCGGCCAACTGTCGGCCGACGGTCGGTGGAGGGGAGCTGTTCTTCACAAGACTACAGAGTTTAAAGTTGTCACTACAGCGAACGGTCATAAAACTTTGCCGGCAAAACGTAGCTTATTGTTACTACAGCGACCTGTGGAAAAACATAACTTATTTCCCTGTAAGATTTTCGCCAATAGCTCGATCCGTTGACCGTTTCTGACTATTTACTCTATCTGTTGAATCGTAACAAATTATATCATGATTTAGAATGGATCTTGATATCTGGTCTGCAACTGATATCAGCATTCGGGGATGAAAATAGGCTTAAATAAACCTAAAATCAGTGATTATTTCTATCAAATTTGTTCCAAAGGAAATTACGTGAGTTGCTTAGCCTCACAGATGTTTTACTTAAAGTGTTTACTTTTGTTAAGACTGTAGGATTCAAGATTAGAAAGTTCCTCGTTTTAGTGCGAGAAAATGCACACCGAATAGGTGTTAAAAATTACTAAGCCGCAAAATCAAATAAAGAAGACTGGTGAGTCGTTGAGAAATTATTAAAACGGATGGTGAGTTCATTCTCACTGCTTTCGAAGCGACGAAATTCGACCTTCTGAATGCGAACATCCTTTCAACCGTAAACACTAAATGAATAATAGAACAAAGAATTAAAATGATGACCATACCTCGCAATTATGATTCAAGATTGGAAAGTTCCTCGTTTTAGTGCGAGAAAATGTGCACCGAATAGGTGTTAAAAATTATTAAGCCGCAAAATCAAGTAAAGAAGACTGGTGAGTCGTTTAGAAATTATTAAAACGGATGACCAGTTCATTCTCTATGCTTTCGAAGCGACCAAATTCGACCTTCTGAATGCGAACTTCTTTTCACCATAAACACTAAATGAACAATAAAAACAAAGAGTTAAAATGGTGATCCATACCTTGCAACTGATCTCCACTGATACAAACGGTTTTGCGGTCGCTGAGATCAAGAAAGCCTTCCTTGTTGGGTAAAATGACCTGAAACTGAAACTCGAGCTTATAACTGATAGCCTTTTTGTCGCTAGGGAAACAGAAAACAAACATATCAAACCAATCCAACCCTAGCCCTCAAGTAGTTTAAGGCCTAGGTTTTATGTTGGTTCGAGACCCCCAGCAGAGTTTCATGGTATTCAATCGAAGAGCGGTAACATTGTGGCCGATCTACGATTAGAACGTTCACGTTTTCGAGAAAGTTAAGATCGATTTCTAGCCTAGATTTTTCAGAAGACGCTGTTTTTTGCAGATATTAGATTTACAGTTGAGGTGAGTGTTGTTTTTGTGTTGTTTATTCAGAAATTAGCTCTAATTTGCTGTAGCTGCAAATTTACTAACGCGTACACCGTTAATTAAGAGCGTTCAGGGAAAATGCATTTTTTTGGTTTACTAAACTAGGAATTACATTTTTTTAGTATACTTGGGAAACTTTCATTCTCATCAGTATGGGATGAGCGAAAAATTTATGAACCTCGATGTGTAACCTTTCCCATAGAGTAGATCACATTTGTTTGTTTGTTTATCAAATCTGAATACAGTGGTACGTTCAATCCCAAGTCAAAAATTTCACGGTGATCTGCAGCACAACACTTTTCTAGGCAACATCAACATGAGACTGCTGTGACTCCTATGAGCTTCAACAAAGAGAATTTATCAATTAAGCTACAATGCTTGTACTTTTCGAATTAATGAGGAAAATAAAAGCTATACTTACACAGTTGAGTTCTTACAGTCATGTACAGCGAAAAATAGATTTTGGCTGAATCGATCACGAGAGACTTGTCAAAATGAGTGGTCGGTTTTAACCTTTGATGACAAAGGCCTAAGTACCTTTCCAAAGCCTAGTGATATGAACATGACCGAAAAAAAAAATTTGTTTTTAATCATACTTAACAATATTGTTTATTATACTTTTTTCGGTGAGTCCTGTGAGCTTCAACAAAGAGAATTTATCAATTAAGCTACAATGCTTGTACTTTTCGAATTAATGAGGAAAATAAAAGCTATACTTACACAGTTGTGTTCTTACATGTACAGCGAAAAATAGATTTTGGCTGAATCGATCACGAGAGACTTTTCAAAATGAGTGGTCGGTTTTAACCTTTGATGACAAAGGCTTGAGTTACATTCCAAAGGTTAGTGATATGCCCATGACCAAAAAAAAATTTGTTTTTAATTATACTTAACATTATTGTTTATTATACTTTTTTGTTTACAGCAAATTCTTTTGACATCCAACAACACTGGAATCTGGTGAAGTGTTCTGGGGTCTTATGAAGAATCATATAAGGTATAAATCCTATGATAAATATTATTGAACATAACTGACTGAATGACCATCAAAGAAATGCTTACATGTGACTGGATTGGCTATGTACGTGTCATCTAATTATAAAGATATGGCACCTGGAGCTGGTTAATGTTTTGAGGTGGTTTATCTTTGACCTTTCTGAATTTTCTGCAATGAAAATACTTATTTTTTTTTGTTTGAGCTTGCCTTCTGATCAGTAACTGCAAGTTATATTACTGATTGAGAATGACTTTCAACTTGGTTATGAAACTGAGTTGGATGGTTGTTTTAATGATCTTTTCATCAGTATAAGAGGGCTGTACATGTATTCTGTAAGTGTCTGTTAGAAAACAGAGTGATATGGTTGAATCTTCAGGCACTACATTTAATTTGCTGGTGTGTAGAGCAACCTAGAACTTACTTGTTTATTTTTCAAATACAGTGGTGTCTACTCCCTGGGACTTTGAATACTCTTTTTAAACCTGCCCAGCATTGGTTGGTGGGACACTTGCCTCTTGTCTGTTGAATGGTACTCCTTGACAGTGACATCCAGCAGCAGCTGCTAAAGGTCCCCATCCAATGTTGGGAGAACATACAACCTATTTTGTCACTTTGGTGTATTGTTGACCCTTTCCTCTGCTTTATTGATGATATTGAAGCATTCCACTGTTCTTTTCCTTGCAAATGATATGTGCTGAGCCAGTTGAAGGCCTACATAATTTTTTTTTAAAAGAATTTTCACGTTCTTTATTAATTTTATCTTTGCTTTACAGTTTTTTTTCTTTGCATTAACAGGTGATTCCTACTTTGTTAACCCAGCCTCAGGAACCAGGGAAATTACTTTGCTAAAAGACTTTCCCAATCACTCCTTGGATACTTTGTCAAATTCTTTGTAGATCACTGTCCCAAAGTTTTTCACCTCCTTCTGTGTTTGTTTGGGAATCTTTTTTGCTAGCCAGTTCTTTTGTTTGATTTTTAACATCTGTAAATGGCTCCCTTTTGTTCACCACACAGCATGTATTTTTCTTGTAAAAGATACTCTCAACTGGAGTCGTTAAAATAAAGCATGAACACTGTGCAGGGTGTAAATGCAAAACACCATTAAGTTTACAAAAGTCTCTTTGCAGGGTTGATTTACCCAGGGCAGTTTGCTGCCAGCTTTCAATGGTAAATGTTTTTAGCTACTTCCTCTATTTTTCAGTGGTGACCACTGTGAAATTAGGTGATCAATGGCCTTATAATTCTTTAGAAAAAAACTTATTAAAGATAGGGAATTTTGTTTGTAGTTGATGCTGCTTTTTCCTATCAGTAAGTATTTGAAAACCTTCAAAAGGTTTGTAGAGAAAAGAAATACTTTTGCTGACATGTCGATGAAGATATTCTTTGAAATTTTCCTTCTACAGCCAATACCCCTCTTCCAGATGCCAGCTTATGCCTTTTCTGACTCATTATCATATCTTGCTATTATTCCCCGCAAGGGAAATTGCCCCCCATAACTTAACATTAGCAAATCAGCATGTCAAACTGAAATTTGAAAAACTGACTGACCGTTGGTAAACTGACTTGGCAGCCAAGGCAAGAGAAACATTTGGGATTTTTTATGTAAAAGCTGTCGTATATTTGACTCCACAGGAAACCACAAGCCAAACAATGCGTTCCACGAGTGGAAATTACAAAAAAAGACAAAAGCAACTACAAAAAAACGCAAATTATTAATCATCATTGAAGTATTTATCGTTCCTCGAATTACAAGAGTCGCAAACATACTGTTCTAGAGCGCCAAATAATAAACTAAGTCAGTTATTTAAGCAGTATCACTTTTCGCTGCAGTCCTCCTGGTATAGTTATTACTGTTTCAGGAGTATCTCGATTAAAGATTAAAGTCATTGTCCTATAACCGATGTTGACTGCCATATTCGATTTGCACCTTTGTAATCAGCGGTGTAATGTAATAGTCAGGTCTTGGTCATGTATTATTAACGAATAGAAACAAAATGGCGGCATTTTTCGTAGCCCTAAGAGGAGTAATCATAACGCACCCGCCGGTGCTGAAGTTTCCGTTTCACGCAATTGTCTTTTGAAAAATGGAAGAAGGCATTGATAAACTTTGTCTTCACGTTTGGAATGATGTGTCAAGTACAATTGATAACAGACAAAATTCTATTAAGTTTACAAAATTCTCTTCGCATCTCTAACAAATCTCAATTCTCTTTTTGAAGGAACGAAGGAAATTCATTCCAAACGTAGATGGCTAGAATTTTTTACTGAGTATTTGTTTCATTCATTGGTCAGTGAAGAGTGTGTGTAAATCTTACCAATTCCAATAAAAATTGATTGAGTAGCGTTTTGATCACGTGACCCGACATGTGACTTTCGTCGTCGGTATTGTTGCCATAAGGTAAAAGTTCTTACGGAAAACTATCGTCCATGAAAGTTTCATCGCAATCGGCTGTGTATTTGCGGAGACAGAGCTGTTTATTTTCTTAAGGCAATTTACTCTCCTGACCCAGGCCTAAAACTACTTGAGCTAGGGCTTGAATATTCACTGAACGATTTCTAGAGAGAAATTACTTGCTCCAGTGAGTACGTGGGCGAACGACATCTAAGCCTTTTTTCGAACTTTTTTGTTTTAGCCGGTGTTGAGAGGATTTCAGATCTCGATAAACGCATTCTTTGTGGAAGAGAGGGGGTTGGGACTACCTTCATTGTAACCCACCTGACCGGCTTGCCACCTCACCTCCAGAACATTTCAATCGGTAAAATACCAGGCTTCTTTTTCGATGGGGAGAAAGGCGGAAGACGCGATAGGACTCTAACTTATTTTTAAGTCGCAGCTTATGAACATTTTTGTGATTTTTAACTGTCTCTATTTTTTTTCGGGTTCTCTACGAATGGGTTCTCTACCGATGCTCTTCTTAAATTCGGAAAAGGCGAGTGATCATAAGAAGCTGAAACAAGGATTCCCTAAATTCGTCCTCTTCACATTAGCTCTTTAAATGATAAATTGACACACTCCGGGTTTTACAGTCATGTTTCTTTAGTAAGTAGAACCGTTCTACTAAACTTCTGAGTAACCTTAATACAACAAAAGCAGCTGACCTATGCAGGAACGGCCCATGATACTCTCTCAAGACACAGCGGCAAAATAAGTGCGCATGCTTGTAACGCACGAAAAATTTCATATGCGTAAAGGAATGGGAACGTCAATATTTCCATAGTAACAACATCGTGGCAGAACAGCGGCAATTTTGAAATTCTCATTGTTTGGTTACATTTCGCGGGGATAGGCCCAAACCAAAGCAGTTAAAGTTGCCGTTTTCAGGAAAGTCTCCTTCAAACCCGCTCTGTCACATATCTCACTCAACAAAGGAAATATTGCGGTAACAGCTGCAAATTTAGCGACATGGCGACGAAGTTCGTGGCACTTTTTATTGCTTAAGCACTTCTTGTCATCGACTCAGAAGGAAAACTCTTCGGAGAAAAGGATTGTTGTCTCAGCGGGAAAACACGCATCAGCTTTGTTTGGAGAGGGAGAGCAGTAACCCTGAACGCTCAAATGGCTCCAGAAACGGGGCATGCGCACTCATTTTGCCGCTGTCCTCACTCTGTGGTCGTAGTTGATCAAGAAGATAACGTGAATCGTAAGTCACATATCTTAACATCGTCGTTTTCAATTAAATAAACATCGATAAAATGATTTGATTACACAATCTCTCTCAACACGCTGTTTCTATTCATGTCAATAGTGCTCTTTATTCCCTCTACTGAAATACTTAACTTTCTGCATTAGCATTTCTTACAAAAACACTTGGTTTGTATCAACTAAGCCTCTATCGAACACAAGTATACTTTTTCTACGGCTTGACTCCTGAAAACTGAAATGGAGTTGATTTATCTTGTTGGCAACTACAGCTTTTTCAAGGTCGGTGGATCACAGAGTCTGCAATAATCTGCAAAAAAAATGAAAAATTTGGTGCTTTTTTTAAATTACATGCCATATTCTAGTCCTACTTAGCTCTGAGACTCGAGAAGCTGGGTTACTTGTGGTGCAGTGCGGGGAAGGACTGACCTATCATGGGATAGGAAACGGGACGTCATCTAACATGGCCGTTAAGATGTACGGCGTGTTTCAATCTCGTTCTCAGGGTCCTCTCTCTTCCTCTCTCGCACGAGTTGTTATGGAAAATTGGATTTTCTCCGAGGTGCTTGAGCTTCATGCCTCTCAAAGTTTTAAAATTGTGACGAATAAAGTTTGTTGATCTTTAACAGAAATGTCTGTTGGAGACAAAAGAACAGCTGAAGCAATTGAGGGGTCCTGTGGTAGAATTCTTGTTAAGAGATCACATCGACTTATTAATACGTATAGTTCAATTGTTACGTTGATTGAAGAATTTATGCTGGGTTTAATAAAAGCTTGCGTAAATGATAAGTACTTACATGCCGACAGCGAGGCCAGATGAGAAAATGAACTCGAGGTGAGCGGACAACACTAAAGAAGAAGACAAATTGGAAAACCACTCCATTTGTGTAGGGTATTTTTTCCTGTCGGTTTTATTACACCGTAATACCTCCTAGTTGTAAAACGAATGTTTGTAACAATTTTTTTTTATAGTTGAACAAGAACAACCTGAGACGGAAGCCGGGAAACGTCATCACATAGATTTACACGTTTCCAGTGTTCTTTTTCATGGTACGTGAAATTCTGTTTCACTTCAACAACACCAAACGTCTTATCAGGAAATTTAACGTTTTGATTATGTAATTTGTGTTAATCTTCTCCATTGCTATTCATCCTCTTCTTTTTTTCTTTTTGTTTCAGATTTACCTCTTCGGTTTGATTTCTATTGTTTTTTCATTCCTAAAATTTTTAATTCGTCCGCGTCGACAAATACGATTGAAAAATTCATAATGTTTTATCCTTAGTAACCTGTCATTGCTGTCAGCAAAAATCTCGTGAGAGACTGGGGTCGTTTATTCTCCATACTAGGCCTCCTCCTGCAGTTTATTCTCTAATTAATGTATGAACAGCTATGAAATAATAATTCAGTACAATGCCCAATCACGGTTTTTATAAAAAAGGTACTCATCCCAACAATTTCACACAGAAATAAAAAATGAAATTATATAAAATAGAAAAGAAAGAAAGAAAAAAGAAAGAAAGCAAACATTGAAAATTAAACAAAGTTTCTTGAGGGACAAACCCCTAGAAACCCAAATTCCAACATTTCCCCAGACTGTTAAACTTTCATTCTGTTGTCCCTAGTTTTTTAGAATACAAAAATGTCTCTTACAATTAGGTATGGTGGACATGGAAGGTGATATTGTGACAAAGGCACTTGTAATATTCCCATCAGCACTTGATGACTTGGTTGTAACGTGAACTGCAGCCATTGTAGACATTGTAGGAAAAGCTGTCGTGGATGGGTTTGCCTGTGTTATCATGGATGAATTGGCCGCCATACAAAAGCATGAGCATGTTGATACACAAGCATGTGCATGTTGCATGCAACATATCAAAAAAAACACAAACTTTAGGTGTTGAGGGAGAGTCATCTGTCAAAGCGAAAGCAAACGGTATTGCAGTTAACTCATGATAACAAACACAGAGAGAAAAATTTAATATAGCGAACAAGAGGCGCATGTTTTCTAATAGATTTGGGTAAGAAGTTGTAAGCTATGTCTTTGGATCAATCCACTCTTTTACATTAACACCTTAGTTTGACTGACGCCCACTAAGGTTTTGTTTTGCTGGCTTTAGAATACCTCTTTGGCGTAATTTTAATACCATGGGAAGGGAAGCGGTAAATTTATTCTCGCGTGGCAGTATCTGTCCACCGCCTCGAGCTACAGACACAGCGACTCAGTCTGTTTGTGAGAAAGAGCAGGCCCTGGTTGTTCGAAGGTTGAATAATGCTATCCACCATATAAAACTCTATCCAGTGGATAACGCTATACGTTTTGCTATCACTTATCCGCCGGATAGCGATGTATCCGCCAGATAGCGATTCATCCGTCGGATAGCGTTATCTGCTTTTATACAACTGGGCCCAGGACTATAATTACTCGGAAATGGAGCTCGTTTTCAAGTAAACAGAGTATTGGGTCTAAACTTGCATCAGGCAGCCAACTTGAAAGACTTCTTTTATCTTCCAGAATCACAATGCGTGCCAAGAGTGCGATGAATTGCCCCTATCAGTCGCCATTAAAATTGAGTTCAAAAGCGAACGTCTTTATTGAAAATGCGCTCTTTAGGAGGCTGGCTGAGGAACAAATACACTTTCAGTCTGCGGTATTTACAAGATTAGAGAGTTTAAGTTGTTACTACAGCGACCTGTGGAAAAACGTAACTTATTTCCCTGTAAGATTTCGCCTATAGCTCGATGCGTTAACCGTTTGTGACGGTAAGACATCTTCACTTCTGCATAACATGTGAATGTAGTGTTGAATTCAATGTAAAACTTGAATTAATTGCTATCGAGGTTTCCAGCTAAGAGAGCGTAAAAGTTGGGGATGTCACGTTTTTGTTCCGTATGGGACGGCTAAGAAATGTACAAAGTTTTAAAACGCACGTGTTTTGCTTTTGTTTTGCTCATTAGATCATTTGCTTCGCTACTTTCTTGTTGCCATCGCCGTTGTTGCTCTCTTTCACTCCCTATTTACTCTACCTGTTGAATCGTAACAATATGATTCAGAATAGATCTTGATATCTAGTCTGCAACTGATATCAGTATTCGGGGATGAAAATAGGCTTAGGTAAACCTAATAACAATGATTACTTTTAACAAATTTATTCTGAAGGAAATTAAGTAAATTGCTTAGCCTCATACTTAAGATGTTTCATTGAAAGTGTTTACTTTTGTTAAGACTGTATGATTCAAGATTGGAAAGGTCCTCGTTTTAGCGCGAGAAAATGCGCACCGAATAGGTATTAAAAATTACGAAGCCGCAAAATCAAATAAAGAAAACTGGTGAGTCGTTGAGAAATTATTAAAACGGACGGTGATTCATTCTCACTGCTTTCGAAGCGACGAAATTTGACCTTCTGAATGCGAACATCCTTTCACAATAAACACTAAATGAACAATAGAAACAAAGAGTTAAAATGATGATCCATACCTTGCATCTGATCTCCACTGATAAAAACGGTTTTGCGATCAACTAGCTATAGTGAATGTCGCCGAGATCAAGAAAGCCTTCCCTGTTGGGTAAGATAACCGGAAACTGAAACTCGGTCTTATAACTGTTAGCCTTTTCGTCGCTAAGGAAACGGAAAACAGAGATTTTAAACCAATCCAATCCTAGCCCCAGGGCTTGAATATTTACAGAACGATTTCCAGAGAGGGATTACATGCTCCAGTGAGTTCGTGGGCGAACGATATCCAGGCCTTTTTTTTCGAAATTTTCTGTTTTAGCTGGTGTTGAGAGAATTTCAGATCTTCGTTAACGCATTCTTTGTGGAAGAGAGGGGGTTGGGGCGACCTTCGTTGTATCCCACCTGACCGGCTTGCCACCTCACCTCCAAAACATTTCAATCGGTAAAATACCAGGCTTCTTTTTTCATGGTGAGAAAGGCGGAAGAAGTGATAGCACTCTAACTTATTTTTAAGTTGCAGCTTATGAACATTTTTGTGATTTTTCATTGTCTCTATTTTCTTCTGGGTTCTCTGCCAATGTATTCTCTACCAACGCTCTTTTTAAATTCAGAGAAGGCGAGTGCTTATAGCACTTGGTACTTTTGGTAGCTAAAGCAAGGATTCCCAAAACTCTTCCTCTTCACATTAGCTCTTTAAATGATAAATTGACACACTCCGGGTTTTTTTTCCTTTGATAAGTAGAACCGTTCTACAAAACTTCTGAGCAACCTTAATAGAACAAAGGCAGCTGAACTACGCATAAAAAGACAGAGCGGCAAAATGAGTGCGCATGCTTGTAACGTACGAGAAATTTCATATGCGTAAAAGAATGGGAACGTCAATATTTCCATAGCAACACCATCGTGGTTCAACAAGGGCAATTTTGAAATTCTCACTGTTTAGTTTCATTTCGCGGGGATAGGCCCAAACCAAAACAGATTGTTGTCTCAGCGGGAGAACCCGCATCAGCTTTGTCTCTGTCCTCACTTTGTAGTCGTAGTTGTCAAGAAGATAACGCGAATCATAAGTCACGTATCTTAACATCGTCGTTTTCAAGTAAATAAACATCAGTAAAATGATTTGATTACACAATCTCTATCAACACGCTGTTTCTATTCATGTCAGTACTATTTTCTATTCCCTCTACTGAAATACTTAACTTTCCGCATCAGCACTTCTTACAACAAACACTTGGCTTGTATCTACTAAGCCTCTATTGAATACAAGTGTACTTTTTCTACGGCTTTACTCCTGAAAAACTGAAATGGAGTTGATTTATCGTGTTGGCAACTACAGCTTTTTCAAGGTCGGTGGATCACTGAGTCTGCGATAATCTGCGAAAAAAATTAAAAATTTAGCGCTTATTTGAAATTACATGCCATATTCCAGTCCTACTTAGCTCTGGGACTCGACAAGCTGGGCTACCTGTGGTACATTGCAAGGAAGGATTAATCTATTATGAGATAGGAGACGTGACGTCGTCTAACATGGCCGTTAAGATATACGGCGTGTTTCAATCTCGTTCCCAGGGTCCTCTTTCTTCCTCTCTCGAACGGATTTTTAGGGAAACTTGGATTTTCTCTGAGGTGTATGGAATTGTGACCAGTAAAGTTTATTGATCTTTATCAGAAATGTCTGTTGAAGACAAAATAACAGCTGAAGCAGTTAAGAGGTCCTGTGGTAGAATTTTTGTTACGAGATCACATTGACTTATAATGTCGAATAGTGGCATTGTTTGATTGAAGAACTTAAGCTGGGTTTAATAAAATATTGCGTAAATGATAAGTACTTACAGGCTGACAGCGATACCAGATGAGAAAATGAACACGAGGTGAGCGGACAACACTGGAGAAAAGAACAAAACAGATTGAATTTAAATTCAAGTATCTCTGTGGTGGAGAGTAACTTGAGATACAGAGTGTATTGAAATTTCTTGAACTGCTTCGTCCTCAAGAGAATATCAGTGGATGTTTGCTTGTTCGTCCTGCAGTGTGGTTCCTGTCACATGTTGATGTAACTCTCGCGAACTTTCTAGAACATTCTATCAAGCACTACAATAATGATGTAGTGGAAGCTTCAAAATTACTTTGCTTGTGGTTGCTACAAGAGAGACTCAGAAGAGATTTTACGGTAGCAGTCGGTTTGATGTGAGTTTGTTTCTGTGGCGACTGAAGGTTACGTTAGTAGTGGACTCAAGTTCAATTAATTGTAGACTGTTTTGTTTAAGAGTTGTTCCCTTGAAATAGTAAAATTGAATAAATTGTTTTGTTTCAGAAGATAGAGCAATTTTCAATTCAATGTCGATAGTGATCCGAGATTGCGTTGGGTTTGCTTTACTTCGTTCTGTGATTGGTCATGAAAACTCACGGTCTACCATCTCAACCACTGACATCGATCCAAAACTAAAGCCAACCACGACTTCGTCGCATTCGTTGTCCCGCGCTTTAAGCAGTTTGCTTGTTTTTACTTTGAATCTTATCAGCTGTGAAAGGTATTTCTCCTATCTTCTGATTGGCCTTGGTAATAACTTTGGTTTTGGTTTTACAAAACTCAATCCAAAAGCACCCCATTTAAAAAGGGTATTTTTTCTTGTCGGTTTAATTGTACCGTAACATCTCCCAGTTGTAAATTGAATGATTTATAACAATTGTTGTTAGAGTTAAACTAGACCAACCTGAGCCGGAAGCTGGACAGACGTCATCACATTGTTTTACAGGTTTCAAGTGTTTATTCTCATAGTAGGGGAAATTCTTTTTCACGTCAGCACAGCTGTACATTTTATCGACCATAGTAACGTAACCACAGCTGGTTTTATTGAACTCGTCCTTGTCACATTCCTTATCGTCGTTAGGTGGCATCTTGATGCTACATGACATGGTCACTGTGATGGTTCCTCCATTACTGCAAGATGTGCAATCTGGTGACGAGTACTCGGTGCCTATGCTGAAAGACGCTGAAAATATATAACTGCCAAGTGAATATACAGAGTATTCTTAATCACAGCAGCTTCTTCACAGTTCCAAGTTTGCAGTTCGTGCTAATCTTCTCCATAGCTGTTAACCTCTTCTTTTTTCTTTTTGTTTCAGACTTACCTCTGGTTTTATTTCTATTTTCTTTTTATACCTAAAATTCTAATCCGTCCGCGTCGACAAATACGATTTCAGAATTCATTATATTTTACCCTTGGTAACCTGTCATTGTTGTCAGCACAAATCCCGTTAGAGACTGGGGCCGTCTATTCTCCTAACTGGGCCTTTTTAATTCGTCCGCGTTGACAAATACGATTTAAAAATTCATAATATTTTATCCTTAGTAACCTGTCACTGCTATCAGCAAAAATCCGGTGAGAGACTGGGGTCGTCTATTCGCCATACTGGGCCTCCTCATGCAGTTCATTCTTTTTAAAGAATTAAAATTAGTTATGAACAGCTATGAAATAATGATTTAGCACAACACGCGAACACGGTTTTTATAAAAGAAAAGGTACTTATCCCGACAATTTCACACAGAAATAAAAAAAGAAATTATGTAAAATAGAAAACGAGAAAAAAGAAAGAAAGCAAGGGAGAGAAAAATTGAAAATTAAACAAAGTTTCTTCAGGGACATGTCCCTAGAAACCCAACTTCCAACCTTTCCCCATACTGTTAGATTTTCATTCTGTTGTTCTTAGTTTTTAAGAATACAAAACTGTCTCTTACCATTACTTATGGTAGACACATTGGCACTTGGGGTACTTGTTGAGTTTGAAGCAAGTGCATGTTGCATACAACATATCAAAAGTAATACAAACTTTAGGCGGTGAGGGGAAGTCATCTGTCAAAGCGAAAGCAAAAAGTATTGCAATTAACTCATGATAACAAACACAAAGAGAAAAATTCAATATAGCGAACAAGAGTCGAATGTTTTCTAATAGATTTGGGTAAGAAGTTGTAAGCTATGTCTTTGGATCAATCCATTTCTTTTACATGAATACCTTAGTTTGACTGACGCCCACCAAGGTTTTGTTTTGCTGGCTTTAGAATGTCTCTTTGGCGTAATTTTAATAACGTGGGAAGGGAAGCGGTAAATTTATTCTCGCGTGGCGGTATCTGTCCACCGCCTCGAGCTACAGACACAGCGACTCGGTCTGTTTATGAGAAAGAGCAGGCCCTGGTTGTTGGAAGGTTGAATAACGCTATCCACTGGATAAAACTCTATCCGGTGGATAACGATATATGTCTAGCTATCAGTTATCCGCCGGATAGCGATTTATCCGTTGGATAGCGTTATCCACTTTTATACAACTGGGCCTAGGACTATAATTACCCGGAAATGAAGCTCGTTTTCAAGTAAACAGAGTATTGGGTCTGAACTTGCATCAGACAGCCAACTTGAAAACGTCTTTTATCTTCCAGAATCACAATGCGTGCCAAGAGTGCGATGGATTGCCCTTATCAGTCGCCATTAAAATTGGGTTCAAAAGCGAACATCTTTATTGAAAATGCGCTCTGTAGGAGGCTGGCTAAGGAACAAATACACTCTCAGTCTGCGGTATTTACAAGATTAGAGAGTTTAAGTTGTTACTACAGCGACCTGTGGAAAAACGTAACTTATTTCCCTGTAAGATTTTCGCCGATAGCTCGATGCGTTAACCGTTTCTGACGGTACGACATCTTCGCTTCTGCATAGCATGTGAATGTAATGTTGAATTCAATGTAAACCTTGACTTAATTGCTGTCGAAGTTTCTTACAAAGAGAGTGTAAAAGTTTGTGATGTCACGTTTTTGTTCTGTATGGGACAGCTAAGAAATGTACAAAGTTTTTAAACCCACGTGTTTTGCTTTTGTTTTGCTCATTAGATCTTAAGTTTCGCTACGTTCTTGTTTCTATTGCCGTTGTTGCTCTCTTTCACTCCCTATTTCCTCTATCTGTTGAATCGTAACAACATCATAATTTAGACTAGATCTTGATATCTAGTCTGCAACTGATATCAGCATTAGGAGATGAAAATAGGCCTAGGTAAACCTCAAATCAATGATTACTTTTATCAAATTTACTTCAAAGGAAATTAAGTAAATTGTTTAGCCTCACAGTTAAGATGTTTCGCTGAAAGTGTTTACTTTTGTTAAGACTGTATGATTCAAGATTGGAAAGGTGCTCGTTTTAGCGCGAGAAAATGTGCACCGAACGGGTGGTAAAAATTACTTGGCCGCAAAATCAAATGAAGAAGACTGGTGAGTCGTTGAGAAATTAAGTATTAAAACGGATGGCCAGTTCATTCTCTCTGCCTTCGAAGCGACGAAATTCGACCTTCTGAATACGCACATCGTTTGACCATAAACACTAAATGAACAATAGAAACAAAGAGTTAAAATGATGATCCATACCTTGCAAATAATCTCCACTGATGTAAACGGTTTTGTGCTCAATTAAATATAGTAAATGTCGCCGAGATCAAGAAAGCCTTCCCTGTTGGATAAAATAACCGGAAACTGAAACTCGGGCTTATAACTTTCAGCCTTTTTGTTGCTAAGGAAACGAGAATCAGACATTTCAAACCAATCCAACCCTAGCCCTAGGGCTTGAATATTTACAAAACAATTTCCAGAGAGGAATTACTTGCTCCAGTGAGTACATGGGCGAACGATATCCGAGGCCTTTTTTCCGACCTTTTTGTGTTTCAGCCGGTGTTGAGAGGATTTCAGATCTCGGTAAACGCATTCTTTGTGGAAGAGAGGGGGTTGGGGCGACCTTCGTTGTATCCCACCTGACCGGCTTGTCACCTCACCTCCAGAACATTTCAATCGATAAAATACCAGGCTTCTGTTTTCATGGGGAGAAAGGCGGAAGAAGCGATAGTACTCTAACTTATTTTTAAGTTGCAGCTTATGAACACTTTTGTGATTTTTCATTGTCTCTATTTTCTTCTGGGTTCTCTGCCAATGTATTCTCTACCAACGCTCTTTTTAAATTCGGAGAAGGCGAGTGCTTATAGCACTTGGTAGCTAAAGCAGGGATTCCCAAAACTCTTCATCTTCACATTAGCTCTTTAAATGATAAATTGACACACCCCGGGTTTTTTTTCCTTTGATAAGTAGAACCGTTCTACAAAACGTCTGAGTAACCTTAATAAACAAAGGCAGCTGAACTACGCATAAAAAGACAGAGCGGCAAGATGAGTGCGCATGCTTGTAACGTACGAGAAATTTCATATGCGTAAAAGAATGGGAACGTCAATATTTCCATAGCAACACCATCGTGGTTCAACAGGGGCAATTTTAAAATTCTCATTGTTTAGTTTCATTTCGCGGGGATAGGCCCAAACCAAAACAGATAAAGTTGCCGTTTTCAGAAAAGTTTCTTTCTGTCACATATCTCACTCAACAAAAGAAATATTGCGGTAACAGCTGCAAATTTAGCAACCGCAGTAGTGCATCTGTAACATGGCGATGAAGTTCGTAGCACCTTTTACTCCTTTAGCGCTTCTAGTCATCGACTCCTCAGAATGAAAACTCGCTGGAGAAAAGGATTGTTGTCTCAGCGGGAGAACCCGCATCAGCTTTGTCTCTGTCCTCACTTTGTAGTCGTAGTTGCCAAGAAGATAACGCGAATCATAAGTCACGTATCTTAACATCGTCGTTTTCAAGTAAATAAACATCAATAAAATGATTTGAATACACAATCTCTATCAACAAGCTGTTTCTATTCATGTCAGTAGTGTTTTCTATTGCCTCTACTGAAATACTTAACTTTCCGCACTAGCATTTCTTACAACAAACACTTGGCTTGTATCTACTAAGCCTCTATTTAATACAAATGTACTTTTTCTACGGCTTTACTCCTGAAAAACTGAAATGGAGTTGGTTTATCGTGTTGGCAACTACAGCTTTTTCAAGGTCGGTGGATCACAGAGTCCGCGATAATCTGCGAAAAAAATTAAAAATTTAGCGCTTATTTCAAATTATATGCCATATTCCAGTCCTACTTAGCTCTGGGACTCGACGAGCTGGGTTACCTGTGGTACAGTGCGGGGAAGGACTAATATATTATGGGAGAGGAGACGGATCGTCATCTAACATAGCCGTTAAGATGTACAGCGTGTTTCAATCTCGTTCCCAGGGTCCTCTCTCCTCTTCTTTCGTACGGATTTTTAGGGAAAATTGGATTTTCTTTGAGGTGCATGAACTACATGCACCTCAGAGTTTTAAAATTGTGACGAATAAAGTTTGTTGATCTTTAACAGAAATGTCTGTTGGAGACAAAGTAACAACTGAAGCAGTTAAGAGGTCCTGTGGTAGAGTTCTTGTTACGATCGAGATCACATTGAATCATAATGTCGGATAGTGGCATTGTTACGTTGATTGAAGAATATAAGCTGACTTTAATAAAAGCTAAATGATAAGTACTTACAGGCCGACAGCGAGACCAGATGAGAAAATGAACACGAGGTTAGCGGACAACACTGAAGAAAAGAACAAAACAGATTGGATTTAAATTCAAGGATCTCTGTGGTGGAGAGTAACTTTAGATACAGAGCGTATGCAAAATTCTTGAACTAGTTCGTTCCCATGAGAATATCAGTTGAAATTTGCTTGTTCGTTCTGCAATGTGGTTTCTGTCTCATGTCAGGATGTAACTCTCGCGAACTTTCTAGAACATTCTATCAAGCAATACAATAATAATGTCCTGAAAACTTCAAAATTACTTTTTTTTATCGGCTACAAAGAAAGGAATTTTGAAGTCACCGGTACCTTTTAGAATGCCTTATAAATGTTAAATAAGCCGGTCACCGAGTAAAGAAGTTTTTTTGTCGGCAAAGAAGGTCTTTTGAAGAAGCTACCAGAAGCTATTGTGGTTTGCAGTGGAGGTATGCCTATAGTCGAGAGTTTCAGAAGAGATTTTACGATAGTAGTCGGTTTGATGTGACTTTAGTTTTAGTTAAGGGCAGATTGTATTGTTTAGGAGTTGTTCCCCTGAAATAGTAAAATTGAATATTGATCCGAGATTGCGTTGGGTTTGCTTTACTTCGTTCTGTGATTGGTCCGGAAAAATCGCAGCCACTCTCTCAACCAATCACATCGATGCAAAATTAAAGCCACTCACGACTTCGTCGCACGCGTTGTCCCGCGCTTCAGGCAGTTTGCTTGTTTTTACTTTGAATCTTACTAGCTGTGAAAGGTATTTCTCCTATCTTCTGATTGGCCTTGGTAATAACTTTGGTTTTGGTTTTACAAAACTCAATCCAAAAGCACCCCATTTTAAAAGGGTATTTTTTCTTGTCGGTTTAATTGTACCGTAACATCTCCCAGTTGTAAAATGAATGATTTATAACAATTGTTGTTAGAGTTAAACTAGACCAACCTGAGCCGGAAGCTGGACAGACGTCATCACATTGTTTTACAGGTTTCAAGTGTTTATTCTCATAGTAGGGGAAATTCTTTTTCACCTCAGCACAGCTGTACATTTTATCGACCATAGTAACGTAACCACAACTGATTTTATTGAACTCGTCCTTGTCACATTCCTTATCGTCGTTAGGTGGCATCTTGATGCTACATGACATGGTCACTGTGATGGTTCCTCCAATTCTGCAAGATGCGCAATCTGGTGACGAGTACTTGGTGCCTATGCTGAAAGACGCTGAAAATATATAACTGCCAAGTGAATATACAGAGTATAGTTAATCATAGCAGCTTCTTCACAGTTCCAAGTTTGCAGTTCGTGCTAATCTTCTCCATAGCTGTTAATCCCTTTCTTTTCCTTTTTGTTTCAGACTTACATCTCTGATTTTATTTCTATTTTCGTTTTATACCTAAAATTCTAATCCGTCCGCGTCGACAAATACGATTTAAGAATTCATTATATTTTACCCTTGGTAACCTGTCATTGCTGTCAGCACAAATCCCGTTAGAGACTGGGGCCGTCTATTCTCCAAACTGGGCCTCCTAATGTAATTCATTCTTTAATTAATGTATAATCAGTTATGAAATAATGATTCATTTAAACGCGCGATTACGGTTTTATAAAAAAAAGAGGTAATTATGCCGACAATTTCACACAGAAAATAAAAAATTAAATTACATAGAATAGAAAACGTGGAAAAAAGAGAGAAAGCAAGAGAGAGGAAAACTGAAAATTAAAACAAAGTTTCTTGAGGAACATTTCCCCAGAAACCCAAATTCTTTAAGACTACAAAATGTCTCTTACCATTACGAATGGTGGACATGGAAGATGATGTTGTGACAGAGGGACTTGTAATCTTCACATGAGCACTTGATGACTTGGTTGTATCGTGGGTTGTTGAGGTTGGTTCTACTGTGGCCGTAGCGGACGCATTTTTTGTCGCCGTCATTGGACTTCCTGTGGTGGAAGTCCCATCTTTAGACGCTGTATTGTTAACTACAGCCTTTGCAGATGTTGTGGCAACATCTACAAAATAGTAAAATTGAATGAATTAGTTTGTTTCATAAGATAGAGCAATTTCTAACTCAATGGCGAAAGTAATCCGAGATCGGCGATGGGTTGCTTTACTTCGTTCTATGATTGGTCCAAAACACTCGCGGCTACCCTCTCAACCAATCACATCGATCGAATACTAAAGCCAATCACGACTTTGTCGCACGCGCTGGCCCGCGCTTGGGGCAGTTTGCTTGTTTTTACTTTGAATCTCATCAGCTCTGAAAGGTATTTCTTCTTTCATCTGATTGACCCTCTGTGATAACTTTGGTTTTGGGTTCAAAACACTCAATCCAAAAGCACTCTATTTGTGTAAGGTATTTTTCCAGTCGGTTTTATTATACTGTAATACCTCCTAGTTGTAAAATGAATGATTTGTAATAATTTTTTATAGTTGAACAAGAACCCGAGACGGACGCTGGGAAACGTTATCATATAGATTTACACATTTCCAGTTTTTTTTCTCATGGTACGTGAAATTCTGTTTCACTTTAGCAAAGCCATACGTCTTATCGGGCAATTTGACGTTTCAATTATTTAATTCGTGTTAATCTTCTCCATTGCTATCAATCCTCTTCTTTTCCTTTTTCTTTTTCTTTTCCATGCCCTTAGAAACCCAAATTTTAACTTTTCCCCATACTGTTAAATTTTCAGTTTGGTGTCCTTAGTTAAAAGAATACAAAATATCTCTTACCATTAGAAATGGTGGACATGGAAGGTGATGTTGTGACAGAGGGACTTGTAGTCTTCACAGAAGCACTGGATGACTTGGTTGTATCGTGGGTTGTTAAGGTTGGTTCTACTGTGGCTGTAGCGGACGCTTTTTTTGTCGCTGTCATTGGAGTTCCTGTGGTAGACGTCCCATCTTTAGACGCTGTATCGTCTAAAATAAAATAAAAAGAGAAATTATATAAAATAGAAAACGAGAAAAAAGAAAGAAAGCAAGAGAGAGAAAAATTGAAAATTAAAACAAAGTTTCTTGAGGGACATGTCCCTAGAAACCCAGATTCCAACCTTTTCCCATACTGTTAAATTTTCATTCTGTTGTTCTTAGTTGATTTAAAAATTCATAATATTTTACTCTTGGCAACCTGTCATTACTGTCGGCACAAATCCCGTGAGAGACTGGGGCCGTTCATTCTCCAAAATGGGCCTGTTCGTACAAGTAATTCTTAGATTAATGCATGAACAGCTATGAAATAATGATTAAGTATAACGCGCGATTACGGTTTTATAAAAAAAAGAGGTAATTATGCCGACAATTTCACACAGAAAATAAAAAATTAAATTACATAGAATGGAAAACGTGGAAAAAAGAATGAAAGCAAGAGAGAGAAAAACTTAAAATTAAAACAAAGTTTCTTGAGGAACATGTCCCTAGAAACCCAAATTCTTTAAGACTACAAAATGTCTCTTACCATTACGAATGGTGGACATGGAAGATGATGTTGTGGCAGAGGGACTTGTAATCTTCACATCGGTACTTGATGAATTGGTTGTATCGTGGGTTGTTGAGGTTGGTTCTACTGTGGCTGTAGGGGACACTTTTTTTGTCGCCGTCATTGGAGTTCCTGTGGTGGACGTCCCATCTTTAGACGCTGTATTGTCAACTACAGCCTTTGCAGATGTTGTGGCAGCATCTACAAAATAGTAAAATTGAATCAATTAGTTTGTTTAATAAGATTGAGCAATTATCAATTCAATGGCGAAAGTAATCCGAGATGGCGATGGGTTGCTTTACTTCGTTTTATGATTGGTCCAAAACACTCGGGGCTTCTCTCTCAACTAATCACATCGATCGAAAACTAAAGCCAATCACGACTTTGGCTCGCGCTTTAGTCAGTTAACTTGTTTTTATTTTGAATCTTATTGGCTCTGAAAGGTATTTCTCCTTTCTTCTGATTGGCCCTCTCTGATAACTTTAGTTTTGGGTTTAAAACGCTCAATCCAAAAGCACTCCATTTGTGTAGGGTATTTTTCCTGTCGGTTTTATTACACTGTAATACCCACTAGTTGTAAAATGAATGATTTGTAACAATTTTTTTAAAGTTGAACAACAACAACCTGAGACGGACGCTGGGAAACGTTATCACATAGATTTACACGTTTCCAGTGTTCTTTTTCAAGGTAAGTGAAATTCTGTTTCACTTCAACAAAGCCATACGTCTTATCAGGCAATTTAACGTTTCAATTATGTAATTTGTGTTAATCTTCTCCATTGCTATTAATCCTCTTCTTTTTTCTTTTTGTTTCAGATTTACCTCTTTGGTTTGACTTCTTTTGTCGTTTTATTCCTAAAATTTTTAATTCGTCCGCGTCGACAAATACGATTTAAAAATTCATGTTGTTTTATCCTTAGTAACCTGTCATTGCTGTCAGCAAAAATCTCGTGAGAGACTGGGGTCGTCTATTCTCCATACTAGGCCTTCTTCTGCAGTTTATTCTTTAATTAATGTATGAACAGCTATGAAATAATAATTCAGTACAACGCCCGATCACGGGTTTTATATAAAAAAAAAAAAAGGAACTGATCCCGAAAATTTCACACGGAATAGAAAATGAAATTATATAAAATAGAAAACGAGAAAAAAGAAAGAAACCAAAAATTGAAAATTAAACAAAGTTTCTTGAGGGACATGTCCCTAGAAACCCAAATTCAAACCTTTCCCCATACTGTTAAACTTTCATTCTGTTGTCCCTAGTTTTTAAGAATACAAAAATGTCTCTTACTATTACGTATGGTGGACATGGAAGATGATACTGTGACAGGGGCACTTGTAATCTTCCCATCAGCACTTGATGACTTGGTTGTAACGCGAGTTGTTGAGGTTGGTAGTACTGTGGCTGTAGCGAACGCGTTTGTTGTCGCCGACATTGGGGTACCTGTGGTGTACGTCTCATCTTTAGACGCCGTCTTATTATCTGCAACCATTGAAGACATTGTAGGAACAGCTGTAGTGGATGGGTTTGCCCGTGTTATCATGGATGAATTTGCCGTCATACAAAAGCATGAGCATGTTGATGCACAAGCATGTGCATGTTGCATGGAAGATGATGTTGTGACAGGGGCAGTTGTAATATTCCCATCAGCACTTGATGACTTGGTTGTAACGTGAGTTGTTGAGGTTGGTACTACTGTGGCTATAGCGGACGCTCCTGTTGTCGCCGACATTGGGGTACCTGTGGTGTTCGTCCCATCTTCAGACGCTGTTATATTTACTGCAGCCATGGATGCGTTTGCCTGTGTTATCATCGATGAATTTGCCGCCATACAAAAGCATGAGCATGTTGATAAACAAGCATGTGCATGTCGCATGTAACATATCAAAAAAAGCACAAACTTTAGGCGGTGAGGGAAAGTCATCTGTCAAAGCGAAAGCAAATGGTATTGCAATTAACCCATGATAACAAACACAGAGAGAAAAATTCAATATAGCGAACAAGAGGCGAATGTTTTCTAATAGATTTGGGTAAGAAGTTGTAAGCTATGTCTTTGGATCAATCCACTCTTTTATATTAACACCTTAGTTTGACTGACGCCCACCGAGGTTTTGTTTTGCTGGCTTTAGAATACCTCTTTGGCGTAATTTTAATAACATGGGACGAGAAGCGGTAAATTTATTCTCGCGTGGCAGTATCTGTCCACCGCCTCGAGCTACAGACACAGCGACTCGGTCTGTTTATGAGAAAGAGAAGACCCTGGTTGTTCGAAGGTTGAATAACACTATCCACCGGATGAAACTCTATCCGGTGGGTAACGCTATACGTTTTGCTATCCCTTATCCACCGGATAGCGATTTATCCGTCGGATAGCGATTTATCCGCCGGATAGCGATGTATCTGCCGGATGGCGATTTATCCGTCGGATAGTGTTATCTGCTTTTATACAACTGGGCCTAGGACTATAATTACTCGGAAATGGAGCTCGTTTTCAAGTAAACAAAGTATTGGGTCTAAACTTGCATCAGACAGCCAACTTGAGGGAAGTCTCTTATCTTCCAGAATCACAATGCGTGCCGATAGTGCGATTAATTGCCCTTATTAGTCGCCATTAAAATTGAATTCAAAAGCGAACGTCTTCATTGAAAATACGCTCTGTAGGAGGCTGGCTGAGGAACAAATACACTCTCAGTCTGCGGTATTTACAAGATTAGAGAGTTTAAGTTGTTACTACAGCGACCTGTGGAAAAACGTAACTTATTTCTCTGTAAGATTTTCGCCAATAGCTCGATGCGTTAACCGTTTGTGACGGCACGACATCTTCACTTCTGCATAACATGTGAATGTAGTGTTGAATTCAATGTAAAACTTGAATTAATTGCTATCGAGGTTTCTAGCTAAGAGAGCGTAAAAGTTGGGGATTTCACGTTTTTGTTCTGTATGGGACGGCTAAGAAATGTACAAAGTTTTAAAACGCACGTGTTTTGCTTTTGTTTTGCTCATTAGATCATTTGCTTCGCTACGTTCTTGTTGCCATCGCCCTCGTGGTTCTCTTTCACTCCCCATTTACCCTATCTTTTGAATCATAACAATACATGATTTAGAACAGATCTTGATTGCTAGTCTGCAGTTTCACGCTCAAGATGTTTCGCTGAAAGTGTTTACTTTAGTTAATACTGTATGATTCAAGATTGAAAAGTTCTTCGTTTTAGCGCGAGAAAATGCACACCCGATAGGTGTTAAAAATTACTAAGCCGCAAAATAAAATAAAGAAGACTGGTGAGTCGTTAAGAAATTATTAAAACGGATGTTGAGTTCATTCTCACTGCTTTCAAAGCGACGAAATTCGATCTTCTGAATGCGAACATCCTTTCACCATAAACACTAAATGAACAATAGAAACAAAGAGTTAAAACGATGATCGATACCTTGCAACTGATCTCCACTGATATAGACGGTTTTGCGATCAACTAGCTGTAGTGAATGTCGCCGAGATCAAGAAAGCCTTCCCTGTTGGATAAAATAACCTGAAACTGTTGCAAAATAAAAGAGCAATCGGGCTTATAACCGTTAGCCTTTTTGTCGCTAAGGAAACGACAAACAGAAATCTCAAACCAATCCAACTCTAGCCCTAAGGCTGGAATATTTACAGAACGATTTCCAAAGAGGAATTTCTTGCTCCAGTGAGTACGTGTGCGAACGATATCCAAGCCTTTTTACTTGTAACTTTTCTGTTTTAGCTGATGTTGAGAAGATTTCGGAATGATTGCGAGCAGATCTAAAATTTCAACGCATTCGAATCTGAAATGAAGTGAATGAGCAGCTGAATAAACACGGCATGAAAAATTGGCAGCAGGAAGTAAAAGGGATTTTATAGTTTAAGTGTGTGCATATTTAAGCGTTGCATGCGTTTGAAAATGCCGAGTAAAAGCCGACCTCTTTCAACTCCCAGCGCAAATTTGTGAATGATTCACCTACTTTGCGTACGTGTATGTGTTTAAGGATAGTCAACTTTTTGACTTCCCCTGACCTCGGAAGGTACCTCCGAAGCTGCAGCCAGGGATACAAGATGGCGACGAGATGACAAACGTATCCAGGTGTGAGTCTCTCACGGGGCTTGAAAAAAGGACCACGTCCACTTGGGGTGAGCAGAGGGGCATTTTGTTGCGCATGTTCTGTAAATTTTAGTTTGATACGAGAGACCGCTGCTATGCGCCTGCGTCGGTTTCCCGCTCGAGAATCGCTTTAGAAAAGAAGCAGTAAAATACGTCGGAAAAAACAATGGTTCGAGTATTTGAGACAATCTTTCTTCTTATTTTTTCTTCTGTAACTTAGATGGAAGCGGAAAAGTCTTGAAATTATTGTGTGATGTGTGGAAGGAAGTTATTTAAAAAATGCAAAAGATTGTCCGAGTCTTGGCTTGTGATTGTCTGGGCGATCGATGTAGATAATGTTATTTTTGAAGGATGCAACTAACCTGTCGAAGCGCACAAAAGAATTGGATAGTATACTTCTATCGTATAATTGCTATCTCAAGTTATCGGTGATCATTTGAAGTGCTTGCCTTCCTGTAAACGTTTTTTAGAGCTTCAACCGTACTGCAAGTGCAGCGTACCTCCAATTTTGGCAAAAATTTAAAGTTTACAGAAGTTTATGTTTTGTTTCAAAAGTTTTTTTTGACATGAATCACAACCGGCAGAGCCAATTACCAAAATAAAAAAGGTCATTTTCGAGTAAAGAAAAGAAAGTCAATGCTAGTGCTAGAGATATGGTAGCTCCATCTGGTTAGAAATGGAGGAATAATTATGGATTTTATCAGAGTAAAATAAAGTCTTTTCAATCATTAGTCTCAGAAATATCATCAGATATGATCGATGATGTTGGGAAATTGTGAATGAAAACAAGTACTAGTTTGGGCTTCCAGTTGTAAGATGAATAGTTAAATAAATCAATTATTACCCAGTAAAAATCACTTTCATTTATCATTTCAACTGCACAACAAAATCATATAAACTCTTTGCAACCTTATTCTCCAACCTATTAAATTATAAGAGTTGTTATTATAAGGCTGATATTTAACAGTGAGGATAAAAAACAAAATATTTCCAAAAGCCTTTTCTTTTCAGGAATAAGACTAAATGAGGTCAGATTAAACTAATGTGGAGAGGTTTGTTGATCTCTTTATGAAAATGGATGATCTACATCTATTAGATTTGCGAGAAATGAGACATGTCAAAAGGGGACTTTGACATTGCATATTCTGCAGTAATTGGGCTTTGGCTTGGATGCCTATTTGCAGAAATTAATAGTCTTCAAGCCAGGGGTTTGGCTGTGCTAATTTTAAGGCAGAAAAATCATAAATCAGTCACTTAAGAAATTTTATAGCTCAGACTGGAAGCTCAAACACTCTTAAGGAACAGGACAATATTTCACCTGATCACTCCTCATATTCTTTTCCCATGAAATTTAGACAAAACTTTCAAAAAACTTTATTGGTAATTTTATAGTTGCAAAAAAGGTATAGACACAAGTTGCATGTAGCATAAGCTAGTTAAGGCAAGTTGTGTGGAGAGAACAAAAGATCAATAATTTATACCAGTAGTAAGCTTCTGGTATTAATTACATTCTCTTGAATGCCAGCTTGCCACAGCAAATGTCACACCTATCCTTTTTGTCAATAGCACCAACCATATGTAGTGGGGTCTCTTCACATCTCCCTAAACAGCAGAGAACATAACAGTTAATTCCAATCATCAGTCTCAAATAAAAATTGAAGGATCAAGACTTATCTGGCAAAGTGAAATGCAAGTCGAACTGGTTTGAAGACATTTGAACCCGTAATTCGTTTTTAAATATGACAGAAATACTATAGTTCACATTCTAAAGAAACAAGGAGTTCCAGCCCCTTGAGTAATTATCCATTTGTTGTATCGCTCATCTTATGTTTTAAGAACCAGAGAAAGTTAGATAATTTTGATCTGCGAGTTTTATAGTACACTTCGACTCAAAATTCATTTTGTATGGCAGAAGTATTCTACTGAAATAAACAAGATAGAATGAGGCTGACGCCATCCGTTTCGAATAACACATGAACATGAAGAAAACAGCACCAGTTTAAACTCATGATACAAAGCCCACGCATTTTTTTGAGGTAAATGAACTGGTTAGACCGAAAGCTAAATAAATAAACAATGAACTGACAGTGGTGAGGGATTTGAGGGCCATGTGATAAAACAAGTTCTACCGAAGTTTATCCTCTAGTTAGCACTTCAAGCCTAAGAGGACAATCAGAAAAATTCTCACCAAAACACAGCAACAAAATAAGATAAAACCAGAGATGATCGAGGCAAGACTATAATCGTTGTTAAGACACATGCCTACATACCAAGTACAACAAACTTGGAGAGCAAAAAGGCCAAAGACAGTTGTGAGCCATGACTTGGAAAATCCCCCTCAACCTCCCAAAAACGAATTCGCCGAAGGTTGTAGAAAGAGCAACTCAATCCTGAAGCTGGAACATTTTTTTAAGCCTTGTATCCTATGGGACTACAAAGAGAAGGAAGAGAAGATGTTATTTGAAGTGATTTGAAGCTTGGGGGCCACCTCGAACTTAACGTAATTTTATTTCAAAGTTGAAGTAAAATAAGATCAAATTGTAAACTACCTTCTATTATCGTAACGAATTTCTCACGATCGCCTCAACACACCACTTCGTGATTCATAGAAGTAAGAAATCAACATCTTAAGACTAACCTTCAAGGTTTGTAGTCTCATGTGCACATCTTGATCGTCAGCAAATCAAATCTCAAACTTCAAGTTTTCGGTCTATTTTCGCGTTTTGTTCGCACTTTGATCATTAAAATATCCTCATCCGAAGAGCCAGCAAACTCCACGAGTATCCACAGAGTTAGAAATGGTGGTAAACTTCTCATACTCTTCCATCCCTTTCCAAAAAGGATCACAGAAAGGTGTCGATCGCTCAGTTGAAAACCGGCAAAAGCGCGCTGAAAATATCGAAATGGCGCCGAACGCGCCGAACAAACTTTCTTGGCGCATGCGCAACAAAATGCCCCTCTGCTCTTGGAAAGCACTATATAACATCGTCCTAAACCAGATGAGCCCACGACATATCAGCGGCATCTTGTATGAGTATCCGCAGGTTACAACGTGACTTCCGCTTATTCTTGTTAAAGCGTATTTTACAGTGTACTCATGGAATAGGAAGTGCGTTTGAGCCAGTTTCTGGAAGATTTGAACAGAAAAGCGGGTCTTTTGTTCGAGTGTAATGACATTTTGATCGATGGCGCTGTTAACGAAATGTTTGGCTGGTTCGTAAGTTGTCGACCTGGTTTCGGTCGATCTGATTAATTGACAACACCCCAAAGGCAACACATATCATCGTCCCAAACCAGATGAGTCCATGACACGTCAGCGGAATCGTAGCGAGAGTCTTCTATTTTTCTGCTCGTTTCCGGCGAATCAAGAGACCGTGACCTGTGTGACTGACGATAAAGCGTCGTATTCTTCAATATTTTATTGCGAAAGTATTCTTCCCATAACTTGTACAAACTAATTTCTGTCTAGATCACATATTTAAGAAAAAATCTAGCCTGTTATAAAGGCGTTAAAAGGAGGATCGACACTTAAATATGACCGGCCCGATAGTTTCGGTCGATGTTATCCTCTGACCTCGCTATCATCGACCAAAAGCAGATTCAGGTCAAAGATCATTTGCATAACTTTGCACTGTAAAATCTTTCGATTGGAACAAACATACAGTTCTTTTCTGTTTGTAATAAATTATCTTTACGTTTTATTTGACCATGATCTCTTGGTTTTTGTTCAACATCTTATTTGCTACTAATAAATATATTTGCCAAGGGGTGGTCCAGTTAATATTTAACACTCATGCATTTATGTTTTGCGGCTCGCGGGTAAATATTGGCGGGAAATCTAAATGTTTGGTAGAAGAACAAACATGGCTGATAACAGTACACCTTGGGCTTCAAGATGGACCGTACAGTTTGACCCTTATTCCGGGTATGTTAACGATGAAAGCAGCGCTGACGAACTCATAAAACAGTACGAGATAGCTACGACGACACGCTTCACTGTATTTAAACAAACAGGAGGATTTTCAAATTGCAGTAGGCTGGGTAATTAAGCTCACATGTAAAGATTTACAAAATAAACCATACTGACAGTAAAGTAAAGTGAAGTATAACTTTATTTAGACACTATAGGTATTTAAAGCCAGGGACGTGTGAGATCGTGTTATTAACATGAAATATAGATAAATCAAAAAAAAAAAGGGATTTAACTTTTTTTCCAATAATTATTGATATCTTAAGAATACATGTACACATCATTATTCTTCGGTTTACACTGGTCAGTTAGACTTTCAAAATTAACATGTAATTAAAATTAAACTTAGCTTCAAGTGTCAATTTACTGTGAGCCTGCAGCAAGAGTTGGCAAGAAATGCTTAATTAATTAAGATCAAGCTTAAAGTGTCAAAACCCTACTCAGTGCTATTGACACACAGCTGCCAGCATCCCCATCCATTACACCAGTCCTTGGGCTACATCTGGGTGGGGCAGGCTTGATTTTGAGGCCCTCCATTTTAAGCACCCATGTGTACATATGTACGTATGTGTTTGTGTACATGTATTGTATTGCTAACTTAGCTTGGTTCCTCTTCTCACATAAAAGAAAATGCAGATAAAAATGCTAAGAACCACCGTATACAATGGGCTGACTCACAGGAGATGACAGGATGCAGACTAAGTTTTGATGGCATCCCATTCCAAATTGTGGGGTCAAAGTTTTAGAATGCCAAAATGGGCCAGACAGAAATAAGGCACTCAAAAGGAAGGAGGCTCAAAAGAGACTACAAAAAGATGTAAGCATGCATAATAATTAACTAAATAAGAATGTAAACAAGATGATATTATTACTTAAGGACTCCCAAAGAGGATATCATATATAGGGCATTACATAGTTATTGATTTACCTTCACCTATTTGCTCTTAAGCTAACAAGGTGGTAAGTCCCAACTGATTTTTCTAAGCAAGTTGGTGAGCACTCACCTCCCTCAGGGCTAATAGCAGGCAATAATGTTTTTTTTTTACCACTTGCAAGTAAAAGGACATATCACATTTTATTTGTTAAAATAAGCAAAGTCGCAAAAAAGGACCACTGTGACTGTAGTTTATAAGGTAGGAATCAAGTACTATTTTAAAGGATACTTTTCATTACTTCTAAGTTTATTGATAACTTGACTATTCCCATATGACTGCTCTATCTAACAATCCAATAAATCTATTTGGTTTCAGAAGGAGAATGCTGATCACTGCTATAACAACACCAAACAGCGCTTTATAGTACAGGATACGAAGAAATGTGACTGTCCAGCAAAGATCCACCTAAGGAAAATAATCAAGTATCCTGAAAATAAGGTCAGTTTATTTTAATTATTGAATAAGGGTTCAGGGGCACTACCATTAACATGAATGATCACTAGCCTAATAAAGGGTGCTTAATCCTAATGGGCCTTGTGTTACATGTAGGTGAAGTGGACATATGATAAGACAACCTGGACATTTCGTTGTGCAGAATTGAAACAAATTTACCTGTAATGGAAACAGAGTGAATATTTTAGAAACCAATTTTTCGAATATTATTTTAATTAAAACATTGTATCGTTAGATTTCAGAGAACACAAAGAGTAGAAGGGAGACAATGTCAAAATTTCTGAGAACATCCCCAGAGTCAGAAAAGAAGCAAACAATAGCTACAGAGGAGCGTATTTACATATTACTTCCTAAACCTACGGATCACTTATTTCACCCCATGGGGAGGGTAAGTACTTGGCCATCAATTAAATTTTTTTTGGAATCAGGAAACTGAAGTTTGGTGGGGAATTTAAGGTGACTTAACTTCACACAGATCATCAGTCTATCATAGACTGTGCTGCTTCCACTGTCATGTCGAATATATATAAAGAATGAATAAAGATTATACATCACAACAAAAGACCACTAAAATGTACTACATGTAGAGCTTCTTTAAGCTACACTGGCACTCATTCCTCAAACTCAATGTCAAGACTATAATATCACAATTTTATCAGAGAGGGATTTGCACTGGCACTGTTTTAATGGAATGCTGTCATGGACTTTTTAAATGGATTTTCTTAAAAAATACAGTGTTCAGTACTCTGTAATTATAACATTCTGTAACTATTACTGATGTCGATAGTAATGTTGGTATAATTTGCATTATTATTCATTCAAAATATTCCCTGTTTCTGAAAGGTTAAAACCACTCACATATTTCATCATAACCAGCTGCTGTTGACCAAATTTGGAAAAAATTTTCTCATATTGAACCAATTATTTTTCCTTGTTCTTGAGTTTGTGGTGCTTTAATATCATGATGAAAATTGCCTGTAAGAATTTCATGGATGATACTTATAGACCCACATTTAATCCATAGGTTATATTCTACAAGTTCAATTGAAATACTTAACATTTAGGAGGAAGAAGCTCAAGCTGAATATTCGAATGTTGACCGTCGGTGTATTGTCATCACACAATCATCTTAAAATTGTGAAATATGTACATCAATTTATTTAATACAAGTTTGAAGGCTTATCATGTGATAAACTTCTGATTAAGTACCTCTTCAGAAATTTCTGTACATATAAGTTTAACACAAATGCAATTAAAATTAATACTTATCTTTCTCGAGTATTTTGATGTCATTGTTCTTCTGCTCACTTGGCAGCTATGAGGCTTAGGTCGATGGTGTGTAGGATTTCCAAGAGGGGATGCCAATTAATCAGATCGACCGAAACCAGGTCGACAACTTACGAACCAGCCAAACATTTCGTTAACAGCGCCATCGATCAAAATGTCATTACACTCGAACAAAAGACCCGCTTTTCTGTTCAAATCTGCCAGAAACTGGCTCAAACGCACTTCCTATTCCATGAGTACACTGTAAAATACGCTTTAACAAGAATAAGCGGAAGTCACGTTGTAACCTGCGGATACTCATACAAGATGCCGCTGATATGTCGTGGGCTCATCTGGTTTAGGACGATGTTATATAGTGCTTTCCTCTGCTCTTGGGGTGTATATCCAAATAGAGCCGAGTCTCTTCGCAACTTGGCAAATAACTTTAGTGAGAAAGAGTGTGTGATAGCACTACGCCACCCCTAGTCAAATCACCTACCTCCCCTTCTCAGTAGTACCTGTCACAAGCACCCTACCCCCATCGGGGGTTAAAATGTTGTTGAGCAAGATACTCAGTATCAGTGACTTATTAGCTGGTTTGACGATACCAGTGCCGATCAGTACGACTGTGAAGAGCAGCGGACTTAATATAAATAAGATTATTTATATAGCATTATTACGCTAATTGCCCATGACGCTGTACAAATCATCATACAAAATCATAATATAAAATCATGTAACAATATCTATCTACAGTTCATACTAATAACAGTTCAATAATATTTACAATTCATCCAATAGCAAAATTTTTTACTATGAATACACTAAATAACCAATTACATATGATAAGAAAATGAAAAATTTTAACAAACTTAAGGTATATTTTCTCGAAGAGATGGGTTTTCAGTTGACGCTTAAAGGAATTGATGTCGGCAGCCTTTCTTAAAGAAACTGATAATTCATCCCAAAGCCCTAGTCCAGCAATGGAAAACGCCCTAGCTCCATAAGTCACTGCTCTAGATCTCGGAACACTGAGTTTAAAGTTCCTGAGTACAAAATCCAAGTGAGCGCTTATTACGGCGCGGGGCCAAAAGGTTAGATCGATACTGATAGGCGCCAAGCCATTAAGTGTCTCATAAATTAATAGGCAAATCTAAAAGATAATACGTTGAAATACAGGAAACCAGAGCAGCGATTTAATTACAGGATTTAAGTGATCACATATGCGAGTTAGAGTAACCACATGCGCAACAGTGCTTAATACTAATTGCAGCCTATTGATCTAATATTTAGGTAATCCAAACTAAAGTGCATTACAATAGTCAATCTTAGACGTAAGAAAGGAATGAGCTAAGGTTTCCACAGAACCCTGATCTAAAAATTTTCTAATGTTCCCTATGTTACGAAAATGGTATTAAGGGGTTTTACATATCATACATATATGTCTATCCATCGCTATATCCTGGTCAAGTATCACTCCCAAATTTCTTTCAAAGGGCTGGTGTTGAATGGTTTCAGTTCCTACTTGAATGGAAGAGAACATTTGACGTGATCGAAATTTTGAGCTTATAACCAACAGCTTTGTTTTACAATCTAAAACTAGGATTACAAAAACTCGTCCTCTATATGCACTTTTAATGATGAATTGACACACTCTGACTTATACAGACATGTTTCTTTACAAAGTTGAACCATTCTACAAAACTTCAAAATAAGTTCAATGGTTAGCGTCAAAGGCAGCTGAACTGCGCATGAGCAGCTTATCACACTCACCCAATGGTCGCATTTGATCAAGAAGACAATGTTAACCACACATCTTAACATCGTCGTTTTTAAGTATTTATTACACCCTTTAAAAAAATCATTGTTGATCCTTGTAATCTGATTGGCTCTCATTGGTGCAATTTATTCACGAATCACACCAATTTTTGCTCCAAATCGCATTTTTTTTCCCAGTCAACGTGGAAGTTTTACTGAAATACAACAAGCAAATGCTTGTTTTAAGAAACCAATCAAATTACAGGAAAATGAAACACAACTCTTGAAACTTTCTACAAACCACCTACTACTGGATCAACAAATACGTGATTTCAAACCTAATCAAAACTATAACAAAATTCTCGAACGTGATTGGCTATCACCAGCCCTATTTGAGCTCTAATAGGACAGTGTATGCGTCACACTTGCAATTGGATAGTGTAATAGGGCAGTTATAGCGACAGTTAACACGTCATGCTTGTGTGAGACAACAGAACGCCGAGTTAACTGTTGGTTTTTCTAGATGAAAACTTATAACCGATGTCTAGTTTCTTTCTCAAATTTTGTCATACTTTTGATTAATTGGTAACAAGACTTCGTGTCATCCAAATCTGTCTGTAATAATAAGGTGATTAACAAATCAGACTCCCGCTTCGCGGTCGTCCGATTTTGTTAATCACTCGTATGATTACAGACTGAATTGGACTGCACTCGTTCCTGTTACCATTATAAACTAGCACTGCGCACTCGTTTGATTTTGAAATCACGCGCATAATTTCAGACAAAATTGTACTCCACTCAGTTCGATCATATTTGCTTCCATAAAATGTTTTGATTACACCATCTTTATCTACAAGTGACTTCTATCCATGTCAGTAGTAGTGTCTATTTTATTTACAGAAATACTTAACTTTCGCTATAAAGATTTCTTATAAAATCTCTTGGCTTGTACCTATTGAACTTCAATTAAATAACAGTGAAAAACAAATTTCAGTGGCATGACTCCTGAAAAACTGAAATGGAGTTTATTTTTCTTTCTGGTAACTTCAGCTTTTTTAAGGTCGGTGGATCACAGAGTCTGCGATAACCTGCGAAAAAAAAAGGTAAAAAAGTTAGCGCTTATTTGAAATAACGAATCATATCTCACTCCTTCTTTGCTCTGTTACTCAACTAGTTGAGCTACATTTGGTAACAGTTAGAGAAGGATTTATCTATTATGAGGTGTGAGGTGTGACGTCATCTAGCTTGGCCGTCAAGATGAATACCATCTTGAATTCTTAAAGAAATTAGATTTTCTCTTGGGACGATTTGACTAGTAAATAGTTGATGCTAATGAAAGATCCTATAGTAAATTATTTTGACTTGCTCATGACGAATAATTACATTGATTGAAAAACTCACGCTGGGTTTTAATGAAAGCTTGAATAAATGACAGGTACTTACATTCCCACGACGAGGCCAGTTGCAAAAATGAACGCGAGGTGTGGAGACAACACTAGAGACAAAAAAGAAAAGATTTTTGTTTAATTAAGGATTTCTGTTGAGGAGAGTAACAACAAAATGACCAGTTCCCAGTTCGCTTGTTAGCTCGGTTGGTAGAACACTGCAACGGTATCGCAGAGGTCATGGGTTCAAATCCCGTACAGGCCTGAATGGTTTTTTCAAGCCTTATTTTCACTACTGCCGCTGCAAAGATCACTCTTACACTCGTTTATTAATCCGCAGTTCACATATGAAATTGATATATTTACAGTTAGAGTAACTTTTTGTAGGGATTTCCTGGACTTTTCTAAAAATCTTCGGTATGCAAGAGGACTGATTCTGAAGCATTCTGATGGAAATTCTTTCCGGCAATCCAATAGTGATATACAGTTACAAGAATAGTAATTTTGAAGTTTCTGGTGCCTTTTAGAATGCCTTGTTACTACTGTGACTGTAGGGGTCAGTCATAAAGGAGATAAGTTGTCGAAGACGCTACACAGAGCTATTGTGATCAGCTGTCAGAGGAAGTATGCCTTCAGTCAAGAGTTTCAGAGGAGATTTGGAGATAGCAGTCGGTTTAATGTAAGTTTGTATCAGTGGTGACTGAGGGTTAGGTTATTAGTGGATTCCATAACAGTTTATGGTAAATTGTGATGTTTAGGAGTCGCTTCCTCGGAATAGTTACGTTAAGTTACCAAGTATAATTGAATAGATTAGTTTGTTTTATAAGATTACATCACAGCACACATCATCACAGAGCAATTTTCAACTGAGTGTCGAAAGTTATCCGTGATTGCATTTTTTGCTTTCCTTCGCTCAATGATTGGTCCATAAAACTGGCGCCTCTCTCTAAACCAATCAGAAACAAAACTAAGACCATGCAATCATGACTTGGGCGCACGTGTTTTCTCGCACTTTAGGCGGTTTGGTTGGTTTTGAGTTCCCATTGGCTCTATATATATAGTTTTGGTTTTACAACACTCAATCGGAAAGCGCTCCAGTTCTGTAAGGTTTCTTTTTTTTCCCTTAGTGGAATTATACTGTAGCATCTCTAAGTCTTTTCTTTTTTAGAGTTAAACAAAACTAACCTGAACCAGAGGCTGGGCATTCCTTATTACAATCTTTAACGATTTTCAAGTTTTTCTCCACATGGTTCGTGTAATTCTTTAACACCTCAGCACAGCGATACATTTTATCGGCCAAAGTAACGTAACCACAGCGGGTTTTATTGAACTCGTCCTTGTCACATTTATTATCGTCTTTAGATGGTATCTTGATGACACATGACTTGGTCACTGTGATGGTTCCTCCATTGCTACAAGATTTGCAATCTGGTGACGAGTACTCGTCTCTGATATTGATAGTCACTGAAAAAGTCATTGAAAAGTGAATATACAATACATTAATTATTCATCACTTCAAGGGTTATTTGAAATCAACATAGTGATCAGCTCCTAATTGATTTGTCGGCTCAGTTGGTAGAGCACATTACCGGTATTGCAGAGTTCAAATCGCCTACAGGCCTGAATTTTTTTTGTCAGGCCCTATTTTCACTACTGCAAAAGCAGAGTTCATTACTACGAAGATCGCTTTCATATTCACATACAATGTGTTATTAATCGTAGGAGCTTTTTCACAGCTCTAAGTTTCAAAATAAACCTGCGGGAATACTTTTTAGACATTCTTCGGTATGACGTTACAATAGTTTAACTAACACTATGGACGCAAATGTAACACGTTGAAAGTTAATCTTTGTGAAAACATAATTACAAATAGGTTGCATCAATGCATCTAGCTCAGGTTACAAGCAGTCGATGTATACAATGTAAAACGTGTCCTTTAATTCTAGATAATGAGCAGTTTTAATATGGCTGAGTCTATGCTATTATTTCACAGTTTTCTCTATATTTTCGTTTTATTTATAGCATTTTTTTGCCATGTAAATACAAATTAAAAATTCACCGCACGCTACACTTGGTGACCTGTTAACATGGATACCCGTGTGAGACTGGGACCGGATATTCGTGAGACTGGTAATGAATGAAGCGCTATAACATAATGATTCGCTGAGACGCCTGATCATTTTTTAATAATATAAAGTTTTAAACTTACAGTGAAAAAGTTACTGACACTGACAATTTCATACAAAAACAAAAAAAAAGAAAAATGAAATGGGCATGACTTGCCCCTAGATATCCAAATTCTAACCTTCCTAATTTCTACTCTGTCTTCCGTGGTTTTTAAGAAAAGAAAAATGTCTCTTACCATTAGGCGCGGTGGACATGGACGATGATGTTAGGACATGCGCACTTGCATTGTTCACATAAGCACTTGCTGACATGGTTGTATTGTGAGTTGTTGAGGTTGGTATTACTGTGGCTGTAGCGGGCGCTTCTGATGCTGCGGACACTGTCGCCGCCGTTTGTGCTCCTGTGGTGTACGCCCTACCTGTAGACGCTGCATGATAACCTGAAGACATTGTAGATGTTGGGGCAACAGCTGTCGTTGATGAGTTTGCCTTTGTTATCGTATATGAATTGGCCGCCGCCGACATGGACGAGCTGGACGCGTTTACTGATGAATATTCATGTTGCATGCAACATATAAAAAATAATGCAAACTTCAGGCGGTGAAGGAAAGTCATCTGTAAAAGTGAAAGCAAAGAGTATTACAATTAACACATGGTTAAAAACACTAAGGCTAAAGTCAATATGGCAACTAAGAGGCAAACAATGTTTACGAGTAGATGTGAGTGGGAAGTTGTGAATTGTATAAACACTGCAAGAATTGTAAGGGTCAAACTCGACTGATGCAAAAAATTTTGGCGACGTCAGCTTAGAGGAAGAATTTGTCCTGCATAACAAAGCTTTTAGTGCTGCACTCATTTTGGTACTGAAAACTGTACTTGCAAAAAAGAGCAAATCATGCCATCAGGTACTTTAATTTGATAACTGACAAAATATAAAAAAGAGCCTAACGGAATAATGAAATAGCTGGAATTAGATTAAGAACCTCTAAGAGTCCATAGACCCAGCAAACGACTTACAAATCATTTGTTTTGTTTGGATAGCCATGGATGTTCAATTCATAAGTATTTCGGATCATACATGCATACTCACAAGAAATGTGTTAGTGAAGACTAAGGCTTGAAACTTTCAAAACATATTAACTACACTCGTTTACACACTCTAAAACCGTGACCCGTCTTCGCCGTTTTGCCCCCAGTAAAACATCTTTCTCTAAAGCTGTGTTTCCTTGCAATATTGTTAGTGTTAAAAATACGCAGAATCCTTAGGGTGCCGATGAACTTAGCATAGAGACTTCCCCACCGCTCATAAACACCGATCACCAAAAAAAATTTAAAAGAAAAAAATGACGGAGAATCATGACGCAAGATTCAAATGCTAAAAACTCACAAAGAAGGCTTTTATGAGTTACCTCAAACTGATTACTTTGTTGCAACTCAGTCTGAGAAGCCTTGACTTCGCGATGACAAATAACACTAATGCATGAGTGAAGCTCCTTGCAGATGTTATCTTTAATAAGCTTAATAGGGATGCACTGTGCAGTAATATGCTAATGAGCCCTAAGACATGTCAGAAAATTATATGAGGCACCTGTAAAATTTACTTAGCTGTTTGGATATGTCTACTTGTTTTCGGTTTTCATTAGACTTTGATGGACTAATAAAAAGAGGGCGTTTTTCGCCCGAAAAAATTTCGAAGAACATACCCTTTTTTAGTTTTCCCTCTTTCACTTTCAGCGTTTTTGTATTCAGTTTTCTGCAATTTATATCTGAGCTTCATCGTTACGACATAATTTATCTTAAAATAGGACAAATATTATTGACACATGAATAAATTAACATATGTTTTTCAACATTCAAAGCTTGTTTCATTAAATTTAGCACCTAGTACTTTATCAGGATGGATTTTATATATAAATGAGCCGAATTAGTTTAAATTGTCTTCCTTATTAGCTGAATTGCCACGCAATACGCGAATCGAACTGAACTTTTTTTCTAAGTTAATCATTAATTGGCCCTCTTTGTTACGTTGGCTCTACTGAACTAGAAGAGAAATGCTTGAGGATACTAATCAAAACACTGAAATTGCTGTTCCTGTCTCTAATAATTTACATGCAAAAAATTTCAGCACGCTCATCGGTTGACGTTACGTGGTATATATGCTATGTGCAACGCAGTTCATAGCTAGCTTCGAGACAATTTTCATCGTTATTCACAAGGTACAATTCTAAATGTTTCCTGGCACGAAACGTTCAAAAGAACGCAATTTGTTTGCAGCCTGCAGCTGTCACTTTCAAGATACGGTTGTTTCTTTCACAGCCAATGGACTTCGAACTTCATTTCGTATTTGCGTAAACAGGAAACCTCGCCAAGCTTAGATTGACGTAATATGTCAAAAATACAGAAGTTATTATTTTTTTAATGTCGACTACCTTCTGATTGATTTTGCAATATTTGCCATCCTGATCCGCTTTTAAAAACAAAGTTTAATTAAAACGAAAAAAATATGTCCTCGAGCAGATTAAGGCGATCAAATTATTTTATTCGACAACTTTTGCATAATCCCTGTCACTGGTTTTTACTCAGCCGTTATTTGCTCTTGCATCTGCAACGAATTTCACAAGATGGAACGTTGGAATTTTAACTAGGTAAATAGCACGACAATCGTGCTTCATACTTGTCTATGCTAATAATAACCAAGTAGAAATTGGAGCAAAAGAAACAACAAAATGAATATAAAACCTTTCCACGCTAATGGGGTCAACTAAAGTGATGCAACCAGTTTTGCATACAACGCCGTAGGTGTTACAACTGCCAACGATCCGGATAAAATGAACTTGGCTTTTAACAAGCCGCTTTTGTGATGATAATACCACATAGAGTAAAACTTTGCGAGTGATCAAAGACAAAGTTCTGGTTGACGAGATATCCTTAGCTCAATTTCCAGTTATGTCTTCAAATGTAGAAACATTTCATGCATCGGATTAATCAAACGTCGATCAAGAGTGAGGCGAAAGCTCGCTTCGCTTAATCACACTGAAAGACTAACACCATAGACCAAACACGAGATATCAAACATTCTAACGCGAGGATTTTTTTTACATCAAGTCAGTGGCAGTTTCACAGTTATCGCGTTAGATCTTCACCCCTGAATGTAATCAATTTTTTTCTGGCGTGAAAATTTCACTTTTTTAATCTCTCCGAGTGCTCAGTAAGTGATCAAAGTGCCTTACTCATCCTAACAATATTAGGAATAGGTCCTAATATCCGCACAGTTTGAAACTGATTTCAGCATTCGGTGATGAAAACTGCCTGAGATAAAACTAAAATCGATGATTATTTTTACTAGATTTATGCTATAGAAAAGTCAATCGCTTAGCCTCTCTCTAAGTGTTAACTTTTGTTAAGACTGTATGATTCAAGATTGGAAAATTCCTTGCCAGGCGTTAGTTTTGCCGGCGTGAGAAAATGGTCATCGAATAGGCGTGAAAAATTACAAAGCCGCAAACACTGATGAGTCGTTGACAAACTATGAAAACGGATGCGATTCACTATGCTTTCAAACCGATCAAATTCGACCTTCTGAATGCGAACAAAAAATAACAATAGAAAAAACGATTTAACATGATGATCTTTACCTTAATTTCCATGAACTCTTTTTGCGATCAACTGGTAAATGTCGCCGAGAGAAAAAATAAGCCTTCCCAGTCGGGTAAAATGAACTGAAACTGACGCAGAGCAAAACAGAAATTGGGCTAATAATAAGTATTAACCTAATTGTCGCTAAGGAAACGAAAAAACAGAAATTTCAAACCAATCAGAGGCTGGATTATCTAAAAAATTATTTTCAGAGTACGCGCACGACCGAGTATGCTCGAGTATTCGTGTTACCGATTTCCAGGCCTTTTTATCGATTTTTTCTGTTTTTGCCGGTGTTGAAAGGATTTTAGAATGACTACGGAGATATCGAAAGTTTCAATGATGTCGAAACTGAACTGTGAGTGATGCGATGAGCAGCTAATTACCCTTTGCATAATTAAAGGCTTGACAGAATAAATGAAAGAAGGATTTTACAGTTTAGTGATGCGCGTGTATTAGGGATAAATCCGTTTGAAAATGTGGGGTAGCTGTGAGCTATTTAAACTCTAAGCACAAATGTGCGTACAACTAACCAGCTTGAGTTTGCGTGGTAGGATGGCCAATTTTTGGGTAAAAATAACCCGAAATTAGTTTCAATATGGTAGTCGAAGCGTGCTTGGCGGATTAAACTCGTCTCTTTGCCTTACCATGGCACCTGACTGATTAACAACTGAAAATATTTTATGTTCGGAAAGTTCAAGGAAACGAAAGCCTATTTGCTTTGCTTGAAGATGTGACAAGAAGCTGGTTTGAATAAATTAAAATTGAAGGGATCGCATGAATTTTACATTTAATCTACACCCATTTCAAGATGTCATCTTCTGTCTTCAATCGCCAAAAAAAAACGCCTTATTTTCAAGTGTAATTTCATCTGAAAAACTGGAAACTTTATTCAATTGGAGTTCCCCTCCAATGTCTGAGGCCGAAGGGAAAAAAATATCTCCCCACCCCATCCATGATAAGTCTTTTTTTTTTATATCTCCCAGAATGCATATGGTCGCAAGGTTAACCTCGAGGCTTTCTCTTTACTCCAATTTTCAACATGGGTCACTCGAATGTGTGGTTTTCTCATCCAAGAACGTACGGACCAGGTTCAAGATCCTGGTAAGTTTGTGTGTACGACATATTTAAACCACTTCTTTATATTTTTATCGAATTATTTGAGTATTTGTGTGGTTCATGAGGGTTATTTGGAGGCTTTTCAATTTACCGCTTGTCCGCCTGAAATTCAAGATGGCTGACACGTGGTCGAAATTCTGTAAATTGAATATGGTTTGCCGGTTGCCCACGATTTCACTGTGAATTTCGCTTTTAAAATTTCATATTTGCTGTTGAATTTAAGAATTTTGAAGTTTTTGATGTTGGTAACGTGCTACAGGACGAATTTTTGAGTTAACTGTTTGTATGTTGAAACTCTTTTCTAATAGTTTAGTGCTAAACGCGTGGGAATATAACTACTTTGTTTACTGGCGTCTAAAATTGTTAAAAAAATTTCAAGTCTCTGTGAAGGAAAACAGTTTCTCTGGATACAGCCTTTAAATTTGAGAACTGGTGACATACAGGCGAAAGGTCTCTCCCAATTTTTTTGCGACTTGGCACCAAGTTGCAGTTTCATCTATATCAAAGTGCTCTGTGAGCAAACTCGTGAATTGACACATTGAATTGATTATGTCTAATGTTATCTGGTTTAGGGAATTTTGTGGTTGATTGTCATATTTAGAGCACGAGCAGTAGTTCAGTGTTCGCTAATGTAGCAAAGAAACAAAGTAACATTGGGATAAGAAGGCATTACAATTGAAATGATCATGCTATTATATTTGACAAGGTGGATGATGTCATGTGTTTTAAACATCTATCATTTTTGTTTCTGGTTCAAAAGAAAAGGTTGGAAGTAAATGTGGGTGAAAAGTGAAATTTACTGTCTTTTGTTGTAAATATTAGAAAATCAAGGCAATACTGTCTTAGTGAAAACATTAACGATTCCCTCTTTATCAAATGAGACAAACAGGAACGAGTTTTGAGTGATATAACTAAGCCAAGCCTGCCACCGTCATTTTGGATCTCCGCCTGGGTAGATTTAAGTCACGTGCTAGGCAACGTATAATCAGTAACAAGATAGAATTTCATTTCAGGCCTATTTGTCAATTTTTGTGGTGTGTAACTTTCGTATTTTAGTACGTTGTATGTGTGTTGAATCTTCAAATTGTCTTGAAACTTAAAAGAAAATTGTTCTTTAAAAATTCACTGAAAATCGGTGGCTAAAATTGTTTGTTTAGGTGTTATTTGATTTTTCGTGTTAACTTGTTATTTTGTCAGTCACCGGCATTTTTTTGCTTCACACAGGAAAAAACACGCGACGAAATGTAATGATAAATTTTGTCCTCAATCTCATGCTATAACAGAAAAAGCTTTTGAACATCTGTAAACTCCGAGCGCTTCGCAGTAAGTGATATTTTCAATGAATCTTCGGATTGTTTTCAAGTTCAAGGATTGTAAATTACAATTTTATGAAAAAACGAAGGTTGTTCTGTTATTTCAGTGTGAATCCTTGCATGCCTGCCAGTCGCTGGCGCTGCTTGTTGAAACTAAAACGAAAAAAAAAAAACTCTTTTAAGATTATCATTGGCTTCTTTTTCACCCCACCACTATTCTTAGCAACAAAGGTCGCCATTTCGTATGTTTATTGCTCGCCAAAAACTATCAAATGCACTCAAAAGCCTAAAATCTAAAAAAAGTTTACAGGAATCAACCAATCGAGCGAGCGAATGCCATTCCCCACATCGTATCTATAACTCGCTCTTGTGCATGCGTGCAATTCACGAGTTAAAAATGACTGGCTTGTTATTTTGCTGCAGCCACACAATTGCAATGATCGTCTGTAAATAGAAAGATCAACGATAACTCATCTTACTTTAGGACATGTAACTTCAATGATCATTTATTCACCATATAGAAATCTATGTGACTTAAGAACTGTTATGTGGTTATTTTCGTTACAGCCGTGTTTGCTTCAACCATCATGGCCTTATCAGAAAATATGGACTGAACATTTGCAGACGATGCTTTAGACAGTATGCTAAAGACATTGGCTTTCAAAAGGTTTGCTAAACCCCATACTTTTTTAAGCAAAGACCTGTCCTCCCTAACTTTGCAGTTCCTGATAACTTAAACTACTGCTAACTAGCACCTTAGGCTAATTCAAACTTAAAGTTATTCTCCCTTAATTTCTAAGCTACCAATAATGTAAAATGGTCTATTTTTTCTGGACCAGCTTCTATTCTGTAGTTAATTTGATTAAAATGCCACTGTACAAACATATGTTCTGTACTCGCCCTGTTTTTCCTTTCAGTATTTCCAGTCATTTATTTTCCACCCCCAAGAACCCAAACTTTTTTTGATTTCCCTTGAAGGTTTGAGTGTTCTTTCAATTCACTAAATATTTTTTTCATTTGCAGTTCCACTAGTGTACACTGAGGTTAAGCAACAATGCAGATTTAAAGAATTTTTGTTTTGAAAATTAACAACTTTGTTAAAAATATTGGCAGAGTTCTGAATGTAACATCTCACTGGAAAGTGCAATAAAGCATTGTTGATATTCATTCATATTATTTGTGTCTGAAGTTGATGTGTTTTTTTCCTGTACACCCCAACATCAGTATCATTATTTTCCATGCTCATATCTATGCATTTCCTTTTGGTACTGACAAGGAAAATTCGCCCAATAGTCAAAGCATTCTTAGCCAAAAGCAACATAGGGTAAAAAACTGAGGGTCAAAAACTAGAACTACTTGTAAATTGGTCACAGAGTAGCCTGCAGTGCAGGTGTCATATTAGTGTATGCTAACATTGTAAGCTTGCGATTGTTTATGTGACCAGCCATGTTTGAATTGCAGTTAGAGTGGACAGTGGTGATAGGGGGTGGGGAAAGGTTTAATCTCTTCCCCAACCCTATCCCTCTCCTTATTTTTGACCATCAACTGCCCCCTTGGTACAAATTTCTCTCTCTCCCCAGCCTTCTGCTGCCATTAAATTCAAAGATGGTGACCATAATTTTTGTTAAGAAAATACTGAGCACTTGCCAAAATTACACCTACTCTGCAGGCTAGGTCACAGACATTTAATCCTAAGTTAATTCCTGTCACATTTGTGTCTGCACCAAGTTTTCATTGGATTCATTTGATGTTGAATTAACTTGTTCTGATTAGTTTCTATGATTTTCTAAACCTTTGGTTTTGGTTTGAAAACACCTAACCCCTTACACCAAAACATCAACATGCATAGTCTCCATACTGTTTACTATGCATTTCCTAGGGTGCCTACAGGGAGAATTTGTGTAACAGTCAAGGACTTCTTTACCTGCTGATCAATGCCTTAATTCTTGTGACCTAAATATGTGATTCAGAGGTGATATTGTAAGGAGAAATTAGATGCTAGTCACTCTTGGGGGACAGGGTTTATCATTACACCATTCCTAAAGCATCTATGATTCTTTCTTAACCCTAATAACAGTATGCATATTCTCCATACTGTTCTCTATGCATTTCCTAAGGTGCTGGTAGGGAGAATTGAACAATTCAGAGCTTTTTTAGTTACTAATCATTTCCTTAATTCCTGTGACCTTAATGTTTGATTCAGGGGTGGTATTGTGAGCAGAAATTAGATGCTTGTCAAACTTACAACCAAAGCCGCAAGAGGTAAACCATTTTGCAGCTGAAACTACTTGCATATGTTCCTCTCTCCATTCCAAACAAAATAAATTTTTCTCTTGGTTACCGTTACCATGCAAAAGAAAAATTTGTCATCATTTATAACATCTCTGTCTAAGATGTCAGCATTGTGCAAACACTTTTTTTTAATTTGTAACAAAATGAACTCTCTCAAATTTATTCATGAGTTATTTTTACCAAGACAAGAATTCAATTTAGCAAAAGCCTCACAATTATGAGTATGCCAACTGCTACTTCTGATTGTGTTTCTTGATTAAGAACTGAAAGTGTAGATTATTAGAAGAAATAACAAATTTGTTTCAAAATTTCAAATTTTTCCATAGGATAAAAATTTCAAATCATCTAGAAAACCTTCTCAACTTTGTTTGTAGTTACCACAATGAATTGGATTTTAATTAACTTCGTGATTCTTTTTTTTTTTTTTTTTTTTTTATTACTGGTGTGAGACAATGAAGTCTGCAAGAAATTGTCTTATTTTTCTATTTTAAGGTACAGGCTCATTGTTTGCTTAGCCTTTCAATAGTTTATTAAATTTAATTGTTCTGTACCTGGCATTCAAGACAACGCGGGAGACCAGCAAGCTTCGTTGAATTTTTTATCTGTTTATAACAATATTACAGTAAAAATTTTTGAAGTCAAAATGTATTGCTCATTCTCAAGAATAGTTGATTATTTGTTAGAAATAACAAGAATTATCTTAGCATAGAACTGAGTGAAGCTTTAAGAAAATGAAGGAGAAAACTAAATTCTCAGATAAGAAATCTCTTAACAAATATTTCTAAATATCGCAAAATTTTCTTTCAGTCGAAGGCGACGCCTTCAACGAGGCACATCCAGCGAAGGAAAGGCGCGGAATATTATTGTTTCTTTTCGGAGGCTTGGTTACAAATTACTCCTGTGTTACGTTCATCACTCTGTAATAGTAGAATTTCGACACATCACGCATGGATCATGGGATTCGTGTGTAATTTGTTAGATATTTATTAATCTCATCAATTATATGCCTTCTTCAACCACTTCAGTTGCTAAACTTCCTGGTGAAGCAGATATGGTTGCCCCACCTCATAGAATATATAACATACGAGGTTGTCGTGTTGTGACACTAACCTTCTTTGTCTTGTTCACTGCACTGTTATTCTACGTCAGTTTTGCGGACGTTTCTATTCCAAAACTATTATATTTAACGCCTAAACAAAGCTCCTTGGCCGAGGTCCATGGAATTATGTTTGATGCTGGTAGTACGGGGAGTCGAATTCATGTGTTTACCTTTGTTAGAGGAAAAGGTGAGGAGTACTAATCTTAGGGCCGATTAGTTAAACATAGGTTAAAGTTTAGCTGTTGTCTAACAAAACCGCGCTCAAAACTATCTTGAGTTAAGCTGAATCTTTTATCTGAACAGTCGTTTTGGTAAAATTTCCGCACAGTCCATCCTACATTATGCATTCAGTTCTTGAACAGAGAAAACAATGACAAAAACAATACATTTACATTGGGAAAACAGATTTGTTTTACAATAGTATGGGGCTGTACGGAAATTTTACCATCGTTTTTTTTAACGCTGTCAGGTGGGCCGAAAGCGAGGAGTGGAAGGACATTTATTTGATGAATTATTTAACTAAGGCCCACTGGTTGAATAAAACTGCTGTTTGAGATAGACCTTGTAGAAATAACTGGCCCTTTAAGTGTCTACATATATCTGGCAATCAGATAGGATTATTAAAATATTTTGTGTCCAGCTGAAAGTAATTTTTACAGAATTTCCTTAAATGGTTTTTTAAAACTTCTTAACCCTTTTCCTCCCATGAGTGACCAAGACAGAATTTCTCCTTACAATATCAATATAGTATCAAGCAGACAAGTGATGAGAATAAAGAAAAATATCAATTTGGGGAAAATTAGTTGATGCAATACTAAATTATCTAAACTAACATCGCAAGAACTGTATCGCAGACAGTAAGGAGAATTACTAATGAGATCTAAGGAGTTAAAGGGTTAAGAGTATCAGATGTTTGTTAAGAGATGTCTAAAAACTAAATTCATCATGGTTCTTAAGCGGATAAATTTTCTGAGCTTGAGTATACAGATAAAACTACAAGATGATTGACTCTTTGGAAACATTATTGACCTTGCAAGTTATGGTATGCACAATCTTGGAAAATTTGTCCACTTAAAAAGCATTGTAATATTTGGCTTTGTTATACAAACATTGAACACTACCTACACTAGGTTTGCAACAGGTTTTCTGAAAGAATTTGGTGAATATTTCTGCCTGTCATTTTGGAATTTCCATTCCAAGTGGACAACATCCTGGTTGTGCAATGCATCTGCCAACTTTTCCAAAGTGGTATAAGTTTGATTGCCCTAACCATTTTACTTGAATACCGCAATAAAATATATTGAATACAGTACACTACAGAAAACAGAAAATGCACTGACAACTGGTGACCAATGTCAAGCACTGTGATGTAAAGTCTTTTTGTAAATTCTTTTTTTTTTTCTGACTTTATTGATCTATCTTAATCAAGGAGGACAACTGGAGCTTTCTAATGAATTTTTCCACGAAGTAAAGCCTGGTCTTTCTTCTTATGCTGACAATCCAAAACAGGTTAGTACAGAAGTTTGCTCTAAAGAGAAAAAAAGAATGTCTCTCCCCCTCCAACCAAATTGTGAGTTTTGGTTTGGTCCCTATTACTCCCCCTTCTTATTGAAATTTAATTTATGATCAAGTATTCTTTTAATTATTTACACCCTAAAATCAGTATGCAAGTTCTCTGTACTGTTGGGAGAAGTTAGATACTAATTGAAAAATAATTTTGCTTCACACACTTTTGTTCCTTTGGAATTTTCAGTGATCCTCTATGAAAAACATTTTTTGTTTCCTGTGATTGCACCATTGTATCAAATTTCTCCCACAGTCCATTATGTCACATTCCATTTCTGAAAGGATACCTTGAAGTTTTTCTTTTGGATTCAAATTTAAAAAAAGGGTCTTTGTCTCCATCTCAGTCATTCTTTGGGAGTTCTGAGTGACACTCCAAGGAACAGCTGTGCTTTGCAACAGTACTGTAACTTGTGTGATTAATTTGATATTTGTTTAAAACAGGGCTCCCAGTCAATTGAGAGACTTCTTCAAAAGTCGGAAGATATCATACCAAAACAAAGGTGGAAATACACCCCTGTGGCACTAAAAGCTACAGCTGGTTTAAGACTGCTTCCATCAAATTCTTCTAAACAATTGCTAGAGGAGGTACATGACTGTAATAATTAAACTCATTATAATTCCTTGTTCACGATGCAGTAGGCAAATGGTTATTGCCTTAAGACTCAGTATTTAAAAGAAATGTCACCATTAATTCAGTTGGGCATTCACTGGCGCGCAAACTAAAATACAGGAGTCACCCTGTAGGATTTCACATTTCTTATGGTACTGGCAAGGGGAATTATCTTGACAATCCAGGGCATGAAATTGCGCCTAATACAGGCACCAATGCGACTAAATTTTTCACTTTGGCGACCAAATCCTGAAAGTTAGTCGCCAAATTGGCGACTAGAACGTTTTATCATAACCTTACCAAGAGATTTAGCGAATTAAAAAGATTTGCAAAGATAAATCCGCGGCAAACTTCCTCGTTAAGTTTGTTTCCAAAACGTAGCACATGCATCTCGATGGATAACTGGACGCCGTCTTGGATTTAGATGAGTGTCCACTTTGTAGCACGTTAAAGATCTTTTTCTTAACTTAATTTTGGAGGGTCTATCTAGAACGCTGACAGCGTAAAGAAAGAAATTAGTTTGTCTTTGAAAATGGCGACCAACTTTTTTTGAATTGGCTACCACTTTGAAGAATTTAGGAGCCAAGTGGCTATCAGGAAAAAAAGTTAATTTCACGCCCTGCAATCAGAAGCTTCATAAAATTGGTGATCATTTTCTATATTCTCCTGACCTTTATATTTGAATCATGGCTGATATAGTAAGGAGAAATTAGTGGCCAGTCACTCTTAGAGTTAAAGGATTAACCCTTATCACAGTCACCCAAGGTCATACTTGCACAGAGAAATTATTAAATCGTTATGTCCTTTACTTGACACTTTTGTTGAAGGTGCGAAGATTGTTTCAAGAATCACCATATCATTTTTCTCAAGAGAGTAATGTTGACATTATGGACGGACCTGATGAAGGGCTGTTTGCTTGGATTACAGTTAATTTTTTGTTAGGTACCAAAATATCTTTATGCTTTTGTGTACTAATAAATTAATGCAGGATTCTCACAGATTTTGGAATTTTTGAAAAAAATATGTGTATTCTTTGGAAATTGCAAACTAATTTTTAGAGAGACCAGCAGAAAACTGAAAAGATATTCAATGGTGGATTGTTGTCATTCAATCTACAGATACTGTAGCAAAGTGTAACATGTACTTGATTAATTTAAAAAAGTTAAATATGACAAATTCCCAACATGGTGAATTTGAAATTTATTTTACGTATTGTTTTGCTCAAAATGAAACCTTAAAAAAGGCTGCATATGGTAGGTCTACACAGCTGTATAAATTTAAAAACGAAATTCAGGTCAAAACAAATTCAAACTACTGGTAGTTTGATTTTTCAGGTCCTGTGTTGTTAATGCACAGTATATAACCATAATCCCTTAAACAAAGGAAATACAGATCAAACTAGTTTGAAATCATTCTAACACTACAACAGCTATGTATTTCTCTGTGTTTGGTGTGTGTTTGTATCTTATTACATTTCAATGTGTTGAAATCTGGGATTAATTTCAGTATTTGAGCAACTGTTTACTTACTTGATCCAACAACTGTCAACTATCAAGAATTTAGGGTTGTTAACCCCTAGATTCCCACAACTGATTTCCATGTAACTTCTCCTTACAATATCCATACATTATTCAACAAACGGGTGATGAGATTATTCAATCTTATCAGTTAGAGGTTGTTATCATGATATAACACTGAATTCTTGTTACTAAATTACAAGGAAATGTGTAACAGCTGGATGGGAGATCAGATCTTGGGAGTTAAAGATTAATGGGTTAAAGGTTAATCTGATAATTGTGATTGCAGAAATGTGTATTCCTAAGGCTTGTGTGTAAAATTTGTTTGTTATTGTTTGTTATCAGGTGGCCTTAAAAGTGATGATTCAAAACTATTTGGAACCTTGGACCTTGGTGGTGGATCAACACAAATCACACTGTGTCCTGTTCATCAGGTTTGAACTGCTTTCCAATGCCAAAGATCTCATTTATTTCGTTCTTCTCCCCTCCAGCTGCTATGCATTTTTTTAGAAATTTGTTATGAAAAATTGGTAGATGTTACTATGTTGATTATATCCATTTGTTAGGTAAAACCATGCATTTGGTCAGACGTACTAAGTAAAGCTTTTATTTCCTTGTGCTACCTTTTGTAATGGATGGTGTACTGATATTGTTGGAGTTATTTTATCAATCATTTCTGAAATTTAGGATTTGCTACAGTGCTAAATCTTTGCATTGTTGTGAATCTAAAGTTTGCATTGTTTTATCACAAAGTGTCAATTGTTTTAAGAGCTAATGTCAACATGCACCAGACAAACTGCAGCAAGTCACCCAAAATTTGTTTTCTCACCAACTTTCATATTTTGCAACATAATCCTTTGTTCTATCATCTGAACTTAATACCCTGTCATTATTGAAGCTGGCAAAGAAATATTTATTTTTGGTGAATATTTTTGTCCAACATACTTTCTCTATGTCGAAAAGTAGCATCAAAACAAAGACAATTTTAGCAATGACCGATATGACAGAATCTACTGAGCTTCTAGCTTTTAAAAGACAAAGGGATGGTTATAAAGTTACTGTAAAAATTATGAATTTGGGCAACTTGCCAAAATATTTCAAATTTGTTGGATGGATGCTGACATCTTAAATTGATTGCTTCAATTTCCTCATAACATGTCTGTTTTTCTTGAAGGAAACTCTTCAAGAAGCTCCTGTGGGATTCCGAAGATATCTAACAATAGCCAAGAGAAAGTTTCCTTTGTACACTCACAGGTACATGGAACTGCAAGAGCTGGAGAAAATGAGACAGAGGGGAGGGAGGTGGAGAAAATCAGAGGGAGGGATGGGATAGAGAGGCTGTTCACTGGTCTGGGTCTTGTGATGTGTTAAATCCTTGCAACCTTTTCACTCCACAAATCTAACTATTAATTCTTTACACTGTCTACCTTACATTCCTTATGATTTTAGCTCAAAGTACCTGTTGTAAAATAAAATAATATCCCTTTATCACTGTTTTCCTTTCTTTTTATCACCTTACTGCTTGAAAATGTATTGATATTGTGTAAGGAGAAATTACTTGTCTGTCACCCCTGGGAGTGAAAGGGTTAAGTTATTGTAATTATCAAAAATCATAACATGAAAGACAAAGCAAATCCTCAGGCTTTTTTTTTTCTTTCAACTTTTAGTTATCTAGGTCTTGGGCTCATGGCAGCAAGAACAGCCATATTAGAGTCAGGAACAGCTGGGAGTAAGGATGTTGCTTTGCTTCACTTGTTACATGTACTATGTAGAGTTTGTCTCCGTAAAAATGGACCTTCCTGAGTATTTCTCTCTTCTACATTGATTAGATGGTGTAGATGTCAAACTCAGTCCGTGTATACATTACAACTTTAGAGGAAGCTGGAAATTTGGCATTCACAAAAGTATTGAAATTAGGTTAGTAATGAAACCTTCTTTTATCACAATTCCAATTGTAGCATACATATATGAACTTACAACGTATTTTGTTAACAAGTTTTTCAAAGCACCAGACTGTACATTAATTGGAAAAATTTGCTGGGCTTGAATTGTTTCAAGGATTTATATTTTTCCTTGTTTGATGCTAGTGACAAACTGGAAGCATCTCTCTATAAAAACAACCCCATATACCTTAACATCAGTATGCATATTCTCCCTACTGTTCTCCATACATTTCCAAAGGTGCTGACAAGGAGAATTTGTTTAACAACAAAGAGCTACTTTAGTTAGTGATCCTTCATTCATGTGAACTTATTGTGTGATTCAGGGGTGATATTATAAGGAAGAATTAGATGCTAGTCACTCTCTGGGGTCAAGTGGTTAACTTTGTTACTTTTTATCATGTTCCAGTGGTGACAGTAGATATGGATATTCTGGATGTTTGGAGGATGCCAAGAAAGTTCTGGCTAAATTCCAAGTTCATAAACCAGGTATGACATTTTCAACAGAAACTTGTTCCAAGGAAAACAAGATATGTTCACTGTACAGTCTTCATCCTACAATTTGCACGGAAACAATATCCTGGCTCTTCCCAACCCAAAAACAACAACTTATGGTCTGCACTCTTTTTCATACTTAGCTAGCAAAATATGGAACTCTCTCCCAGACACTTAAAAAACATTAAATTTTCTAGAATTCAAGCAGGAGATCCTCAGATATGAAGCTTTTCCACAGTAGATCTACAAGTTATATTTCCCTTTGCATGCATAATGTTGTATATAGTTTGTAAATAATATTGGAATTGTAATATAGCATATTTTTATTTTACTTAACTTATTTTCTCGAAGATATTAGCTCTACAGCTACACTGTGAATTCCGAGCATAAATAAAGTATATGACTGTATGTATGTAGGAGAAAAGTTTCTGAAAATATTTGTAATTAATACTAATAAGTTAAACTAGCTTCTAACCCTTTAACACAAAGAAGGGACATTTTTTTTTACTTATTTCTGGTTAGTAGGCAATGTGAAAGGCATTGAAAAGCATAGAAAAAATGTTTTCCTTTTAACACAATGGTTTCACTTGTCTTTCACTTGTCAAATTAGTTTGCATGCTTTTGACAAACTTGCTCTCATGCAGCAGCTTAAGTGCCTTAATGAAATTTGTTACTGCCAATGAAAAACCTTTAAGATTTTAATGTGTAGAGGATGACAAATAGAAGGACTTATAAGGGCTAAGGTCCAACAATATCCAATGATGTCCTATCTCAACCCTTTAGCATCTAAGTTGCACATTGATGAAGGCAGATTCTTACAATCTGTTTTGAGTTTTACATGCTGTATGTAATGTGTTTTTCTGATCTGGGGATCGTTTTTCACTTTTATTTCTTTCTTTCCAGTTGGAATTGACTCAATACAAATGTATGCCTTTTCATACTACTATGACAGAGCAGTGGATTTGGGGCTAATTGGTAAGTGAAATTAAAAGCAATGGAACCTGCTCTAACAACTTACTATTGGTAGTCATATTTTGTTGCTATTGATTTTGAACAAGGTCGCAATTTTTTTTTACTGTGCACAACATGTTTCTATTCAAGTGTATCAAATCTTTGTCAGAAATACAGTAACTACACCTTTTGTGCTATTTGAATTTATAACAACCTACCATGAAATCTTGAATAATTTAGCAGGATTACATACATGAATAAATCATGCGTACAAGAAAGAAAAAAGAAAAAACCATGATATGAACATAGATGTTAGCAATGCTTAACCCTTTAACTCCCAAGATTTCATTGGTAATTCTCCTTACTGGCTGTCATACAATTCTTGTGATGTTAGTTTGGAGAATTTGGAATTGGATCAACCAATAATCCCCTAATTGATATATTTTTCTTTACTCTCATTACTTGTCTGCTTGATATTGTACTGATAGTGTAAGGAGAAATTCTGTCTTGGTCACTAGTGGGACTTAGAAGGTTAAAGTGTTAGTGTTAGTTTGACATGGTGAACTTGTCTCTTTGTTGAAGTGGATAACTTCCTCGAGTTAAAGCTGGGATTTTGCAGAAGCAGATTTGTCTGTTGTCTTTTTACAAGCAGCTCGGGAATATGCAATGGCTTAAGGGCTATTGAACTGGATTTGTGGCCAGGTTATTGTGTTGTGTTCTTAGGCAAGGCGCTAAACGCTCACCAGGCCACCAGGCCTCTCTCCACCCGGGAGTATAAATGCGTACCGGTAAACTGTTTGGAAAACCTGGCTGGGTAGGGTGGGGGAGGAGCTAGTTATACAGTGGACTTATCCCCACCCAGCGAAAGGGGCAGAGTGTTTTTTATGCCATGGGAACCATGTCAAACTCCAGCAACGGTAGACTACTCAATTGACTTACAACCAAGCTCACTACAAGTCTCCATTTTTTTCTTATGTCTCATTTTGATTGTAGACTTAGAGAAGGGTGGAACGATCACTGTTGGTCAATTTAAAGAGGGTGCCGAACAAGGTATTTCTCTCTTAATAGAAACTATAACACAACTATCGAACGTGAGTGGTTATCACCAGCCCGATTTGAGCACTTATAGGACGGTGTACGAGTCATGCTCGTCCAATTCTGTCTGTGATCATACTCGTAATTAACAAATCCGACTCCACTCGGTGTTATTACCATTATAAATACTTCGGTAACATGGTATAATGTAAATAGTTCGTGCTGGGACCGAGTGTAGTCTGGCCCTTTGTCAGATTCTTCATTTACACTCAACAGTACTCACATGTGTTACAGTAACCACACTCAAATACTTTTTTTTAATTAATTTCTCATGCGAACGATGGTCAGCGTCTGTGGGTTTTTTTTTGGCAGCTTGTTCCAATGAATCAAAGACGTCGCCATACCTCTGCTTGGATTCCACTTACATAGTAGCTCTTTTAATGGAAGGATTTGGTTTCACAGAAGAAAGAAAACTGACTGTAAGTTCTACTTTTCGTTGTTCTTTTTGTTGTTGTTATTGTCTTTAATTGATTAGAAGGCATGGTGTCCGTTTCAAAGAGCAAATTTATTCTTACTTGGGGTGATTAGTGATAAATGAATCCTTTCAGTCGAACTGTAATTTGATGCAGGCTTCAATGGGGCGTGGACCTCTCTACATATACTTTCCCTCCCCTCCCTCACTTAGGCGTCCCTAGTACCATTACAAACTGAGATACGAAGCCACATGACGAGAGCCAGGAAAATTATAATTTGTTCTTTGTTCCCCGATGAAAAAGAATGTGACCCCAGTCAATACTTGAATATACATCTCGCAGTCATTTTTTCGTTTTCGAATTTCTGATGTAGCAAAAGTCGCTATCAGGTATCAACAACTTCATAGAGTATTCAATGAAATTCACTCCTTTAAACCTTGCTTTCTTGAGTGCGTTTTGTACTTGATCTATTTCTAATGCGCGCGTTTCTTGTCTTTTGATAGCTTAAAAAGAAAATCGATGGTGTTGAAGTAAGCTGGGCCCTAGGTGCTACTCTTGATCTTTTTGACAAAATGACGTAACGTCAGGTCGAGTCAGGAAACTTTTCCTCATCGAGTGGTTGAGCTGAGTTCGTCTTGCTGTTCCGCAAATAATAGTTGCTTTCAATTGAATTGAACGATATTTAATGGTAAAGAACAGCCACAAGGTGTATTTGTATTTCAAATGTTACCAATAGGGACTTAATCGTTTAGGCAAGGAATTGTTTTGCACAATAGGAATAACGAACACTTCAAATCCACTGTCGCAATTTCGTCATCGTTTTAAACACTTATTTACAATTTAGCATGGGTAACTGCCAGTGTGCTCGTCGTATTTAAGCATAGTCAATAAAGGGGTTAGTTTCTAAACAAACTGTGGTGCTACGTCAGTGGGGGAGTTGTTTTATCAACTGAGTTTATAATGTAAATTAGCCACCGTAAAGAGTTTCAAAGCGAACGCTTGAAACATCAGCTTTGAAACCCTGATGCGTGTGAGCATTTGCATAAGTAACACGCGCAATATAAGTAAATAAATTATTATTAACCCTCTTCGGTGGCTGATTTATATTATCAACTCGGTTGAGAAAACCATATCATCTCGTTAAGGTGTAAGTTTGTCAACAAATATGCGTGTAGAGAAAAAATAGAGGAAAATATCTGTGTTTGCATATCCTCTTTTAAGAACGAAGGGGCTGGAAGAGTTATTACAAGTTATGCAAACCATCGACTGCGTCACGGTTTCCATAACTGTCTCAGAGAACTCTCCCCAATCCTTATCGTTTGTAGATGTATGTAACCATTGAGCAAAATTCAATTGAGTGCCGAAAGTAACACGGGATTGCTTTGGTTTAACTGAACTTTACTCTGTGATTGGTTCAGAAAACTCGTGCCTCTCTCTCAAGCAATCAGATGCAAAACTAAAAACAATTGCGACTTTGTCGCCTGCGTTTTCCCGCGCTTCAAGCAGTTTGCTTGTTTTCACTTTGAGTTCTCAAAGAAACTTCTCTATTGTGGTTTATTTGTGGTCTATTTGTTGTCGCTACAGTCTTGACAGGAAAGAAAAATTTTTGACGATGAACATATCTTTACATTAGCTAATCAAATAATTTCTCTGTAGCTCCGTGATAGAGATTCTGAATTTGAAATTGGTTTGAATCCTACTTAGAAACTCAGATTTCTATTTTCGAAACTAGTTACCATTGCTTAACATCGTTCTTTCATCTTAATTATTGTTGTTATTATTATTATAATTATTATGAGTAGTACTATTTCCTCCTTGTCGAGCGCAGGACAAAGTAAAAAAAAGTGAAATACCTCAGGGATTCAAAGTACGAACTCGTTAATAAAATAGGCCTCACAGTAGCAGATGAAATCTCATCACATCTATTTATGAAAATAAAAGAGTCATAACACGCTTATTCGACCAGATAACGGCGATCAATTTCACTGTGTTAATGATTCAATGCACTTATGACTTTCCCTTTGATTTCCGAAAAGAACTTGGAAGGAGGGGCTTGTTTTCCGTTGTTAACAGGAAGCCCAGCTTTTAGGGGCAGGCTGGGGTCAATGTGCCGGGTTCTTGCGCCAGGTTCGTTGTTAAGGTGAGGGTGTGGGAGTGGGGAAGGGAAGGAGTAACTTTAATGGACTAGCCTCCCCAGGAGGGGTGGGTGGGGAATGTATCATTATTAATTTTTTTTTTTCGCCATGAAGGGGTCAATTGTGCACAATTAATTGTTTTTCGTGAAATCGCTTTCAGTTTTCAGGTCACAGTACACTTGAATTCATTGTGGTTGGAGGAGTAAAATCGCCCCTCTTGCGCTAGGTAAAGGTACCTTCAAAGTAGAGGTGCCCGCAAAATATTATGTTTGAGAGCGCACTTGCACATAGTCATATCATAATGGCTAGACTTTCATCTCCATATCATCTACATGGACTACGGTAAAGAGAGTTTGGTGGATACCCCACATATAGTCGTCTTAACGAGATACGTGAAACCATGTCTGCTTGGCGAGAAGACCGGGTTAACTTCATTCATGCACGTGCTCAAGAAGTTAAACTCGCACTATTTTCCATTATTTCTGGACAGAGGTCTACGGTGTTAAGGTGATACTCTTATACGCTTGTTGAGAAAACGAGGTGAACCTCGCACACGTGCTCAAATAGTAGAACTCGCCTTAGAGTCCGCTTTATTCTGGACAGCGGTTTACAGTCAAGTAGATAATTCACATACGGTTATCGAGAAAACCGAGATTTCCATATTCGTTCACATTTTGTCAAACTGGGCGTACTTTCATCTCTATTTTGGAGAGAGTTTCATTGGATCCTTTCCAAGAATCCCACCGAATGCCGTTTTTGTATTTTCCTGTTAAGCAAGCCTTTCGCTGACAGTCATTGAACCACCATCCACCTTTGGTGTCCTGTGCACAGTTTGTGCTGGTATTCTGCATATTATTTTTGTCAAAAGTCGAGAACTTCGTACCATTCTGGAATGAAAGAGAGTCACCCGCACCGCCACCTAAAATGCAGCGATAAAACATCAGTAACCCTTCTAGATTAATGATTTAATATCGGGGCTGAAGTGCTCTTGCCGTGAATTTAGCGGTAATAAAGATAAATCTGCGTAGATTAATCGTTGACGGAAGTGTAGAAGAAGGAAAAGATTGATAAATACTATCCGTTAATTTTTGAAACTGCATCATCAAGATGATTCGGCAAAGCATCTCGCCCACCCTGAGAGCCATATCGGATTGCAGGATACGTTGCCTTGCCCCCTTGGAGAAAGAGTAATCAAGCTCTTCTGCTCCATCGTCGGGGAAGAGCGAGCTACTGAAGAGGCCTGGAGACGAAACCGTTCGTTTTTACGTTACTCCATGAGGCTCTGGAGTTTTCTTTTGACCCCCCTCTCCCCTCCCCCCCCTCCCTCATCCCCTATCAATTGGCAATCAATTTCCTATAGTTCCCCTTTTTTATACTCCTTTGGTGACGTCTAATTACCCCTCCGCTCTGTCTGGAAACCCTGGGATCCCCCCTAAATCTTTCGAACCTCTCCCCGTCCAGTCGGTAAATATTGACTGGTCCGTAAGGATATTTTTTTCCCGTTAAATGAGACCTCCACTTACCCACAAACGATCCCACTGTTAGCGTGTACATAGTTTGCCAGTCTCCCAATTCACAATTCGTGTATTCAGCGTAGTCCTTGCTGCCGTCAGAGGTTTCCATGTCTAGCCTTATGGAGAACTTACTGTCAGCATGAATTTTCTCCATAGATCTTAAACCCAGCCAAAATTCGCCGGAGGTATCTCCAAATCCTTCCTCATAAGAATCCCAGTCTCTGTTGAAACCGATGTATCCGTCAAAGCGCCGCATCCAAAGGGTCCAACCACCGCCAGCAGTTTCTTGGTCACAGTAAACTCGAAAACGATCATTTGTTTGCCAAGTCTTCCAATTTATCAACAGACGGTAGCTTCCGCTTTCTGTGTAGTTCTTTTTCAGCCAATTTTTACAATGTCGCTGAGCTTAAGGGACAATTGAAAAAACACACGTTACAACTAATACTTTATGAAAACGAAAAATCAGTACTCAGGGGCTGGTGACTTCTGCGTATAACCTGGGCTGACACAAGCTCACCTCGTACCCAGGTCTGCGCGGTATTAATTTCGATCATATCATTTGCTTTATATGAGCCGACCTGAGCTGCTAGCGATTGGTTGACAGAAAAATCGAGGGCTCATGTTGAAAGCTTACCTGGTTTAGCCGTGATGACCTTTAACGAACTTCCGTCGGTTTCTGTCGTCTGCCCTGTTGAAAGGTTCAGTTTCTGCTGTAGCATGAGACTTAAATCCGGTATCATGAGTGTGTAGTTGTAAATGTCGTACAATAGTTCTGACTGGTTCAGAAGACTTCGAATTAACATTTCGTTAATGGTTGCTGCAGGAGCAAAAGGGGAGAAAGAAAAGAATAAGATAAATTTGCATCCCTGTGACTCGCACATGTTTGGTGGGTACCCTGTGGAAATTCTCGTCTCAACATCCTTGTATGAGGTATCGAACAGCAGTCAATGTATCTGCAAACGTACCTTGACATTGGACAGCAATCGATGACTGAAGTGCAAGTGTAGTGCTGGCGGAACTCACTGCCGAAACTGAAGGAAACATGTAACTCCAGGAATTAGAAACTAGAGCGCTGGAAGTCGTAATACGAGCTGTTGGAGTCGAGACAGAGAATACTGAAGACTGGGACGAGTGTGAGGGCGTGGGCGAAAGTGAACTCTGTTGAACTTCATTGCAAGTTGGATCTGAAAAAATAAAAATAATGGAATAACACTTAAGAAATAGTAACATATTTTTCATCATAAATATGGCACGAGAAATGGGAAGGCTTCCAATGAGAGGACATTTTAAGGTTAATTTTTGGCAAAGACAATGATAGATTTGATTAAATAAAAAAAACATGTTAGATTTATCGAAAGGAGAGTTCCGAACTGATTTATCACGAGACAGAGCTATCCGCACGCCCGCGGCGAACGAGAACATGCTTATCCATAGTTTTTTATTTTTCCGCAGTTTAATGTTTCAGAACCATGTTTAACTGTATCCAACAACATGTTTTTCTGGGGCCCTAACCAATCTAATGTTGACTAATCTTTGATCTTTTAACCTGAATTACGCAGTCTTGACTACTGCGCAGGCACAATAAATTAGAACAGTTTTTCAAGTACCTAAACTTCCATTACAGACGTAGATTGACATCCTCATGTTAGACGACAGGCAGTGTCCCCCTTCGTGATTGGCCAGTGAGTGGTTGGTACCGTCGGACGTACCTAAAACGTATTAAAGTCGATTTTTTTGAAATGATGACTTCCCAGCTGGAAAAACGGTATAAACATCAGACAGCCCGGATATAACACGAACTTAAAGATTAAGGAACTGTGAACCACTCTATTTGTCTCTGCTGGTCTCTTTCTACGCACTCGAGTCCGCCTGGAGAGGCACCGTGCGAGTGTTGAGTGTCTTATCGAAGGACACAACACAACATAGTTATCCGGTCAGGACACGAGCGCGAACCATTAGCTCCTTAATATTGCGCAACAACCGTAGTGCATACTAAAATTCACAAAACTATAATAAATCCAACATCTTGATTTACACTTATGAGACAGTGAAGGACGATATTGTGAGAATTAACTTTCCAGCACAAACGTGAAACACATTGATCCGATCAGAGCTACAACGCACGTCTTTCCATCCAGTGTCTAGCTTGCGCACTGTCTCTGCAGTCTGGTCTGATCTCTCACAAAAGGGCCTTACAAAGGGAAAATGCATAACATTTCTTAAATATTTCGTTATCCAGCTCTTTCAATGAAGACAAGTGGTCGACTGTCTTACCTATAAAGTAGTAACTATTGCCGGGCTCATATGCAATGCTGCCTGGCGTGGTGTAAGCTCTAAACACCATCTCATAATACTTCAGCTGCAAAGGGTTATTACAGCTCATCAGTAATCTCTTCTCGTTAGAAAAGCTTTGATCACTTGCGTTTATTTTACAAATGTCAAACTCTTGTTTAGTCACTATCCATAGATTTGAGTACATTTGCTCCAGTGGTATGCTAGATTCCGTTTCTTGTAATACACTCGCTGGATTTGGGCAGACGATTTTCATTTTAGAATGGGCAGGAACTTTCATCGTCAAGTTTTTCTGAAAGCTAAAAAATATGGTTAACGCAATGCTGTAAATATCTCTCTCCATTTCGTGGTACAAAAGCGGTTGCATGTGGGCTCACTCCATTAAGAGAAAAATGAACTTCGTATAGTTATCTTTCTAGGCGTAATCCTTTGCGCTCATCGATCGAAAATATAGCGTAAAGATATCTCAGACTACTTACTTGCAAAAAACCTCAAAAGGATTACGCAAGCAAAGAGAGATTGCTCGCATTTTCATGATCAGAAACTGTAGATTCGTGAAGTATTGATACGCCTAAAATTCGCAAATGCAGTTTTATTTCAGTCCTTAAAGATTAATGAAAAACTTTGCACTGAGTAACTAATATTTGATTTCAATGTGTGAAGCGCTTTTGACTTAGCGTTGGTCTAGGAAAATGACTGTAAAAAATAGAATGATCATAGCTAATCCGTTTTCTATGGTAATTTTTGTTTTTTATCGAGTGTGCTTTTTGATCACTGAAAACTGGTATTGAAGTAAAAACTAACTGACTGGACTTAAACAAGCCAAAAAAAACAGACAAACAACAACAGATAAACAAAAAGAACATTCCAGAACAAGTATTGATCATGCAGCAGCGATTTCAAATTAATAGAGCAGGCAGTGTTTCTTTGTATTGCCACCTCCAGCCGAGTTTTTGAGCCGGACCAACTCAGCGCTATACTTCTTTTGTGTCTTGTCGCCAGTCTGACCACAATTAAAACCACTGCTTTTGTGCCCTAAACCCTTGCCATGCCAACCTTAAGATATTGCAAAACATTTTATACTCTTCTCGTATCCGTAATAATGGCCACCCATGACGCTGTATGGAACCAGTCTTAGCCTTTTGTAGCCTCAAAAGTTCTTTTACACTAACATGACTTTCATTACTGGCTGTGCCCAACCAATTTCCTTCGCCATAAAGCATTCAGTACAGTTCTATAGCAGCCGCATAAGTTCAGGCGTTTTTGTTTATTTAAAGGCAATCTTCATCCATTAAACCTGTTTTATTTTACTTTATTTCATTAGTTTTTTCAAGTTTGCCAGCCCGTTTCTGTTACCCGCAGTATTCATTTCCAAGAAAAGAAACTCCAACGGCAAACGTTTGGCAAACGTTTTCATGTCTGAATTGCTAAAAAAAAAGCAACTTTTGTCGCACATACCAAAAATGGAGCAATTTTTGAGCCACTTTCTCTCAGCTACTTCACACTTTTCATTATAGCAGGATCTTTGTCACAAATAGGTCGTTACTCAAGTGTCAAGAACAAGTACACCAATACGTTTTTTACACAAAGTGACCCCTTAGTATCGATGCAAAAAAGGGAAAAAAATGGTCAACTTTTATGGGATGCAAAATAACACATCAGGTATGTTCTCTTGTAGGATAAGAGTTTGTCTTCGATACCGAATATTTTTCGTTTTTTCATACATGTATCAATAGGGTATTATTTGATTTGAATGTTATCATACTTGCACGATAAAACAGCTGCATAATCTTATCCTTTCAGGGAACTGAGAAGAAAATTCCGCTCTCCATCATTAATGCCACTTTTCAATTGTTACACACGTTACTTCAGTATAACACTGAGTCGTTTTAGAAGGCAATGTGATGAATCAAAGTGTTTGTGTTTTATATTACAGTTACCTCGACCGATTGTGCATGTTCGTCAATTTTAGCAATATTCTAGTCATAAATGAGACAGTACAGTATTGAATCAAGATTAAATTCAGTCAATAATCGCTTAAACAAACTTATCGACGGAGAACATCAAGTTCCTTACAATATTTAACGACCGACTCTAGGTGTTTACAAACAAAATACTTACATTGGATTGCGAGGATCCCAGAAGATCGATGGTAGGAGAGTAGAATAACATAAACCTACATATAACACCAACAACAAGCGAAGTGTAAGGTTGCAAGAAATCATTTTCTCTACGTAAACTAACTTTAATTAGCTGCGCTTACGAATCAAGGTAATTAAAGAACAAACTGTTGTACAAAAATACTTTAATAAAATGTTGAGACAATGGCGCCTCCAGTTCGGCAGCTTTTGTCACGTTATTAGGCAGTCTAATTTCTTTTATCAATTCGTCTCATGGGAAATAAATTCAAATTCCATTCCCGAAAATAAGCATGGATAGAACACTTTTCGCCACATTTTCAACTTCTCCAACTGCATGTTCCGTTAAATACTTTTTCACTCGATAGAGGGAATCAAAAACGACAGTTAACTCAAACTTCTGTCAAGTAAACGAAGTTATAATTATCTTGCGCTGGTCAAGAGAGAGTGCTAATTAACTGAGACTTTTCCATCATTCTGTACATTTGTGTTCTATTCAACGATTCAATGAAGTGAAAACAAGTTCAAGATCCAATTTCATTATTCTGGAGAACTCAGAGGTAGGTTCTAATCCAGCATGGCGCCTACATGCCCTGACAAACTTAAAAGGTCTTTGTGTTTGTCGTGACAACCTCTGAACATCGTCCATCATTTTAATCTCATGCATAAAACTGGCGTCATGCACAAACGGTTTACCACCTCATTAGAAATATATAATTGCAAACTCTTGATTGTTCTTCTCCCGGCCTGTTTACCTTTGGCCTCTTTTTCAAAACGAGGCCTAGTGCTCAACCATGAAAACATGACCAGTGGAATCATTTATTTTCTAGCAATATTACCAATGAGACAAAGTTTGATTTGATAAGTGATCAGGAACAAGTTTGATGTTATGCTCGTCACATGTTAACTAATGAAAAGTAGGAAGTTCGAGTTGTGTTCGTTAAAAGTAACGGATACAAATTATATGTTCGCCACTGATTGTGGAAGATGAACAAAACGCCACCTCTTCCAATGAATGAGTAACCTCAATTGCATGTACTCGATCCAGTTCTCCTGGCTGACGTGCGAAAAAATTGACTATAATTCAGAGTTCATAAAAGAAACGCTTGTACAACTCAATGTTTGTAAGTCACTCAGACAATACCCTATTTTGGTAGAAGTGTGCTACAATTCGCGATAACCGCACGTGGAATGTCAAAATGGTTTCATTCGTTTTTGAGTTCATTAATGAGCTTTCTGAAAAGTTCTCCATTTTAATCAATACCTTCAAATATTTCTCTTTAAACAGCTGGTGGGAGGGAAATTGATTCGTCGAGTTCTTTACACTGCTTTTCCAACAATAGGTTTCCTAAAATTAAAGTAAATTCTCCTTCCCTGAATAGTCAATCTCTTATTCCTTGATGGAGTGGGAGCAATTTTGGTTGAATGTCCAAAGTAATCTCAGGAAACTCACGACATATTCTTAACCAATCAGAGGCAAAATTTAAACGTTTTCCCGCGTTTTAGGCAGTTTGGTTGGATGTTGAGTTCTCATTGGCTCTCATTGGCCAATCTTCTGATTGACTATTACGACAACTTTGGTTTTCAATTTCCGACGCTGAAGCGAAGAGCGCTCTCATGGTCATCTTTCCATACTGAGTCTAAAAGTCAGCGGGAAGCGTGCGAGCCGCAACTCCTCTCTGAGACAGAAAATTGCTCCTTTCATTTTGGTCTTCAAGTCGACTGTAGTCACTAGTTAAGCTGGTTTTATTTTCATCTCAACTTTGGACAAAGAATGGTTAACCCCAGTCCACGCCTGCCATTGAATGCCCACAATTCCTTGAGAACTGTGCGTGCCATTCTCGTAACTTCCTGTGAGGCATGCGCGTTGACAATCATTAAACCACCATCCGCCACCTGCAACTTGAGCACACTTCAAGGTGGACTGATCATAGTCTTTATTTTTAGTGGAGAATTTCATCCCACTGTGATACGAAAACGAGTCTCCTGCATCGCCTGCAAAAGGAAAAAGCAAATCTATTGTGGCCATTCCCATAAATTGTTACGACTCCGTCGCTTTCCCTTTCGTGGATGTAGCTGGGTCAGTCGTTCAAAAGGTGGAAAAAAAGATGAAAAAGAAAATCAACCAAGGAGGTGGGGGTGGGGATGGGGTAGTTTGCTTGGATCAATATTAGTATCTGAGCAACTGCCCACCTACCCCTCCCCTGACTCAACAACAGTCAATTGACAACAAGTTAAGGTTAATGTTGGGTTAGGAGAGGGGTAGGTGGGCAGTTGCCCAGATACTGATATTGATCCATTTTGTTTGGGTAAAAAATTTTTCTAAGCCGACTTCTTTGATCAATTTTTCCTTAGCAATTTGCATGTCACTTTTGACCTCCTGCAGGAGTCTTCTTACATCCCAGGTCTACATTAAGGTTTTTTCTGTAAACATCCAGGTTTAATTATACTCTAGGTAGTGAATCACGCTTGTCTTCCCTTTTTTTAACTTTTTATAAACAAAAAAGAAAAAAAAAAACAAGGTTCGGTCGGGCAATGAGAAATGAATATTTTCAAACGAGATTCTTTGCAGTCAAATGTTAGAAAACCATGACTAAATTGATGCCAGAAACTCTCTACTATAAAGAAAAAAATCTGCTAGATGTATGCTGAACACAACAATGATGGTGTCAAAAAAGTTAAAAGCTTAGCCTCAGTTTAAATATCTCGTATTTCTCGCGTTTTGGCAGCCGCCATAAATTTCATCCCTTGTGTCATTTCTCACCTGAATAACTTCCAACAGTTATCTTATATTTTCGGTCCTTGTCCAGTAGACATCCTTCGTACTCTGAGTACTTCTTGATTCCATTCGAGGATTCGAGATCGAATCTCAAGTTGAAGTACGAGCCACCGGTGAGTCTGTACATTTTCTCCAAGCCTAACCAAAACTCTCCTGTTAGATCGCCTAAGCCTTCCACGTAGGCAGACCACCCGCGATCGAAATCTAAGGAACCATCATATCGTCTTAGAATTACCGACCAACCTCCTCCGCCGTTCTCGTTGTCGCAGTTCACTCCAAATCCTCCATTTCCATCCAAGGGATCGATACGGTAAATACCACTAAGTGTGTAGCCAGATAACAAAAGTGCATCACAGCTGGGAAGAACTTCAGAAGAAAAGCATGCAGTTAGAGTAGTCAATAAGGCTGCAAGGTTATTTTTAACGCTGCGTAATTCCACGCCGAAGTTGGGGTAATGCGCTCAGATATCTATCAGCTCATATTATCCGTTAACACAATACAGTTTGTCGAGATTAAAGCTCGGGAAGAGCTGCATGTGGGCTTCGAGGAATAGACAACTTCACAAGATGAATCTATTAGCATATTTTCAACCCAAACGGAGGCTACCGTATTACTAAAATAGTTTTTGCAACGCTCGGAAGGAAAAGTTTGCCAACGGCTTGTCGACGAGAACTGACATTGACTATTCAGATAGACTTTAAGAACAAACAAGAGTCTGTAGAACTTGCAGAGCTTTGCATAAGTACCATGCTTTTGGTATTCTATCTTAGACATGTTTTGTCGCGAGAGAAAACTTAAGACGCGTTTTCCCACGCTTCCGGCAGTTTTCTTCTTTTTACATTGCGTTCTGTTTGGCTCTTTGTTACATAATCCTATTCTCTGATTGGCTGTTTGTTATTTGTATGGTCGTGGTTTGACGGCACTCGATAGAAACCCGCACTTTGTGAGTCAGATTAGATTGTAGAATTCACATTTGGAGCGCTTTTCGATTGAGTGTCGCAAAACCAAAACCAAATAAATCGCAATGGCCGATCAGAAGAAAGAGACACATCTCTAAGAGCTACTGAGAGCCACTCGAAGTATAAACAACCAAACTGCCTGAAGCGCGGGAAAACACTGGCGACCAAATCGTGATCGATGTTAGTTTTGCTTTTAATTGGTTGGGAGAGTGGCGCGAGTTTTCTTAACCAGTCAGAGAGCGAACTAAGGTAAAACCAATGCAATCACGGATAACTTTCGAACCTCAATTGAAAACTGCCCTAACATTAAAATTTTAACACCTTACCTGGGGCACGATTTTCAAGGGAACAAGCTGGTGCGATGAGTGCACTTTGAGCTACTACAGCGCTATTTTGTTCCTTGGTACAGTTCTGTGTTACATTTGTTTCATGTTCAGTCTGGGCTTCCTGTGTCACCGTTTGTGAAGAATTAATCCCTTGCAGTATAAGCTCCAGATCTGGTATGATGGAAGTGTAGTTACAGATTTCTGCTAACTGGCGAGATTGGTTTGTCAATAAAGAGAGGAATCCTTCTGAGCTGGAAGCTTTAAATTCTGTTGAATAAAAGAAAAAGAATGATTGGTAAAGTATCCGCCTTTTTCAAATTTATCTTATAGAGAAGAGAAAGGGTAGTTAAGTGGCTAACGTGCAATGTTTTGAACCCTAGTCACAAGAAGGCCTGGAACGAAACTTCTAAGCATATCGATTATTTTCGTCTTCACCAGAGCGAAAAATGTCACTATTTATTCACTTTTCGGGCCTTTCTGCGTTTTGCTTTAGTTTTGTCAGCCGCAAAAGTTCGCGAAACGTGGAGCGATTCGTGCGGTAAATGAATGCGATCATACATACCCTGACACTGGACAGTGGCTGACGATTTTAGAGCAAGCGTAGTACTTGTCAGACCAGCGAAAGTCGTTGTTGAGAAATATTGAGTTGGACTAGACTGATGAACCAGAACAGAAGAAGATCCTCTACTGCTCAGACTTGGTGTTGAAGAATGATGCACTCTCTCTGTGACAGGAGCACACGAAGAGACTGAACTAGAAGGAGAAATTTTAGGAGCGTCGATGCACTTGGGATCTATGGGAAACAAAACAAAAACAAGTGTTTTTACAATTACGACTATCATGAGGAAGGAGGGGAAGGAAGGCACCATAACCTACTCCTCCTAAGGAGAAAAACGAGTATAACAATTTAATACGTCTCTCACCAGAGCTTCCATTACAGACATGAATCACCATCTTCATATTAGACGTCAAACAATGTCCTCCATCGTAATTTGACAGTGAATTTTTCATGCCGTTTGAAGTTGCTGAGGAATTAAAAGGATAAATATTAGATCAGTATTAGATGAATATTAGATAATTTCAATACAGTATGACTTGAGGAAGTTTTCCTTACGTAGAGCATTAGCAGAAAAGGATAGAAACCATAATGTGTTGAAGTGACTAATAAAAATAATAATAATTATAATAATAAAGATTTTTGGGCGCATTTAGAAAACTCAATGTGATTAGATTACTGTATAGAAAACACAATTCGTCAAAAACTTACAAAATGTTTCTTACAGCAGTAATAAATAAAATAACTAATTAAGAACCAGGTGACATGAAAGCTAGGTACAGTTCCTCGCAAAATAAATCAAAAATAAAATTTCCGAAACAAGAATGTTTTGACGGCAGATTTAAAAGATAAAAGAGATGTTGTATTTTTAAAAGAATCCGGTAGACCATAATATAGGTGCGAAGAAAGAAAAGGCACGTTCACCGTATGTCACAGAGTTCACAGTAGGGACAGTATAAAGTAGTTTAGAGGATGAGCGTAGGCTTCGTTGCGGATGGTATTGTTGTAAGAGGGACGATAAGTAGGCTAGACAAAGTCCATGGATAATCTACTCAAGGCCTTACCTATAAAGTAATATTTTGTTCCCGGTGCAAACTCTAAACGGATATCCACTGACTCATCTAGGCGTGGAGGACTGTATGCTCTAAAGACCATTGGGTAATATTTCAACCTCAAAGGGCTATCACAACTTAAGATCCTTCTGCCAGCTGATATGTTTACTTTGCACATATCATAGTCTTCTTTAGTGACAATCCACATGTTTTCGTACATGAGTTCTTGTGGGATACCGGATTCTTGATCCTGCAGGACGCTTCCCGGGTTTGGACACAACACGTTGAGTTTAGAATTTTGAAGAACGTTAATCTCCACGTTTTGTTTAAATCTGTAAAGTAATTAAGTACGTATACAAATATATAAAAAGAAGGCAAATAATCAGTCAAAAGACAGGTTGATAAATAAGATCGATTTAAAAACATGCATGTACCTTGCAAAATAAGTGTCAATAAATAAGCAACAATCGTAATGCCACTATTAGCTAGAAAAGTAATCGAACCAGCGTAAGTGCATAATGTAAAAAAGCGGTAAGCATGCATGCAACCAAAACAGGTAGTGGATGTTCGGGAAAGCTCTCAAGGCGATCATATTTTCAATCACACAAGTCAATTTAAAACAAATTATAGTGCCAAACCATAACAGTGAACAAAAGCACAATTTATGGTGGAAAGAGAGAAGTTGGAACAATGCATTACAGTTAATTAAGTGAAAAAAAAACTGGCACTTTCCTTCCAGTATGTTTAGTTACCATAACTAATGGCTTTCAACAGCTTGCCTCGATATACCATAAAGAAGAAATTTAATATTTCTGAAAGATTCTTCAAACGAACTTTCAGTTACGTAATAAGAGTTGGCTTCCTCAGTAACATGTACGCGTGGAGATAACAATAGATCTTTTTTGTAATCAATACTCACAGTGGATTCCGCGGGTCCCAATGTAAAGATGGATGATAACCAGCAGAAGCAAAGGAGACAGATACCAAGCACAGGAATTTCACGAATTGCTGTGGTTTTAACATACTTATTCACCCATCAACTGGGCGACGTCTGTTTTTCAGTCTCCAACGGTTGAACTATGGTGTGGTATCAGTGTCTATATACAATTGCCATAAAATTAAACGGTTAGCTGACGTAATTAAAACCCGCGGTAATTGCTCTACGTAAAACGGGTGCTATTGTTTCTCTTTTGAAATGACAATTGCCTACAAACGTCATTTTCTCTTCTGAGTAAAAACAACCACGTGTTTAAGACCTAGACTCACGAAAACTAACCGTGCAATATAGTAAATGAACGTAACAGTTCATCAGCTAGAAGGCTCAATATTTCATGTAAGATATATAACTTTATACTTCGTGAAGCACTACTATAATACCTAGCTAATGAAGTTTGAAGCGTATTTAATATGTCTTTCAAAGACATTTGTTTTGCATTGATTTCGTAGAGTCAGTACAAAGAGTTTCCCGAACAGGCAATCACATTTAACAAAGACAATCCCATTTATTCATTCAACGTTAAATTGCATTCGTACCAACTTCATTCATTAACTTTTTGCGGAAGAGAAAAACGCGAAATCAGAGCCGTCTTCTTTTCAGAAGACTCTGGCTTTAAAAGTGCTACGTATTCGTTTAATCTGACTTACTTCACATTGCGTGGAAAACATTCTTTCTGGCTAATAAGACCATTTTAATTATACAGCAGGATAATGCTCCAATAGCTGATGAATCCCTCTCTTGGGATCACAGGTTAAGCCATTTTTTGACATTAACAGCGTAAGTCGATTAAGCGAGCGATGCTTTGCACGAAATTTTACCGAAAGACTAAACTAAAGATAACTGTCGCCACGACAATCTGTTTATGACTGCAGAGGTACACAATATGCGAGATTTAAAGGGAAGATTTGGGATCATCATTAGCAAGAGACTCTGGAATCGAGCTACCAATTATTAGTTTCCATAGCAACGTGCTGAACAAATTTTGTTTCTTGATACTAGTCAGGGAAACTGGGTTTACTAAATAAACGAGGAGAGATCTTTTTCTCTATGAAGGTGACCTTTTTCAAAGGTGTATCTGTAAGCATCTATTTCATGTGCTTCACTCAGCTTCCAGAGAGACAAACAATTTGCCCAACTCCTAGCCTGCAAATAAAACAGTTCAGCGATATAAAACACCTTTTCCTGCAAAGGTTTTTCAACGAAAAATATCGTTTTTTGAATGCGTTTCTTTTCTTCCACTCTTTCTGGTAAAAATACAACAAAGAGTTATAAGAAATTTAAAGCCTGAAAGAAGCCTAGCTTTGCAAATGAACACCAGCCTCGCTCGCAGGTCTTTAGAGTGAAGCCGAATTCGCATGTGCAAATCTTTCAACTCATTTACATGTCAGTATTCCTCGTGGTCTGAACTGTTTCACTTCACGGAAACAAACCGGAGAAACCCGTCTTCATAGTCATGTCTAACTTTCAAACGTGGCCAGAAGCATCGGGAAATTGCTTGCTCTTGAAGACCGATTTGACGTGATGTGCCTGTTTCCAACAAGGTCTTCCACAACCGAACACACGGTAAGGGCGAGTTAGTTCAATTCATAAGTTGTTGTATACACCGCGTTGAATGAACTTTATAGATTTCCAATTTAAATGTGTAGTTTTTCGACGTGGTTCTCGCTAACTAATGCTCAATTCATATCTGCGTTCAAAAAAACGATGAAAAAAATATTGAACTATTTCGAGGGAGAACTCAAAAATATGTTGAGTCAGTCCATCCAAGCCCAGTAGTGAATATATCCAGTCAGAGTTTGTTCTCTTGGTGTTTAAATACCACACTAAGGAAAAATATACTAAATTTACCTTTACTAAAGTAAATTTACCTTCTGCTTTATTTATATACGTTTAAGATATCTGACTGGACCGAAAGGAAATTTTCGAAAGAGAAAACATAGAAAACATTAGGACTATTTTTGTGTGGAGTCTCTCCTGATTTAACAGTGATTCATTAGGAAAAATAATTTAACAATTTCAAGACAGTCTATGGAAACACAGGAAGTAATTCTGATTATATTTTCTGTACTCGTAGATGAAATCAAGTGATAGAAATGCTTGACAAAACCATACGAGTCGATAAAGAGGAATCAGAGGCAAATAATTAAAGGTAAGCCACAGTTTCTAATTTGCCTAAAAAATTGGTAGCAAATGTGCATATGTGGCTGCTTTTCCCATGGGATCTAATTGATATAAACACATGGTCCTTGTTGATAACTTCGGCTAAAATATCTAACCTTGAAACGTTTTGGCTTTAGTAGATTATTTTTAAGTCTCAAGCACAATTTGACTTGAAAAGAAAAGACCAGCAAAATTTTTAACGAACAATTCGAAATTTCTGAGAAATGTGAGGCAAGATCAATTTCAAATCTTCAAGCTTAAGCCTCATCGCTTTTACAAGGAGTATTTGTGTTATCGAGGCTCTTGTTCAAGCCACTTGATAAAAAGAAATTTGGATATGAACATATACCCGATCATTAACAAGATTTATGAAATTTATTTTAAAAATTAACATTGTGTGAGCTAATACCTGCCGTTAACAAAAAAAAAAGAATACAGCATATGATCTGAAAAAATGTCTCGGCCAATTCTGTCTATGGCAATGGGCTTTAAATAAACATATGTTTTGGCACTTTTCAAACTTATAATAGGGGTAAATAATTCTCTTTGGAATTAAACATCGTGCAAATGATTTTTCGCTGGAAGTGACGCGTTATGTCTAGTTACGTCAGCAACAAAGAATGATCGGAATGTTTAGGAACTCTCCGCTGGGCTTTGAGAAAAAGTTTTAATTCTTAAAAACGTCAAGTTTTTTCACCGATAAAGGCCAAAAAATGGGATTACATCTTCGCCGTGTTTTGGAAAACGTAGAATATTTTTAGGAAAAATTCGGAAACCATTTGAAAACCTAGTATCCATAGAGATGCCTCTAACCCATTTGTATTTGTTTTCAAACCCCGCGTCTTTGCATTAAACGCGCGCGCTTTCGACATTGGCAAAATAGTTAGGTGCTGCGGTCTAGTCGCGTTAATATGGGTGACGTAATTAACCGCCTTTCAAGTTTTTAGCTGTCATGTTTGTAAAAAAACAAATTGCACCCCTTGCTCGAAATAATTACGAATTGGCAAGAAATGGTCCATAATAGCAGGGCTTTTTCAGTTCCAAATTTATTTCAAAGTGTTCTCTGTGAACTTTACCAAAGTAATGAAATGAATAAGTAGTTTTTCTGTGCAATTATAAAACGCATCGCCTCAACGTTTTTTAACATATTGACAGTTTTACCAAGCATCATTCATTCTCTCTGCAATCGTATTACGTCTAGTCATGGATTTATGAGTGTTTCCATTTGTATTTTATAAGCAAGGTTAGCGTCATCCTTTATTCTGACACATCTGTCGTATTGTCTTGCAGTTCCTTTGACACCATCTTGCTGTTGGAAGATCCAAAGCACGAGAAAGGCACAGAGAGAGAAAAAAGAGGAAAAGTTCGAATTATCTAAATTTAAGAATCTAGCAAGGTGAATTTTTCACATCCGCAGTTCAAAGTAATTCAAAATTGATCGACTTAGTAGGACACAGTTGGCACTGAAGTGAACGCCAGTGGTACGAGATTCTCTCCATAACAATCATAAATACGAGTTTATTTCGGTTTTTTTCTAAACATAGTCATTAGAATTGAGAGCTTGTCGTTTAGCTCAGAAGTTTTATATTTAGTCAGCACTTAATTCCACCAATTACTAGTTGTTAGCGCAATTTTCAGACTTGTCAAATCTTTCCCAGTTTATTTCGTGAATCTGTTTCTGTCTTAGTTTATTTGTTGAAATGTTTTCGCTTCAAATTTATCAAAAACAAGGCGGTAGAACAAATGTAAATCCACAAATTTCTTTAGAGCTGTTTTATTCAAAAGATTATCTTGTCTTTAGACTTGATTATTAACAATGTTTGTAGAGTGCTTATTCATATTCATTAACTGTTGTAAACCTTTTCAAACCTTAATAAAAAAAAAAGTAGACTTAGAAAAACTTGTATTGTATGTTTATTCCCTCCTCTGCCTCTCATTAACAGTACAAGTAAATAAAAAAAATCCGCGCTATTTAAAGGGCCTGGTAACAAGTCAAAATGTAGGCTATCTCTTTTACTTTTTTTTGCGTATGGAGGGTTGCCGAAAAGAAAAAATTTCTGCGAATTTGAACAGAGTCTAGTATTAAAACAAAATATATCCTTAGCTTTCGATGAGAAAAAAATCTCGTAGACGAAGCAAGATTTTTCCCGCCAAAAGACTTAGAATATTTTTTGATTAACGCAAGACACAATTCAAAAGTGCAAACCTTTTTTTCCACCGTAAAATTTCCCACTAAAAGACTTAGATAAAAAAAAAACCAGTTTTTTGATAAAAACTTTTCGTGGTAAGTGTTGATTTTCACTAAAGTATTTAAGGTTATTAATAATCCTGGTTATAATTTCCCGCCAAAAGAAAGTTTTTTTTTCGGAAAAATAGATTTTAAGGTCATTCTGCTGCTAATGATATTTTCGCGTAAAAATACAGAATAACGTTGGCCCTTTGAAAAGCGCTTCGGTGTGCATACACTCCTTTAACTACGCATGTGTCAAAGGGAGAAAAACTTTATTAAGGCCCATAAATTCCTCTTGTCTTGTACCATCGTCTTTCAAACCTATAAGAAAAAAATTCATCGTAAAGTTTTTGAGGATATTTTGAATTGAGGTGATGGTGAAGGTAATACTACTTGAACTGTACATTGGATTCGTTGAAACCTTCCTCTGAATTAACTTCAAAGTTTCCAGTCGAAAAGAAGAAAATGTTACACTTTCCAAGATTGGTTTGATATTAAGGCAAAATAATCATAAAGAGGTGAAAATACTCAAGATAATTTTTTTTCATACATCCTCTACCATAGTCCTTAGATTAAACATTGGAAATGTAAAGACAAATTTATTGCAACGCCAGATATTATCCCAATTTGCGATAAATACATTTATTTCTGATCAACACAACCCACAATTCCTCCAATCGCTCCGACGAAGGGCTAACGCTCGAAACGTCAGCTTTTTTACCCTTTACGGTGGCTAATTTACGTTTTCAACTCAGCTTTTAACACTAAATTACCTGCTATACTCTCCCACCGACGCAGCACCACAGTCTCTTTAGAAACTTACCCCTTTATTTTTGATCAATCTACTTTTTAATTTATTTCCCATCTTTTTTTTTTAATGCATAAATCGGTATATCATGAATTTGTCTGCAATTTTGTTTTCCTTATTCAGGTCTAAGACATCACTATATGTCTAGTACCCTTTTCGATACATCAGGCTGGGTTAACTCTTAACACCCTACGATCAGTGTTCATATTCCCCACACTGTTCTCTTTACATTTCCTTAGGTGCTGACAAGGAGAATTTGTTTAGCAATCAAAAGCTTTTTTAGTTAGTGATCATTTCCTTTATTCTCCTGACCTTTTTGTTTGATTCAGGGCTGATATTGTAAGGAGAAATTTGATGTTAGTCTCTCTTAGGTGTCAAAGGGTCAAAAGTCACGATTTAAACCGCTTAATTCTCGGCCAGAATCTGCTTCTCATGGCATACTCGTTACACCTCCTTATATCGTTTTTGTAAAATTTATATTAAATAGTTTTAAATTCAGATATTGAATCGTTCTGATTTTTTCCTCCGTTGCTTGGAAGGGATGCGTTTTTTTTTTTTTTTTTTTAGCTCACGTTTCCTTGTTATGTTAAAATAAAACCGAAACTTCCTTTTTTATTCATTCTTTGTACATTGGCATAATATCAAAGTGGTTTGTAAAAGATTATACCTCACAGATTGTCTTAGCATGTAACGGTATAGCACAATGGTATACACTTTTGTATTTCCTTATATATTTTAGCATCACAGAAAGTCAAGACGGCCGAAATTCGTAATTTACACTCGTGTTAAAACTTTGCACTCGTGTTACAATTTTGCACTCGAGTTACATGAAAAATGCACTGGTTTTCAGCCAATCAGACGTGCGGAATTTTTTCATGTATATTATTAGTTAGCAAAACCAAATTATCTTTCACAGAGTATAAATGCATACATGAAAACCATTCTACTGAAACAATCTTTCAACTCAGAAATTGATTTAAAACTTAAGTGTGGAGATCTCGTGCACAGGAAAAATTAGAGCCACTCTTGCGTTAGAGTCAAACGGATAAACTTAGAATTTCTCCTTCCAATATCAATGCAATATCAAGCAGACAAGTGATGAGAATAAAGAAAAATATCAGAAGGGAATTATTAGTTGATCCAACTCCAAATTAACATCGTAAGAATCGTATGTCAGACAGTAAGGAGAGCTATTGGGGAGATCTTAGGTTAAAGAAAAATTAGACTAGAAAAGAAGGTTATCAACTGACCTGTGGTAATGGCAACTGTTTATAGAATGTTGTTCTTGATAGTGATCGATCCATTACTATCCCTAGCTTTCTGTTTCATTATCACCTAGTGAAAGATGTACAAAAATGGCAACAAAAAAAATTCAGAGTTCAGGATGGCGGGAATAAAATATTCAAAATATTCTTTCGGGACCAGTCACCGTCATCTCCTTACGAGGGAGGTAAGGGGTAGGGGGTGGGTATGAAGAGGGGTAGGGGAAAGGGGTAGGGGTAGGGGGATTTAGGGGGTCACGTGGTATTTAAGGGAACGGTGTGGGACTAGCCGCTTGAAACACAAGATTTGCTGACTCAGTTCTCCCAAGGCTAAAAAAATATCTGTAAGCTAAAGTGGATTGCAGCATGACGAGAAAAAAACGAGATAACTTACATGAACTCCGACTTCGGTCATCTCACAAATTGATAAAGAAGCTCGTTGTTGTCGACGGTGAGGGCCACGTGGGAAGATCCTTACGCACCAAAAACTGATCTGCGAGGCTACTTATCATTTCAGCTTCGGTGCTCAGACGTTAGAACACGCTGGAACATGCCGAGCAGCAATTCGCACGGCCAAAAACAAAAAGCTTCATATCAAATAGCCTGGATTAGCTCTGAACTCCGCCTGTGAAGCTTCTAACGCAACTGACATGAATACTAATTGGTGAAAATATATTTACAATGCAAAAAATTTTCGCAAACATCCCTTAGGACTCACAATCAGTATGTAAATAACACCGCGGGTAATAAAAAGAGAAGTTGCGACATCTTTCTAGATTGCTATAGGCTGAGAGGCCGATAGTCGTTCTAGAGGTTATGATTTTCCAAATTTCACTCTATGAAAATATTTTTTCGTGAAAAGGCTGTGGATTGATCTTTGAACAAGACCGGAGGGATGATTTTAACGCAAACTAATAAAAGAGAAATAAAAAGCAAAGCATCCTGTCTGATAATGTTCCCATCTGGATCCATTACACCTGTTCAATAATTCAGGCTGATGAGGACTAAATTGTGCCCCAAGCTACAAGTTGAACGCCGCTACCCATCGAGCTACAAGGTCAAAAGAGAGGGGGGGGGAGAAGGTTAGCGATTAAGGAAATTTCAGCTAAGATCAATTCGTAACTTGTAATTTTACCTACAGGTTGAAATGAGATCTGAATCACATAGAGTACCAATGACGACATTGTATGACGTCTTCATTAAGGCTTAATGACAGGGTTAGAGAAAAATAAGAACTCGCATTTTGGCTCCCAATGAGTCATACACCAACTACCCCCCGCTCTAAAAGTCGACAGGCCTAAAGGCAAGTTTTAACAACGTCTACGGTCTGCGATAGCCTCGTTCCATGATTGATCAGTTTTAGCACAGAGCTGTTATCACTTACGTTTGCATACTGATTTCAAGCACTTCACTGAAAAAACTGCATTTATATGGAGCACATAAACCTTTTTATGAAGGCGTCACCATCTTTTCTCGATACATTATAGAATGCAGATGTCCACGATGTTTTGCAATTAGATAACTGTTAATATAATGGCCGTGAGTTAGTAGGCTATTCATCTGTCATTTCTTTGAACTTCAATGGATAATTCCTATCTGTGCCCTATACTGTTAATATTTTAAAATCAGCTTTGCACTCGGCCGTTAACTCGCTTCTATTGAGTCCTAAATCGTTTTTCTCTTAAGCCGATTATTCCACTTAAAATTTTTTTCTTTTCTTCGCACAGTGAGAAGTGGCCGAGTATCATAATGGATAATATAAAAGTGTCAGCACTTCTACAGTTAACACGTTTTTTTACTCTCAGTTAATAGCACTTCGCAGTACAAAAACAAAGGCGATAATTAATAAACATTTGCAGTGTTTTTTTTTTAGATGCATTGTCCAAGTGCACCTGCGTGGGGCGTTAAATTATGTTCGAAGGCGTTGATTAGGATCAATAGATAAAAGTTGAAATTCTCCTTGCCGATCACCATGCCGTGTATTCCTGTTTAACAAACGGTTTCACTGTGACACGCAAATGATTATTAACTGAATATCCATCTTTCACAGAAGAGAACTACCTCGTCTAACTAACACAAATGCAATGAATCCGTTGCAAACCCTTTTTGCAGATTAAAATTTGCATGCTCGTCAGACGAGCCGTATCTACGAGCTGAAACATTTAAATTTCTCAGCAGGGGGATAAATTTCTCTTTTTAATAGAACGATTGATTAAAATTAAACCTGCGCCTTGAATTGAAAGTTCTGCCAAGTTTCAAATGTTACCTGCACGAACAAGTAGTGTAATGAGTTCAATTTATATGTGACTGACAGATACCAGTTTTGATACCCGATACGATTGTTACAAGTCCAAACTAAAAATAATTCTTAAAAGTTTTCCTTTGAGAGATTTTTCTTGTTAAAGACTTTCTAGTTGCATTGTGTAATGGTCAGGCTAGGTCTTTTATTTTATTTTTTTATCGGAATTAAAAAAGATAAATAAATAAAACATCACTTACATCAACATATAAATGGACGTTCTTTACATCTCTCCCACCAGGAGCTGGTTATCTGACCGGTTTTTGTAGTTAATGTTGTAGTAAGAAAATTGATAGTGATCATCCTTTAAATATTTAATAAACTAATTATGTAGATGAATCCAGTATATTACAAGTCCAGCGTAGTTGTGAAGTTAAAAACAAACAGATCGCTGTGTCGAAGAGTCGTTTTGAACATTCGCTCACACTGAACAACGAGATGTCCTTAAGACAAATTAATTCTCCTCCCTCACAAGCAGTTGTGGCGAATGAAATTATTTTCCAGTGGGAAACTCACAGCCACAAAGCCTTCCGTATTTTTCAAGAGATGCGTGCGAAGGAAGAATTATGCGACGTGTATATTTGCTGCGACGGACGGCGTTTTCCTGCGCACCGTGTAGTTTTGGCGGCAACTTGTCCTTTCTTCCGTGAAAAGCTAGCGGCTGAACATGACGAAAGTGAATGCGAAGAGTCATTCGTGGAACTAGAAATACCATGGAATTTTGACAACTTGCTAATGCTTAATGCTTTGGATTTTTTGTATGAAGGAAAACTGATTTTGCAACTGGATCATATTAAGGACTTATTACAGCTGTTGCACTACTTAAAGGTTATTTGAACGATATTTGTTTCATCTTACTGTCATTTGTTTTCAGTCCACATGAGTTTGGTAACCAGCCGCTTACGGTGATTATATTCTTGACCAGGTAGAAACAAAAAAAACAAACAAACAAAGACTGGCAGATTTTTTGACGTTCGAATAACACTGTTATGATCAGTTATGATAACAATCTGTAACTGTTTCGTAACAAAAGCGTAAAATTATGTATCACACAGTGTTCAGGAAATTGTTGCGTTTGGAATCGAAACTTGTTCCCTTTTTAAATTCATGTAGTTATTTGTTCACTTACATATTCCTTTACCTATTCATGGACTCCTTCAGATCGAAGAGGCTGTCATTGCTTGCGAACGATTTGCTATCGATCATTTGAGAAACCAAAATTGTGTGGGGTATCACAAACTAGCGGAGACTCTTGGCCTCGAGCAATTAAAACTCAAAACAATGGAATACATGGAATGGAACTTCTTACAAATCGTGAACGAAGATGATTTTGTCAAGCTGTCAGCGCATCAGATAACTTCCTTACTCGGAAGTAACAGTCTAAAGGTCAGAAAGGAGGAAAAAGTGTATGAAGCGGTGTGGAAATGGTACAAACACGATCCTGAAAAAAGGTCAGAAGAGGAGCTGATAATTAATTTTAATGAATGATCCATACAGTTAGAAGCAGAAGCGAGAAAATGGCTTTAATATTTCCAGCGCTGCCTTCCCAATCAGTCAAGCGGTACATAGTGTAAGATGTAGATTTTTGGTTATCTTTCATTAAATTATTTTAGTGGCAAAATTCATTTGGTTTCTTTTTGTCAGTGTTTGATTTTAAGTATTATTTTTCACTACCTCGTTAGCGTTTGTTTGTAATTTGTTCTTCATTAGCGCCTTTTTCGGTTTCTTTAGTTCCCTTAATTTTTCTCACGCCTTTTTCAGCGCCCTTGTGCAGTTTCAAGTTTTTTCGCTGCTACTTTCTTACAAAACATGACATTTAGGCGACAATTTTTTTAACAATTTGTTCTCTACGCACAACGCAGTTTTGTTAGTGTACACTCACAGGTTTGGCAGCTAGTTAAAACGTTTTACGGAGCTTCTCTCTTAAAATGTTTCGTCTTTCGTGGCTGTAACAATTTTTATCGACGACCACGTTTAGACTATCCCCGTCTTCGTTTGTTTAAATAAATCTCCAGATTTCTGGATATCCTCGTAGTGTTATTACTTCGGCCACTTCTCATTAGCAGTTACACGCATGTATGGTAACACATGAAAATACTGTTCAGTGGCTTTAATTATAATGATCACAAACGGGGGGGTACATTCACAGATTTAATAGTTAGAACCACCATGCACGGCATGATGAACAGTACCAAATTAAAACACATTCAAGTGGATACTTGTTTGTAATCACTGAAAATGTTTTGTTTCAGTGACCTCATCTCGCACTTTCAGATTAAGAGAAATGACATCATTGCCGTTGTCATAGTGACCGATTAACAACAGATGTAGAAAATCTCTTTCGTTTTTAAATTTCAAGGAATAATTTTTCTCTTCCTCTCCCCCCTTCGTATTCTTTTTGTATTCACGCGCGGCGCGCATGATTTCGCAAATTAGCCAATCACGTCAAAGAATTCTAACCTTGACATTGGAAAACTGACCCGGACATTTTTCGCGTATTTTTAGTTTGTTTTCAGGGAGTTTTAGTTAAATGTTTTTGGGCTTTCGTTCGCGTAAATTTGTTACTCCTTTGTTTGAAATTTTGAGAAGTTTCGGTGATTTTATTTCAGCCAAATGTTGTGGTTCACTGAACAAGTTTAAAACATATTTTTTAGGGACTTTGGAATCTAGCCTCTTTTTTTCGTGAATGGTTTTTTTTTTAGACAAAGGGCAGCGAAATAATCAAATCGATCTCAATTGGTGACAATACCTAGAGCTAATAATAAACTGGTCAGGCCTGTCTTCATATCATCCTTTAGGAACAAAGAGCTGGACACAGTTTTGAAAACCATCCGCTTCCGTCAAATCACCACAAAATTCCTTCAAACACGGATACTTCCCGAACTCGTGAAAGGCGAAGGGAAATGCCGCAAGGACGTGGAAGATGCTCTGGCTGCTAGGAAGTTGTCACAAGAAAATAACGATTCAGGAAAACCTCGAAACTCTCGGAAGATCGTTTACCTGTTCAGTATGAAGACAAACCGAGTTGACACCTTTGATGAGGAGCAACGTGCATGCGTTCCCTGCCCCAAACTGACGTCATTTAGCGATGCAAGTAAAGAAGATAATTACCACTGTGCATTTCTTGTGCAGGGTGAGCTTTATATCGTGTCCAGGAGGGCAGTGAACAGATTCAACCCTGTGACAAAGAAATGGACTTGGGTTGGCGATGGTAAGTTTTTCTCTTCTCTTGGTTTTTTCCATCGGTTCCGAGAACGTTCAACGATTAGCCGTGTCTGTTGGGTCATATTTTTAAGCTAAAGGTGTTTAGAGACGGACTTTAGCACTTTGGGACATTTTGGTTGGGGGAAGGATCAAAGTGTTATTAAAAGGAAAATTTTGACAATGATAAAATTAATTTTCTGAGAAAAGTCTCTCCCCTCCCCAGGACTAATTATGTCAGCCTAAGATTTCTATTTTAAAAATGGATGTGAACTATCACGTGACAGTATGTTTGCCATTTAAGGGCGTGCCGTACGGGAGTCAGGAGTGTGTTCTGATAGAAACAACATCTACGTGTTTGGTGGGAAGCCAAACGACATGTCTGCCCACAAATTTGACGTTTGTCATGGAGTATGGAGCTCACTACCTGAAATGAATCGACGTAGGAGATGCACTGGTAATCTTCTCTTTCTGGTTTCTTTGTTTTTCGTTGTATTTTTTCTTTCTGTCGTCTTCTTGTCCTGCATTACGTTCTGGAGATTCCTTTTTGAGTTGTTGGTGTTGTTGTTGTTTTTCCGGTTTAAAACTAGGCGTCCTTTAAGTACTAATTGTCACTTCGTATTTTACTCTGGATCCCTCTTTCTCAAACGCTGTTCACTCGTCCTTTCTTTTCTAAAACGACAAATGCCGATCGAATAAGTTATTTTTGACAATTCTTATTGGTTTAAGCAAAGAGCGAGAAAAATTTCCCAGTCTAGAGGTTTTTTCTTAGGTATAAATGTTCCAACACGCTTGACCGATTTTCCTTCACCACAGTGGAGCCCCTCATTTAAAAAGATATGGTAGGCCTTTGAAGTTTTAAATTTTCTCTCATAGGTGTGGCTATTTTGGGTCGAAAGATTTACGTTATCGGGGGACTTAATGACGATGGACCGCTGAACTCGATGGAAAGCTTTCACATGCGATCTCAAAAATGGAAATTGCTACCAGGCCTTCTAGAACCTCGTTTCAGTATGGGCGTGGTAACCTGGGCAGGAAGTATCTTTGTCTTCGGTGGACGCAGCGATCGACAAAGTCTAGGGAGCATGGAGGTTTATCACCCTAAGGAAGACAAATGGGTGTTTGCTCCTGCGCAGTTAAACGACAACAGAAGTGAGTTCGGTCACGTGGTCTACGAAAATAAGATATATTGCTTTGGTGGGCGTGGAGTAACTTCAATCGAATATTATGATTATTTGAATGAACAATGGCGCATCGTGGGACGAGTAAGCGACAACACTTATTCAGTGAATTGTTTGGTGTATCCTCCACTGAACTAAATAAATTGCATGAAATTACATTTTATTTTAGTCCTGATACATCCACAGAATGGTACTTCGTTCCCTGATCCAGGTCGAATAAAAATTTGGCTGGTGAAGAAAGAGAAACCGACCAAACCGGAAACAAAATTCCTGGCAGGAAAGACGACACCTAAGACAAAATGAATTCTTATTTTACATTTATTAGTTCGGAAATCGAACCAAAGCAATGACGATGGAAGGGGAATGCCACAACTTTAAACGGAGCGTAAACACGCTTGGAAAGAAGTTCTTTACGGCTGTTAAATGATTTACCTTTTTTAGGTACACGCTGATACTTCACTGGGTAATATAAATAACAATAGATTTAATAGTGATAATGATATAAGATAATTTTGATGATAATTTTTATAATAATGACGGTGATAATAACTGTACGTTATTTAAAAAGGTTTTCGTTCATAACTGATTGCCCAGTAAACCATATAATAGTGCTGCCTTGATCCGACGTTCTATTGTCCACACATTCATGTGGTTCGTGGGCGCGCTTGTTCTGGGGTTCTTAGAAGGAAGGCAGATCCTCTGACGGGCGGAGTACTCACGTGGGAGGGCTCAAGCTCAGGCTCAGTAAATATTCTATTGGCTTGGCAACAACAAAACAACACAAACAGGGGTCTTCTAAAGCCCTGCATGTTCCAACACAATAAGAACGGGTGCACAGCGGAGTTCAGCAGAATCAACAGAACTGTAAAGTTGTATGTGTTGGAACCATAGTTGACTGAGGGAGCGTAGTAGGTTAATAGATAAGTCATATAGTTAGGCAAACGACAAATTGTGTGAATAAAAGTCACCAAAACTAGCAATTTGGTGATGTTTTTGCGTGCGCGTAATCTGGCCGCCTGTGAGATTTCCGTTGCCCTGCGTTGTCTACACCATAGCGTGTAAATGATTCGAAAATACAAAGGGAACATCACAAGAACTGAGCTTATGCCCAGGAAGAAGATACACATCACATAAGCCTTGGGCGAAACCCAGTTTGGCCAGTTTTCCACGCAGAAATCAATCGTTTCGTCGTAGGCAAAAACGATAAGCGTTGGCAAGTTCGCCGCGAAAGCTGAGAGCCAACAAAACGCCACAACGGCATTGATGCGCGAGGTTGTAATCGGCGCCCTTCGGCTACGAACCATTATGGACGTATAGCGTTCGACGGCGATGGCAATGAGTAAAAACCCAGACGCCGTGGAACTAGTCCACAGGGTACCACTCCCTGTTATGAACTTGCAAAAGTAGTTACCTGTGGTGTCTACTGGATGACGTAATGCAATGACACTGAAAAGCACGTGACGAGGGAAGATGAATAAACCAATCACAAAATCTGTTATCGCTAAGTTGAAGATCAAGTTGTTCATGGGAATTCGCAATGATTTGCTCCGATAAATAACAGCGAAAACCAAAGCATTAAATACGAGACATACTGGAATCAGGATTGTGAATAAGCACAGGAGTAACAAGTCAATACCGTCGCTCATACTGTCTCAAACAGAGCCAATGATCTCCGAAGCCTTAGCTCTAGGATAAAGGGAAAATTAAATTAAGACGTACACTCGTATTAGTCTATGTTCTGTATCGTTAAGTTGCACAACGAGGTCATTATCTTTTCTTACCATTAGAAAAGAGACGTGTCGTTAGGGTAAGACCTAGGAGGTCAAGTTTGGTATCAGGCAGCCTACGATAGGTCCCATTGAGACTACAAACCAGAATTTCCTCACCCCCAAAATCCCGTTAGGTGCCACCCGATTCTAGTAGCTCAATTGAAATGCAACCCAACAATAGTCAATCCACTCACCCGAACGATCAAACTACACTGTTACATATTAACTTGTGTTCGTTTTAGTGAGTAATAAATTTGCATATCCCATTTTCTGCACGGTACTCGTTCTACGCATCGTGGGGTATCCACGAGTAAAAATTGCAGACACAAGATAAACAGTTGCAATTGAAACAAAGCAAGCAATTGCAATGAAACCGAAAAAAAAACCAAAAAAACACGATAAGAGCAGTCTTACGAAAAGGAGCGAAATAAGATCAATATATATTCAGCTATAGTAAGACAAATTCAATACACGCTTTTAGTGGTACAGATTATTGATCTTAAATTTAAGAGTGCCCGAGAAGCACTTACAATCGACCCGAAGGCTTTTTAGAACGACCTTAGACACTCTTATAGTCTGTTGGAAATGTCCCAAAGCATAATAATCCACAACTAAACATCCCCTGCAAAAATGATTAATGCGACATGAATCGAAACTCTCTCGAAGTTTGGCATTCAGCCTCAAGATTGGTTCGCATGCTATTGAAAGGCACAGTACCTTTGACTTAAGGCACAAAGAGCGGTTATAACTGTTAACAAACAAACTGATCTAGTTCACTGATACCTGGAAAATTTTTAAAATATAATGAATGTTGATGTTTACCTTTAGCTGAAGCTCTTTGAGGTTCAGATTAAGCGACGCGCAGCCATTTCGTATTTACATAAATTTGAGGAATTAAAAGCTACAGACGCAACATCTGTGAACAACGAAGCTAAGTCTAACAAACGAAGCGGTTTTCCTTGTAGATAATATATAATCAAAGTTTTGATCCACATTGCGTTGTAAATTAAAACATTCTTTGATGGCTTCAGGGCATAAAATGAAAGATAGCTATCAATCTTTGAAAACAATCATGTATTTTGCAAAAAACTCCAGCCGGCGGAAATCGCAGTTGACACAGGTGAATTATAAGCCAATCATATTCTTCGTTTACTAAATTGTGATATTTCCTGGATTTCCACCAACATGTAATTAATTCATTTGTTCGCTGATGCAAAGAAAAAATAAATAATACGAAAAAAATTGTGTCCTTTTTTAATTAAATTCCCAATGAAGCCCTTTTTCAGCGCCAATAGTAATCCTCTTTTGCTCTTGTTTTCGTACCGGCGGAAAAAAAACAAAAGAGATATGAACTTTAATCACGTGTCCACGAAAAAAAAAGTATATTGCCACTTTTCACAATATAAAAGCAAACCAAATGTTGGACAGGATAGAAAGGTCGCCCTAAAATGACCGAAAGTTTTCTATTTTTTTTTCAACAGACATGTATCGTTACAAGTACAGTTTCTGTTTAGACCTAAGACGATTTGTCTGTCTCAGTTTCGTTTCATACAGTCTGTTAATAGGCTTTTTAGAATTGCAATTTAAAAATGTGCTCAGAAGATTTTGCAAATCGTGTCATTTACTTATTTGACTTGCAAACAGAAAAAAAGCAAAAACCATTATCTCATTCTTATTTTAACTGGCAAGGTCAAATCATTGTTTTTGAAACCCTTCAAGGGTTTAACCTCTTCGAACGTCCGTGTAAAATTCCAAACTGACCCAGTGTTCGTGAATCGAGTGATATGGAAGATATATTTGAATCCCAAGGAGTTATGAGTTATATGCTTTTAATTTAAAGACTAAAGCTGCTAAATTGACTTCAAAAGTCAAGTTAATTTTCTAATTTCCTATTCCTGTGGAATTACGGGCGAAAAACTAGCTAACGACCGTTTCAAGGATGAGATGTTGTTCTGGCTATTTTTTCCAGCTAACAAATGAAAAAATAACATCCAAAAAGCTGAATATCACGCTTCTAACTGAGACGCGAATTTGCCTGATAGCATAACGAAGCCTACAGGGTTTTGGTTTCAGTAGGCGTCTGCGATTGTGAACGTTTACCTTTAGAACAAACACCAAGCTGCAAACTGGAAAAACGTTAAACAAAAACCTTGCTCCGAATACTTGCTCAAAAACCCACATTTCAGTGAGCATAAACCTTTTAAATCTGCTCTAAGATCGCGTGAACAAAATCAACGCAGAAAGAAAAGCGCGTGCATCAATTAAGCCGTTTTATAACACACTTACCCAACAAATGAGCTTAGCCCAAATTCTAAAAGCTCGAGGAAGACGCTAAAAAATGTGTAACACAAGACAATGTGATGGTGAAAAGTGAAATGTGCTCACAGGAAGCAAGGCTATATGAACAGGTGGGGCGGTGGAATTGATTACAAAATGGATATATCAAGAACGTGTCACAGTGCTTTTAGGGAAAATAAGTGACTTTCTACGCGAGATAAAATTTTTTTCATTCATTCACGAAAGAGAAAATTTTAGTAAGGCTTTCTAAGGGTTAACAATAGTTCGCAAACCGAGATGTAACTGAATTTGCTTAAATCATTGTGTTTTCCGATCAAAATCATTTAAAATCCTCATAAATACAATACAGAGGTGCAAATGAAATCGCTATGCTCGCATGAGCTAAAGATCACATTGTAGCGCATACATTAGTGCTTTATAGGTAAAGTAACTCTCACTTTAAAAGCAGAAATACCGAAAAGAACAATGGAAAAACGTCATTTTTCTTACCTTGGAGACGACTAAACAACAGACCGATCGAAGCAGGTGTGAAATTTGACGTTGAACGCGCTTTGAGAGACGTTTGGTCAGATTTTGACAGACAGTCTGTCAACCCTAATATCAGATTTGGTGCCTAAAATTGCGAATATTCATCCAGGCTAAGAATAAAATCAATCGTCTTATTTTTTTTTCTCTCCTTAAAACATCATTAGCTATACATTTTGAGTCAAATTTTTCACTGGGTAAAAACCATTTCTAACTCGAAAGAGACGAAAAAATATATCTTCTGCATCATAGAAATACTGAAAGGAGACAAAAATCACTTAGCAACAAGGATGGCAGAAAATATAAATGACTAATAAATAAAAATATTTTCATCTCGACGAGGACAGTAATAGTCGAAGGTGAAACAAATCATCAAAGTAGGTTCCAGTATTTCTATATTTCTTTGTTCATTCTTTCTTGCGTTCATCCGATTATGTTGGAACAATGCTGAGAAATTTTGTTGAAGGAATGTGTTAATTGCTGCATTCTGACTCATTAAAACTCACGATGATTTAGTTGAGGGAAATGGCAATATTTATGTTAATTATTCCTCACAAATCAAAAGCTGTCTTCAAGCACTACTCATACTTTGTGTGAAATGTAGATGAAAAAAATGATATACAAATATATCAGAGTGGATTCACCAAAATATACTCAAGATCACAGCAAACTAATAGTACCTACCATGCATCCACCTTTGGAAACTACACATTCCCCTCCCCCCCTACCCTAGCCACAGTGGTCTACCTCACCGGTGGAGCTGCCACAAGGCATGAGCCTGACTGTGAATCATAAGGGACAATCCAAGATAACATCAGGCTAAAAAGATCTCTCTTAAGTTGCCGACAAAAAGTAGACCCCCCCCATTCCGATAAGTCAAAATCCAACTTTCTCCCCCCTGAGCTTTTGACACAGAGCCACTTCCAGCCCTCCCTTGAAGAGGCAAGTGGCTAGGCCGTATGCGGTTGTTAGTCTTAACGTTAACCCTCTGCATATTCATTGGCCAGGATGGCTTAAAGGCGGGTGATGCCCGCCTTCAAGCGAAAAATTCGAAGTCAGTTTTTCCATCAATTGTTTATCGAGCCCTCTTCCCCATACCCATGCTTTTGACCTCCAGATACTGAAAACATGACAGTTTGGGTAGTTTAGGCACAAAATAATTTGTTTCAAAGACATTCCTCTTTCTTCAGCGTATGCTGTGCCCAATAATCTCTAGTGCGAATGTCGAACTACGAAGATACTCCAAAATAAACAATAAGTGACATCAGGTCGAAATTTGGTGAAGTTCGGTATTCAAAGTTTACTATCACTCACTCATTCCGATAGCATATGTGGCTTCGGCTTGTATAGAAGGCAAAAGCCGCAAAGACTCTTTTTGTCAAACAAAATACGTTTTGATGAATTCATTTGAATATTTCATTGACGTGGGGTTTGTTCTGCGTCGAAATTTTCTGAATCGAGAAAAACAGGTTTGATTTGCAACTTATTGATAAAGATAAGTAGAAAACAGTAGTTACCGTTTACTGTTAACAGTGGTTACTCTAAGGCAACGAGTGCGGCAAATGCAACCAGTAACGATAGCAAAGGACACATTTTACAGCTGCGAACATCTGTAAAGTTTTGTTTCTCTGTGTGGCATTTCCTCTTGAGAATCGTCTGTTAGACGCCTTGTTTGGTTGTGTTAACTAGTTTTCTCTACACTACATTGAATGTTGAGCCATATGACAGCAATATCATGATCAGCAGATTTCATCTCTAGTTTTCATCGTTTGAATGTGTTTCTGGGAATATCATTTTAAAGCTCTAAGTAGATACAACGACAGCAAGGCTCTTTGTGTAAGACTGCGGTGAAGTGTCCTTCGAATGAACGTGCGGAACAACTTGGTTTTCGTTCCTTTTACAAGGGATAAGCTTCCAAAGCTCGACTCGAAACGAACGATTCATGTAGCCGTATATAAAGGGGTTACAAGCGGAGTTCAGACCCACAAGAAATGTAACAGCAAGAGCACCTTGAGGAGAGATGTAAACCAAATTGCCACGGCTTAAAAACCCGATTACATAGGCTGGAATCCAGCAAAGAGTAAACGTTGAAACTAGTAAGAAAAGTGTTTTCGTGACGCGAATTTCCTCGACGCCCGCTCGGTTTATAAGTTGGGAGTTCGACTTTAAGGTTCCCTGGAGAGATGATACGACCTGATCGTTATGTTCACGTACTGCTCGTGATACTTTGAAGTAGCAACCGGCGATTGTAAGAGTGCATGGAATTAAAATAAGGCCGGCGTCCAAAGTTAAAAATATCACAGTGAGACTTGGTTTATGGAAATGCAAAACGCAAGCTGCGTAACCACCGTGAAAAGCAAATTCTGCCCATCCAACCAGCACAGGAAATGACACTGTCAAAGCCATTAGTGTCCACAGGAATATCAGAGCTGTGACGCATCGCTTTCTAGTGAAAATCTTCAAATAGAGAGACGGTTTAACCACTCTGCAGTACCTGTTGACGGCCATGAACGCCATTGTAAGGAGGGAGACCAGGGTTAGATAGTACGTGAAAAATCCTTGAATGATACAACCACCGGATCCATAATTCCAGCGACCACAAATTAAAGTTGCCACTGTCAAAGGTGCAGCAACACAAGAACGGATCAAGTCCGCAACAGCCAATGCGGTCACCCACAAGTTTGTGCTCGTGCGAAGGCTGGGATTTCGTGCAGTTGCCATGCAAATAAAAGCGTTTCCTCCGACGGCAATGATATCGATTAACAAAAGTGAGGTGGATTGAAAGGCAGTTAGGCCAGAGTTGCGAAAAGGGAGTTCCATAGTACAGGTATTGTATAAAACCTCAACAAAAAACGCGAAAGCTAACCAAAACCAAAGGTGCACCAAACCTAAGAAAGCGCGGAACTCGACAGAGCAAAACCCGCCAAATACGATGTTTACAAGCGGTGTTTCCTCCCTCGCACGCTGGCAGCTGGCCTGCAAGTGAATGCGGCGATAGTTGACTGAAGTAACAATCTAGTCAAAGATATCGACTCTAAGATTTTTGATCCAGAAAAATAAAATTGGCCGAAAAGTCTTTGCGCTGATGTAGTGATAGTCTCATTTGTCAGTCTATTGCTAAAAACGGTACTTATCGGCTCAAAACAGAAAAGTCCAGCTGGCTTAATTAACTTGTGTATTTTGCAAAATGAGAGGTCAGAAAGAGAGTTGGTTTACCATCAACATGTCCACTAAAGAAGATACAGAAGCGCCGGCAAAAATCTTTTACCCTGATTTTAATTTTTAACTTATAATCAACTTATTTACCTAAACTTATCTCACAGATTCCCGAAGAGTGATTCGAAATATCTCTCAATTTTTCATGAACGGCTTTTTCAACTGTATAAATATTTAATCTAAACAAAATAATTTGAGGAGCTTTTTGTCAATAATGAAGCACGAATATCCATGGCACTCGACAGGATATCCTGTTAAAACTGACATGAACTAGTAAACCATTGTTTGAGAGCTAATCTGCAACTTTAATCAATCGCTGGGAAAAAAATTAGGTTTGCTGGTAGCTTCGGGGAATTAACCATTCCGGCTGAGTATAACATTCATCACAAAGCTACACAACCTTTCTCCATTTTATAAATTTTGGTTCTATTTTCTCTCCCTCTTTTGGCACGTCTGAAGTGAAAAGAAAAATGAATTTTTAAGGATGTCTCTAAATGTTATCACATCTTGAAAGATTTTACGTAAAATGCAGAGTACACTCTTTGGCCAAACAGATTCGGAGCGCCTACAAAAAAGAAGAAAAACGCAAACTTCTACGCGTGAATGACCGCGTTTCCAGTTTTACATTTACGTACATTAGCTCACGCATTCAGTCCCCAAAAAAAAAACTCCAATATTATTGAAAACAAAGTCAACAGTAAGGATCGTTTATAAATTTTACAACAAATCAGCACTAAGGCAAATAAAATGAAATTGTCAAATGTCAAATCATTATGTTGAGAGCCTTGGATACAGAAGCAATTTAACCAGACCAAATTTGGTAGGCTTTCTGCCTTCCACATCTGTTTACATTTGTCACATTTACAAAGCACCCAGTTGTCATTGAATTACATCAAATATGATATGCAGCTCCGGGGCCTGTTATCATTTTTGTTCCCGCACATGTCGCCGATAAAATTAGTATTTCCAACCAGAAATCGAGTGTAAATGACCAAGCGGCTTAATAATCCTTGCCACAAATAAACTATTTCTCATGGAGAACCAGTTGCTTGTCGTGTGACATGTCTCAACTACTTTTGCAACTGAATAAAAGGGTAAGTTTCTTAATAAACTGTAGTCCTACGTCGGTGGGAGAGTATAACAAGGTAATTTAGTATTATCAACTGAGTTGATAACGTAAATTGGCCACCGTTAAGAGTTTCAGAGCTGACGTTTCGGGCGTTAGCCCTTCGTAAGAGCAAACGGAGGAATAGTGGGCTATGTGTGTGTTTATATTCAGAAAATGGAGCCACGCTATGGGTGGGAATATGGTGACGAGAAAACAAGAACAAATTAGTGGAATAAAAAGCGTTCGTTGATATCGTGGGGATTAAGAGCGCCGATTTGAAAAATGAATCTTTGATCTAGAGTTTGGCGGCTTTCCGAACTGCCTAGATGTAGGGAAAGGTCTGAAACTGCCATATACTACTTAAAATGATTGGTCTCATTTTCATTACAACTCCATAACAAAATGTAATTTTGAACACTGACACCAGTGTTTTTATATTCAGTTCGTAACTCTTTAAATTAATTGATTTTTTTTTTGGTATATACTATTACAAAACTTACCATAAGGAAGACACAGACAAATACATTATGCTCATAATATAAGTTGTGTTTATATTACTGAGAGAACAGTCATTATTTCTCGCCTTGGCGGGGGGGGGGGCGAAGGAGGATTTTGAGGATCACATGGTTTTCTCAGGGAATGGAGGGGAAATATCTCACTGCCAACAAAGTAAAAAGAGGGATGGTAGAAAAATGACTGCCAATTAACTGGAAATAAGGGGGGAAGGGGAACAAGAATATTACAGCACGTTATCGCGACATAACCAAAATCTTCCGATCTCCACCCCCCCCCCCGCGATAAAAAAACGACTGGTCCCTGAAATATAACCTTTATATATTTTAACATGTCAGCAGTATTCAAAGCAGACAAATTAATTTGATTTTTCCTCATCATGAGGCATAGATAATTTACGTGCAAGAAAACCATTAGAAGAAGATCCCAAGACATTCCGCGTTATCTTAGGAATAGCGCCGCGACTTATGCAAAGCTCGCTTGGGGGAAACAGTCTGTAACAGTCTCTTTCAGAGAAACAAGTTGTCCTCATCACGAGCTGTTTACGCGACGCTCTCTGAGTATTCTTAAACACTTCAGCAATATTTTATTCGATAGTTGAAATCGTCTTCCTAAATTTTAATGAAAATTCGTCAAGAAAAAATTTTCACTTAGTGAAATAAACTCCGGAAATTTTATAGGGCGTATAATTCAAATATTTTTAAGTTTCGCTCAATGGCATACAGTGTATTCAAGTTATTTACTATACCTCGAGCAACTTCTTCTTTGAGAAAATCTCATAACAAAACGTTTTTCCTATTCGACGCTGACATTGATAAAACAGTTTTACAAAATTGACCATGACGATCCTAGGTTGAAAATTCTTATATGTAAAATTTTTTGCCAGAACATTGCGTAAACTCGTTTGATTTAGCCACTTGATTAAATGCTTGGCGCTTTTTACTGCGCCACAAAAAATGAAGGAAATGAACACCAACCTAAGCCAAGCTTTGATTGATAAACAAATTCTCCTTGTCAGTACCAAAGAAAATGTATGAAGAGGATTATGGAGAATATCGGTACTGATATTAAGGTATAAAAGGTTTAGCGCATTCAAATTTGGAACTTGTCTGCCGTGATTTGACCCACGATCTTGTCACGCAAAACGATTAACTATTATTTACGTCCAAAAAGTGACGCAAAAAATCCTTTCTTACGTTCTCCTCGTGATCTATCTCCTCCGTTGTCTGTACCAGCTGAAGAAGAAGCTTGCTGATCATTGCGGAACGAACTTTGCTTTTTCAGAGCTTGCGCTCGTCTCATCAGCTCATTTTCAGCCTCTTTCATGGCCAGTAACTCCTTCTTCTGCATTTCCACGTGTTCTCGTTTCTTCCTCTCCGCCTCTTCCCGAAACTTCTCTTCTAGCCTGCGAGTCTCCTCCAACAGCATCTTCCCACTGTCAATTGCCCCTTTGGACCTTTCATCCTTCCTGCTCTTCTGCTCAAGAAGCTCCGCCTCGTTCACAGCAGCTTGTGTCTCGCTTTGTTCAAGCCTCCTTCGCTGAACTTCTAAAAGCTTTCGTGCTTCTTGTTCTTGCTTTTCTTTGTTAGCTTCTCTCAACCGTTCCTCCTGCTCTTGTTTACGCATCGCTAATTCTTGCTTGGCTCTTTCTTGTTCTCTTTTCTCCTGATCTTGAAGTAACACTCTTTTCTTTGATTCTTCGCGTTCTTGTTCGAGTTCTTTGCGTTTCTGCTCTTGTTCAAGCCTTCGTCTTTCTGCAGTCTTCATAGCTTCGTGCTCTTCTTTACGACGTTGTTCTCTGGCACGTCGTTGTGTTTCGGCCATCTCAGCAGCTTTCTGCTCGTCCTCTTTTCTCTGTTCTGCCATACGCTTTTGTTGTTCAGTATCCCTCTGAACTTTTTCATCTTCTTTCTGTTTCAATTGATCAAGATATTTTTTCCATTCCTCCTCTTTCGTCCTTTGCTCTTTTTCCCTCTTTTCCTTCTCCGCAGCCATTAGTTGCTTTTCAAGCTCTAGCTTTCTCCTATCATCTTCTTGCCTTCTCTCTTCGCACTCTTTTCTCTTTATCTCCGCTTCCTCTCGCTTTCTGACCTCATCCTTCACCAGATCATTTTGTAACAATTCCGTGATGACCTTTTCCTGCTTCGCCAAAAACTGTTGTCGTACACCCGACTCCAACAAGCGGGCCTCCTCGGACGTCTTACCCCTTTCCTCATCAAACATTTTCCTTCTCTGTGATTCCAAAGCTTTCCGTCTTTCCACAAACTGACTAATCTCCTCGTTTTCTTTATGTTTATCCCTCTGCCATTGTCGCTGTTTCTCAGCTTCTTCTCTGGTCTTTTCCTCTTGTTTCTGTTTCATCTCTTGCGCAAACTGAACCCAATCTTCTTCCTGTTTCTTCTGCTCTTCCAGTTTACGCTTCTGCTCGTGTTCCGCGCGTTCCATTTCCTGTTCCAAATGTTTCAATTTTTCCCTCTCCACCTCTTTTTGCTTTTCCAGCCGTTTCTGTTCTTCAGCTGCCTGCTTCGCTTCCTCCAGTAATCTACGTTCTTGTTCTTTAGCAAAAACATCTTTTGTTTCTTGTTGCTTAGCCATTTCGGTCTCTATTCGTTTTTGCATCTCCAGAGAAATCAGTTTATCTGCTTCTTCTTTCGCCTTGTTTTTCTCAACCTGGCGAAGTTCTTCCAGCTGCCGTTTCTTTTCTGTTTCTTCTCGCATCCAATCGTCCTTCAATCTCTTCTGTTCCTGTTGTAACTTGTTCCTTTTACTTTCACTGTTCTCTGTTCCTTCTTTCTCCTTCGCTCTATGAAAAGCGATCATTTTTGCCGCATCTTCCCATTTCTGTTTCTCCAACTCCTCGCCGCCAAAAGCTTTGCACTCGTTTTGCACCTGCGATCTCACCTCATTGGATATCGCTTTATCTCTCTCCCGCTTTACATTTAATAAACTGTTCACAAAATCTGCATTTACCGAAGCTAAAGCATCGTGCTCAGTTGAATCCGTGTGTTCAGTCATTTCTTTATCGAAGTCTTCCGTAAATGAAGCTAAAAAAGCCAAAAATGTCTAATGAACTCATGAATTCACGTTGCGTTACAGCACGTTGCGTTACAGCACGTTGCGTTACAGCACGTTGCGTTACAGCACGTTGCGTTACAGCACGTTGCGTTACAGTACGTTGCGTTACAGCACGTTGTATGAGGCAGCGTTAAGTTACATGCACATTACGTCATGTAACGTGACATGATAGTGCCCGAGTCCGTTGCGTTACTAGAACAATATTCCTCTCCTTGACCAAAGAGGTGGGAAGGGAGGGGAGGTGGGGGGTTATTTGTACTGCCAAACAAAGTGTGGTTTTCAAGGTCTTTATAGGGTCAGAGTTTGAGGGTCTTGGCTGAATTTCTCCCCAACCAAAATGCTGTTCTCCGCCAATAGGGAGGGGGAAGGAATTAGTCAAAAACAAGAATGATTGGAAGAGCACACGATTTAATTTCAGATTATGATCATTAGACTAATGATTATTTTAAAAAAATTCAGAAAAAGCCAACCACTAAAAAAACATGCAAAGAATGATCTTCACAGGTAACCTTCCTTTGAAAATCTTTGATATTGAGGGAGAGGCAAATTTCATTGCAATTGAGTTCTTTGTTGACCATAAAGGAATCAGGTCACAAACTGAATATCAATTACATCATGGGTGATTGCACTACAGATGAAGAGTGATGATTGACCCTGAGGCTTCACTTGTAGATAAAATGCTGTTATAGCTTTGATTGCTTCTCCTGATTTGGAAATTTTTCTATGGTAGCCCAAAAGGATCAAACACAAAACCAGATTCATGTACCAAAACACAAAGAAGTTTTCTCAAGACACAAGTGAATTTACCAATTGAAAACACAAATCAATTAAATATTAAAGACAAACCAATTTCTTAAAACACCAATCAAAAGACTGAGCACTAGTGCCATGAATATCAGATAGCATAGCAACTGACACTCAACTGAGAGTTACTTTCTGCATGTCTAAAGTAATAAATAAGAACAAAAGCCATATGTAACATGACCCAAGCAAAAAGTATTCCTCATCCATTTTACTAATGTATATGGCTATATTTTCCTCAAATCTATAAACATTAAGCAATCAGTATACAAACGCCAACATTTAAATCACTTACCCAGTAAACTGATGCCACAATAAACTGAAAGTTGCCAGGTATGTTTGTAAACTTGATCTAAAATAAAATAAGAAACTTACATCAGTATGGATTGCATATTCTCCATAATGATCTCTGCACATTCCGTAAGGTGCTGACAAGGAGAATTTGTTTCACAATCAAGAGGTTCTTCAGTTGGAGATCATTTCTTTTATTCTCATGACCTTAATGTTTGATTCAGAGGTGATATTGTAAGGAGAAATTAGATGCTAGTCACTCTAGGGGTGTAAGGGTCAATCAGCTGAATTAAGCCATTATAATGAAATAATTATCTGAAACAAATCTAAGCAATGGTAGAATTTCCCTTTTTTTTGGTGTTCATTTCTGGAGATGAATGCTTTAATATTGCACATCAAGTTTTAATTAGCCTTTAACTCTCAGAAGTTATTGAAATGTAACTTCTCCCCATAATATCCATACATTGTCAACCATAGAGGTAATAAGAAAATTCAAACTTGTCAGGTAGAAGTTGTTATCTTGATCTAACACCATGGAAATGTGTCACAGCTATAGTGAAGAGTTAACAGTAAGATCTTGGGAGTTGAAGGGTTAGCAATTATTTATAATAACAAGGTTTTAAAAAATTTCATGCAGTTCAATTAGTTGCAGATTCCAAAGGCTGTGGGAAATAGTCATAATCATGGAGACACTGGCAAATTATAATATTTTGCCACAGCCAAGTTCAATTATATTAATTGTTTTAACATTGAATTTTTTTAGAATTATTTTTAAGGAACTGCTCATTAACATTTTCAGGCAACCTGCTATTTTTCACAAACAAGCATGGACACAGCTACCCATGAGCAGAAATCAGAAACAAAATTCAGTTAAATGACATTATGCAGGAACAGATCCTTATTTGTAGGCAGCTATTGGCAGGTCATGTGATAGATTCTAATGCCAATGAAAAGAAAAGAATTAAATGCTTTGAAATTAAGATAAATTCTATTTCATTTTCCTGAGAACTGCTACAATTAAATTCACATTTCACTCAATTTTTCTAACTCTAGGAAACAGTTTATATACATGGGGAACTCACAGCTCAATGAAAAATTTCCAGAATTATTTTTAGGAACTGTTCTGTAACATCTTGAGGCAATCTGCTATTTTCCATGGACAAGAATGGAAACAGTTTATATACTTCAAGAAAGTCACTGCTTGATTCAAAAGAGGAGAAAAAAGGATATTTCATCAAATTTGTTTATAAAAATATAATTATTAGCCTGTCTAGTGAGCTCCGGCTATGATCAAAAATGCCCCTTTTGATGAACCTGCCAACTATGTAGTAGGAACTTAACACACAGTTCTACTCAATGAGTGCAAAATAATAATTAGCATGTCATTTTCAAACATGAGATCTTAAACCAGTGCTCCCAGCTGCTACAGTTTTGGTAGGACATATTTTTGGGCAGTAAATTTACCAAGAAAGTTGTCAATTTAGCGATCTAAATTGAACATAGTGTTTGTGGTCAAATTTTAAGTACATGAACATTTACCTACAACATTACTGCAGATACCCTTAAATTTTCTTTATAAAGAATTTGCCACAATTTGTCTTCAGTTGTATTAGCTATTGCTAGAATTTCAATAAGCAATTTCCAGACATGTCATGCAACATAGCACTTTTTTTCTTTGGTGATTACTGTTTTCTTTTCACTCCCTCTTTTTCTAATTTCTTCCAATTTATAACTCTAGATTGCCAAGATGCTACTTCAAAAGGCACATGGTTTGGAGCCTTGTAAGCTTTCCCTAATAATTTCACCTGGGACACGTCAACCTTTTAGGACGTGTTGACATTAACTTATCTTTGAAGCAAATTTCACAAAGAATGGTTCCAAGCTAGCTGATCAATCCTAAAAGATCTTTACTACAGGACATTTAATCCCCTTGAGAAAATAACAGAACAACTTATTTTGTTTTTAGCTGGCAAGGACCAGAGCTAGCTTCAAGAATTACCTAGCATTATACTTATAATATCAAATAAGAGTCTCTTCGATCAAGTCTTATCATTAAAATTAAAGACTTTTAAATAAAAAAATAACATTATTCATTCTCCAAAAATACACTGAGGATAAACCACAATTTCTTCTTGAATGCGGGCAACAAGAAGGCAAGCCCGGCTTGATAAAAAAAAAGCGAGAAAAAAGGCTTCACATTCTTTGACCTTGGAGAGGTACAGCACGCATACACTAACAGTAAGATCTTGATGTAAACAAAATCTTTTTAACAATGGTGTATGCAATCACATGTTTACATCAAAACTTCTCTGCTCAAACATTAAAAAAGTTCATCTATGAAGCGGAATACAAGTGTAGAGTTTTCCTTACGCTCACCTGTTTTGCCTCTCAAAGGTTATCGTCCTCGCCCAAAAGTAAGATTCTGCTATCAGTGCTTGCTGCACAGGCGTTGACGGTCATGAAATAGGAATGTTATCGCAGCCAGCAGGTGTTGCAGAGGTCTTCCAGAGTAATTCGCTCGTTGTTGTCAACTCTGCCTGTAATTCCTGATGCTTGAAGATCGCCTTGGCATGGCAGCTTTAGTAGTGGAACTTAGGAGATCTTTTCTGAGATCTTTTGCGGAAACAGGACCAGATTAAAACCCTAAATACAAAGAGTTTCCGCCTGAATCAACCAGGCTTCTGGCGAATAAACGCGAGAGACTGGTACTCGAGAAGGACCTATCCCGATACCCGCGTCAGTGTTTACATTGCGCATAACATATTGATGTAAGACTGTCGTGAATTCTTTGTTATTAAAATTAAATCTCGTGAAATTGAAAGACATTTTCTGAGCACACTGATCAGAGAAGAACACGGCATCTTAATAGGCAAGTGGAAATGGAAAATTTCCCCAAACTAAAACTCTTTCAGATCATATGCATTTTATTCGGATGTGGCCTGCTTCTTGTCCAAGCCTTTTGGAACAATCCTTCGATCTTGTGGGACTCACACAACCCAGCGTAAGTTGCATCATGCAGTTTATTTGATCTTAATTACGTGGTTTAAGCTTTGTTAGGGTAGGCCATATATTCGACTTAAATGTTCTCAGGAACTTCAAGCTGTTGGCAATAATCTAAAGAACTTTTCGATAAAGAAATGTCTGAGTAGTGCTTGTCAAAGTGTGGAAACATTTGCAAAGATACACTGGAATTCATAACGGATTTTATAGTACTCAATAGTTTGCTGGAGGTATGTTTGTTCATAACAAAGTTTATATAAAACAACGTGCGGTTGTCACGATTTCTGATTCTTTGGTTACCCTTTCAGTTCTTGTGCATTTTTCACATAAGGAAGATTTAGTAGGTTATCTGAAATAATTTAATCTTGCTCTTAAGGACGCCAACCCAATTAAGAACACATTGTAGGTAGCACTGCCACGACTGGGCGCGTCCATTCAAGAATTAAAAAAGATTTGAGTCGAGATTTAAACAAATTTATAGCTCTGTGCGATAGTTGACAAAATGCCAAAGAATGCCAACATATAATTTCCTGCGAAGCAACAGAGCTCGCCGCGGGTACACATGACAATAGCAAGGCAGATATCATGATAATTATTGTAAAGATTCGAACGTTAGCTCATTGTCAGAGTTCTGACGAAGGACCAACGATCAAAAGTTCAGCTGTGGTGGTCAAATTACATTAACAACTCAGTTGATGGAACCAAACTATCTTGCATTACTCCAACCGATGCAATACCGCAGTAACTTGAAAAAGTTACCCCCTTCTGTAATAACTATCAATAATTGTTACCCCCGCGCCTTGATGTAAACGATGTACAGATATTTGGTCGACGCCATTTGAATTTGATCTAAACAGAAATTAACGCAATAAACTCCGCAAACAAACCGAATCAGTACGCCTTAAAAATGGTCTCAGTTATAAACTATTGGAGGTAATATTTGCCCGCCTTTACCCACCATACGAGCCTTCAACTTGTGGTACGTTTTCACTATAAATCGTAAAAGTATAGAGGAAAAGAAAAAAATTAAGCTATGCTCAGTCAAACCTTAGGATTTCTTCAGCATGGTTTTTCATTACTCGTGTCAAATGATGTGATTATCATTGTTACTCTCCTGATTTAAAATTAGCTTCAAAAAAGATTTGTTTTTATCAACTGATCGCTTTTTCGACGGGCTAACGGTGTCTCAAAACGTCAGCCTTAGAAGCTCTCTACGGAGGCCAAATAATATTATCAACTCATTTGATAGAACCAAAGGATCTCTTAATACCCCCACCGACGCATCACCACAGTTTCTTTAGAAACTTCCCCCCTCTCTATGTAAAAAAGATGATCTGATTGAATGCAGTATTCATATTGAAACCAATGTATTAGACAAATTTATTTTATGGCAGTTTCTTCTACTACTTTGTATAACCTCTCGCGCAAAATTTCTTTGAAGATTTTCCTTGTCCATATAGAGAGGGAAAAGATATTTCAATTCTAATCATTTATACCGAAATGAAAATAAACAATAATATTCATTTTCATCTTGAACACAATTGCTCTAATTGCTGATTTACAACAGAAGTACGTATGGAAGAGTATACTGCGCATGAGATGCACGATTTTTCCAAAGGAAACCATAAAACACTAGAGAATTAACTTTGAAAATTTCCGAATTGATACTTGTTGTTACCAGCCACTTAAAACCACTTCGATAAGAACGCGGCTTCGTAGGTCGCACCTCCATGTAAAACTCGTCACACAAATTAACCCGAACAAAACGTCTGCTTAATAATCATTTAGTTCTTTTTATCGGAGTATCATGAGTATTCTTGGCCGTGTTTTAATTTTGCATTTACATCTACTGTTTGCGGAATCGCAGCTGCACAAAGTTTATCCATCGGTAGAATGGACGGATCTTAACCCAATGTAAGTGGTTATTAGACAAATCTGACAAAATACAAGTTTTATGCTTACCCTTTTGCTTAAAGGGTTATTGCCTGCAGGGTCGCTATAAAAAGTCCATATTGCCGTTTTACAATAGGACTTCTATGAGTATTTTATCTTACACCGCAAAAAAAAAAAATTAACTTGAAAATGAGCATGAATGTTACACTCGCTCCAAGAAACTATAATCTGATTCGTGCCTATTGTAACCTTTAACAGTACAGTTCATCCCCTGAGGCAGAATTATTCAAAACACATTTATAAACTGAAAAGATGAGTTTTTACTGTCCTTATCAAGTTACTACCTCCTACAGCTGTTACGTTTGTTCTAACTCAAAGTGAATGCACATGATGGCTGGCAATTCAAACAGAATTTTCCCTTACCACGTTGGTGCAATAAGCCGAAGGGAAATTCAATAGCGCGCAAATACAGCTGGAATAACGCAATTTATCAATTTCTTCAGTGTATTTTTTTTTCAGCCCGCAATTAACGAAGAACACTTTCTTCAGGAATCACGATCAATCGCCTTGCGGAGGAGATCAGAGGATATTGGTTATGCCACAATGTAATTTACCTGATCGTCCATTAAGCTCTGCTGTATTCAAATTATCCCCCTTATTGGCAGTTGCCCCTTCCGAAATCCCTCGATTCCCCCTCCGCTCCCCGCTCCCCCCCCCGCTCCCCGCTCCCCCCTCCCCCCTCCCCCTAGGGGATCGATAATGGCTAGTCTCTTCTACCTTGATCGGTGGAAGCAATTGACAGGAAACCAAACTTTACAGATAGAATTGATTTTCTGGATTGTTCTATTTTATTCTTATTTTCATTAATTTCTGCTGTTTGTTTTTCCACAGATTTCAAAACAACTTTTCTTTCGCAGTTCTACCAATGAGTAAAGTGAAGATTGTGTGCCCGAATCCCGCAATGATCCCGATAGCGGTCGAGGGAAGCATTCCTCTGGAAAAAATGTATGAGAATCTATGGATTGTTGATGAACAGGCATACGAGACATGCGTAATAGAAACTACTAAACCTCAAAACAGAATTTTAATGAAGTGTGACTCTCCGCTGCAACTGCGTTACTTCACGGTAGTATTTCAGCGGTATAGCGCAGTAGGCGCAGATGGGTTGGAGTTTGAGCCTGGGAAGGAGTACTATTTCATCGGTAAGCAAAGCTATTTTGCTCTTCTTTTTTTCAAAAAAAAATAAATAAATAACGCTCCATTCCGCGCAACTCATTTGATTCCAACCCCACAGGGGTTTGAAGTAGACAGAGTGGAACGAATTAATGATGGGAAGAGTCAATAAAGGGCAAATAATTTGCATGATGCATTTCCAACGATTTGCCATGGTTCAGGAGAACTGCACATATGCACAATACTTACCCTTAATGTCATTTCACCATTAAACTACTGCTTTTGGTTGAAGCAAAGTGTTGCTTCAAGTGACTGAACGGTTTTTGTTTATATTTTCAGCCACCTCTAATGGCCGTGGATGGTCTCTGGAGCAGACCTCAGGGGGGAGGTGTGCGACGCATAACATGAGAATGAAAGTCTATGTTTGTACTGATGAAAACGGTGAATAACAGTTCTCTCTTCTCCCTTTAGGAGTCTTTCGTCAGGGGAAGGAAGGGGGGACTCAGAGGATTTTGATATTGTCACGATGAAATTTACCTAATTACCCCCCCCGTAGTATTCAAATGATCCCCCCTTATTGATCTTATAAGTAGTCAATTTTCTATGTCCCTCGCTGTATACTCTGTTAGCGAAGACTGATCTCCATTTCCCCTGGAAACCATGATATCCCCTCAAAATCCACCGACCCTCCCCCTCACCCCCAGACGATAAATAATGATACGTCCTTTGGTTGAATAGAAGATAAGTTCCATTCCTAGACAGACAACTTAATGCTCTTGTGTTTCAGTTTTTGTTTTGCTTTTTTTTTTTTGTAACTTCCATTTGAAAATTTGAGAGAAAGTTTCCCCGCATGCAGAATCATACTATTTAATCAACGTAGTCTGACGTTTGTTAGCCTGAATATCAGAACGACTAAACAAAGATGAGAAACCGAAAAAACATACCTACGATAGTGTCCATCGAGTGTAATTACGGTCTCAGCTTTATACACGGAATACCTGAATCTATGCCGCGCCGAAGTTTCTTTCACTTAGTGTGTTTCTTTCCTTTGATTTTATTTGCTAGATCCCAAGTGTCAGACAAGTCCTGTTTCAACAGCTCAACCAACAAAGACCATTACTGTGTGTCCATCGCCGACTCAATTTGTCCAGGTGTCATCTACAATTTCACACCTGCCACCTCATCAATGCACTGGTAAATCGCGGACGTAATGAGTGTTTTTAAAGACAAAATTAAATTCCTATCAGCATGAGAGGCATAAAATTATATTCGAGACGACTAACTGACCCTCACTATTACTGGTCAGATGTGGGAGAAGCGATACGACGGCGGGTAGCCTGGCGCGCTGAACTCTGCTTTGAGTGATCTGGGTTCGAGCACTGATTAGGGTTAATGCACAGCCACTCTTTAGTTAAGTTCCTCCCTCTCACAGTGCCTCTCACCTTCCAGGATTTTCAAAAGTGTCATGGGTATCAGTGAGCTGTCCAATGAAACCAAATAAAAAGCTCGGGGGGAGGTGAAGAGGGTAAAATGCAACAGACTACGTTATAGATAATTATAGACTACTCTGTAATTGCAGTTAGACTGACGGTAGCTCATGATTTACTTCCGATGCTTTTTTTCACCAGATAACAACCAACTGAACAAGATACTCAATAACACGCGCTTTGTCCCAGCCATTTTCGACCAAACCAATCACCTCGCCAAACTGTGGGCTCAAGTTATGAACATGAGTGAACAACTAACCGCTGTGCAGAACAGACTTGAAAACTGTAGCTTCGGAGGAGGATACGGCCACGTGATCGTCCCAAGTGCATCCTCGACCTCGGCTCCGATTCAAACTTCCTCTCCAACTCCAACGCAACCAGGTTAGCAAAATAAATATCGAAATATACACCCTGTACTTCCCGCTAAAAAAGGCAATCAAATGACTCCAATAACAAATTTCAGGTCATACAGTACCGCATCCATGCACCGCAGCATTAACACGCGCGTGATGCGCGTGCAATACCACGCATTGCGTGTGCAATTGAAACACGCATCAGACCTGTGGGATTCTTTTTTCACTTTTTGTCAGGCACAAAAAGATTTACAATCGCAGGATCGCGAAAGTGGATAAAAATTTTAATCCCCAATCAGCTTGATCGTGTTTTGAGCAAAGCTTATTTTGGTTGGGTCCATTTCTGAGCTTAATCATCCTCTCTTCTGAAAATAACATAATTACTCATTCTCATTTCAGTAACATACTCCAATTGCACCGCGCTGTACAATGCAGGTTTTAAGGTCAGTGGTATTTATACCATAAACCCTGAAGACGGCATGGGCTCGTTTCCGGTCTACTGCGACCAAACAACAGCGGAAGGGGGCTGGACCGTGCTCCAAAAGCGTTTTGACGGCTCAGTTTGGTTTAGCAACCGGACGTGGGTGGAATACAAGAATGGATTCGGTAACGTATCGGGAGAGTTCTGGCTGGGATTGGACAGAATTCACCGACTGGCGAAAAATCCCGTCACATTAAGATTCGACTTGGGAGCCCCGGATGGAACGAACAGATTTGCTGTTTATAAAGGATTTACGGTGGCAGGCGCTGACCAGAAGTTTTTGATGACCAGTGGAACATACACAGGTGAAAAAGCGTTTGTGTGTTAGAACAGAGCGTACGTACGTGACATATGCGTAACGCATTCCCACAACCATTTCCTAAAAGTTTTGGCTGAGTTTAGAGTGATATGTTATGAAGGCTTTTGTGTGATATGAGTGTTTTAAAAATTACTCAATACTTGTCGCCATGGGCACGAAGAACGCATGCGTAAGCTTGACAAAATGATCAATCTGTATTTATTAAATATTCTAAGTCCTTCCTTGCTTTAAATTGTTTTCTTCTCACAGACGGCGATGCTGGTGATTCGTTCTCTTTTGAAAGTGGCAACAAATTCTCAACATCAGATCAAGACAACGATAAATATGGTGATGGCCACTGCGCCAAACTTTACAAGAGCGGTTGGTGGCACGGAGTGTGTCATAAGGCGAGTCTTAATGGGCTCTATCTCAACGGAAGTGATAAGAACTCAGCACATTTTGCAGCTGGAATAACCTGGCATACTTGGAAAGGCTACGACTATTTCTTAACAAAATCGGAGATGAAGATCCGTCCCTGAAAGCACGAAGTGACTCCTTTGCCATCGTTATCGAAGAGAAAATAAGGGCGCAGAGACGAACAATTAGTATGTTAGCTGCCATATGCAGATTCTATAGTAATTAATGTTTTTCTTAGAAGGAAACGGAAGTCTGTTTCCTCGGAAGTCGGCGCTGTGAATCAACGCTCAAGGAATCATGCTTCCCCTTTTTCTGAAGTCTTTGTCATCAAAAATTCTTGATTCTTCTCATTGTCTGCTATTACGTTACTTCTGCTCAGAATATCAGAGCGAGGGTAACATTTATGTGCGCGTTTCGAAGACTGACTTTCGTTCACGAGATTACTAATTATCTTCTTTTCGTGTTACTCGGCCGGCGACATGGCTTATATAGGATACCTCGCTTTGCTTTATATCCAATTGGTGTTTAGTTGAGTGATAGCTTTGTAGACCAATCAAAGAGGAGCGAAGCTAGGTAAACCTTATACAATCTTGTTTTGCTTCGACACTTCATCGAAATAACAGTAGCAATAGACCATCATGTACGTTAAATTATTGAACATTATGATAAAATACTGTTCCTATGGTTACGCATATGACCTAATAAATACTAGCCTTTTCTTTCGCCGTTAACTTTTATCCTGTGAATTTCAACGAAATAACCCATATTTGTTCTTTTCCCACTGAGAATATGACATCGCGGTAACGAAAAATATTTTTTTAAAAAATTATCTGTCTCGCCGTTTAGTTCAGAAATGAAGTGAAATATGACCTTACCTAAATCATATAGGTAAGCTCGAGTACAACCTTAAATATCGAAAGTCCAATACTTGAGCAAGAGGATCTTTTGCATCCCTCAAACCTGTCATATATACTTACCGCAAGTATGTGCTCTGCAGGGACTTTTCGTCAGAGTAACAGTTCAAAAAGTTGAAGATTTAATATTTCAGATGCAAAAATAACTTTGGTATGAGTTCCACACTCAATTTACGATGCCTTTCTGGGTTTAAGGGTCAAAAATCACTTTATTTGAGAAGTACGCTGAGGGAAAAAAGGTGGTTTTTGAACGAAAGTTGGATAGAAATTTCGAGATTGTGGAAAAATGCAGATTTTCTCCTTCAATCCCTTGTTATCATGGTTTCGCAGTTTCTCGTTTTAGTTACGAGAATGAGAATATCAACTGCAGTTTATGGCCTCTTGGTTGTAGTGAATATTCACGTTCGTAAGAACGAGCGTTTGGAAGCGAGAGGCAGTTTTCATTTCGTTTTAAAACGTTTAGAAAATAATTAAAATCACTTTTTAAGTGAGATACATGACAAAACGTCGATGCCTGGAAATTAATATTCCAGCGGCATTCTTTGAAGTCACCCCGCCTATAACTCGACATTGTAGTGATCTCTCAATCCCTTTACTGTCACATAAACCCCATTGGTTTAATATAGCTGAGAATTGGTGATTGGTTCGTGATTTGGAAACTTATTGCACAATTTAGTAAAAGGAAGTTCCAATTTGTACTGGGCGTGGTAGGGCGTGTACTGGAATCGTCACCCATTAAAGGCTTCCAATTCTTGTTTAACGTTTATAAAGAAACCGCAACTTTCTCCATGGGAATATCATTCCCTCTGAAGTCGACGAAATGTGAGTAACTTTTATTGACAGTTTTTAGCTAAAACGATCATGATAGACGTTCAAAACTATTCTATCTGAAGAGATTACTTACCTCCCCGTTATTCTTTACCTTAAAGCAAGTTAAAGGAATATTCAACAATGATGATCGATACATTAAAACAGTAAAGATTAACAGTTTCACGAGATATATGCAGCAAACAAAATTGATGGCTAGTGGAAGAGAAATATGACAAAACTTTGTAAAATAATAGCTGCAAACGCTAACTAAACAGTGAAAAACAACGAAGTCTGTTTTAGCTAAACCAACCGAACAGGCAAACAAACAAACAAACATTGATTGAAATAACAATGATCGCAATTGGTACGAAAAGTTATAAAATTCAAAAGGAACAGATAACTATCTATCACAACTTTAAACAACGAAAATCGATTTAGATCAGACAACAGTCAACTTGAAATGAAGGCAAATTAAAAAGAACGATTTGAAAAATACTGTCACGTCCTATTCCATTATATTGTTGATATTCCTGTTATCTTTATTAGTGCACTTAGAAAATAATGGAAACTTTCGATGAGAGATCAATGGACACATCGACGTTTTATTATAAGAGTGGATTCAGTGGTTCTAACAGGAACAGACGAGAAAGGTAAGCCGAATACTGGTGTTTAATTGTTTTCAGTGAGCCACTGCTTACATTACACTAGAGACGTGTGAAAACGCAAATTCGGAGGAGTTGTCCTCCGATTTTGACAACAAGTCTACTGTATTTCTGTGTTTAGGTCAACCGATCACAAAAATCCGCTTCAGAACCGGAGCTTTTCGAAAACGCTGACGTCACTGTTGACCTGACTGCATATCAATGTCAGATGTTGGCAGTCGAGCGTCATATGGACAATAAAAATTTTCATGCGTTTTTAGAATAAAAACACTTTTTATGAAATTAACCTTGTGAGGTCTGCGCTGACCTTGAGCACTGCTAAGTAAATTCCTTAATGAAAAGGTGAAATATATACAAATTACAGGCCACTTTTCATTCTAACATAAAGCAACGTACATTCAACAAATATTCGATAAACCCGTGAAGAAAATGAAGTGGGTAACAGAAAAATTATATCCCATTTTTTTGTTGGCCACAGGTATTTCAAAACGTTTACGTGCTTATAGCCAACCGCGAGAGAAATGCAATGATGATTGATTCAATGAAAACAACCAAGATCACAATTTCTGCTTTAAACAGAAAAAATGTTTTGTTTGTACTGCTGTGAGAAAGTTAACACAACAAAGGGATATGAGCTCAGATAATATTGCCTGTGAACCAATCAAAACACAGAAATAGCAATAAACCAAGGCTAACGTGCGGAGTCCCACGATTTTGACCAATCACCTAGACATCGCCAGCCATAGCCGCGCCGGTCTGGGCCTTCAATTTTTGCCGCCCGCTTGTCTTTTGAGTTATCAACTCTTGCGAAGGTTGAAACAAAAATTGGACTTTCTTTTCGATATTTCTTCGAGTTACTAAATAACAAAGAAGCAGTAAGAATAAATCTCGCAATATTAAAACATTAGGCTACCAAGCTTCCAGATCTCTCAAAAAGGCCAACAAGTCCAAAAGGTAGATAAGCCCCTGAATGAATGTTTGATTTTGGGGTGAAAGATTAGATGCTAATCACTCTTAGAACTGAGAGTTACAGGGTTAAAACTTGAAACATACTTTTTGTCAATAGCACACCGGTACTCGATCAATGGCAAGTATTCTCAGAAATTCCCAACGTAAGTCAGAGAGAGATTCCCATTTTTGGGATGCATCATCAGCACTATGATCACCATCCAGCGTATTCCCCTTGCGTAAACCCGTTCCGCTACAGTTACGAACCTGGGTTCTCTCCATATATCCCTGGAGTATCTTCCGTGGTAAAAACACAACCGCTGGCTAAGAAGGCTAAGGGTGAAAATACCAAAAGAGATAAGAGACTAACGTGCCGAGAATGCCAAAGAATGTTTCTGCGTCCATCCGCACTGAAAGTCCACATGCGTATTCACAGTGGAGAAAAACCATACAAGTGTCTCTTCTGCCCGCGAACCTTCAATCAGTCTGGTAATCTGACTGTCCATTTGCGCACGCACACGGGGGAACGACCTTTCAAATGCACCGTATGTAAGAAGGGTTTTTCTCAGTCCAATTCCCTGCAGACCCATATGAGGACACACACTGGTGAAAGACCGTTTAAATGCGAAAGATGCAGCAAACGCTTTACAGACAGGTATGTAATGACTGCTATTTCTTAGTTATTAAATAATGAGACACATTTTCTGGTTTTCTTTCTTATTAGATCGGCTGCTTTTTCTTGCGGTTTCATTTGATCAATAGTTAGAATAATTTTTCTGAGGGAGGAACTTGTTTCATTGGAAATGTTTTGCAATACGGTTAAAATAGTGGGAAGCGGTTTTAAAATTATTTGGTGTGTGTAATATAGAATTCGTGGTGCGTGAAACACACGTATGGATAGGGAGACGCGATGGGCACGGTCTGAAGCGTGTGACACAATCGTGAAAAAAGTAATGTGTGATCGAAATGTGAGTGATATGCGTGATAGGTAAACGTGAAACCTTAAACAGTGCATGGTGCGTGAAACACGAGACAGGATGCGTGAAACACGAGACAGGATGCGCGAAACGCGATGCTCCCAGTGTGAAGCTTGTGACATGGAGCCCAATTGTGAAAGGGTGATGTGTGATCAAATGTGATATGAGTGAACGTGAAGCCTTCGACAGAGAACTCAGTAAACATCTTTATCGTTTCAATCTTTATCTCTCATACAGGTCAACACTTGCAAAACACCACCGTGTCCACACAGAAGGAAAATCAAAAACCACTCATGCGCTTGTTTAGGGAGAATCCACCGGAATTTTAGCTTTACTGTTTTTCTTTACTGTTTGCTTTTTTCATAGATTTTAGCTCGCTCTGTACCACACCAGTTACCCGCTATCTAATTGTTTAAAAGTAATATTCTTAACCGCGTTTCAGTGAATACTATTTTGACTGAATTGTCATCCTCAGTACAACAAATGTGATAATTTTTTTTGACGATTTTGAGAATAAGGCGACAAATTTTTATTTGAGGATAGTCGGAGGGTGATGGCAGGGGTGGGGGGAAATTTAGAGGACTGGTCATTATCTATCGCGGGGTGGGGGTGGGTTTCTGGTTGTGTCACAAAATTAAATTAACCTGACAGTCACCTTTCCATGTCCCCCCCCTTCCCTTTATATTCTGTATGTTAACGATAACTGACCCCTTTTCCCTTCCCCTCCCCTCTGAAAACCATGTGATCCCCCCACAGAAGGTCTAAATGGGACTAACTGATAGCCATAAAATTAAAATGAACAAATTTTAATCGTTTGTCGTTAAAAAAAGTTATCCGTCAAAAAAATGCTGGTGACCACAATGGACAGTTATCAAGCGTTAGCCTTAAACTGGCCAAAATTTTAACCGTTAGCCGTAAAAGCCGTCACCCCATTGAGACCCTCACCAAATCCTCCGAGCTCTGCAGCCGATAGATAATGAATTATCCCTTGCGAAATGTTAAATCAAGCCTCCTTTTCTTACTAACACTTTTGTAATCTAATGGGTTATTCTTCATATTAAGCAGACATAAAGGTTATAAAATCAATTAACAAATGTTATTGACTAGTTTGCGAGAGAACTCTCTCCTTAAAAAGAAACTATGAAATTCAATATATTACAAATATTACAATAAACTTCGTTGTAAACATCGTATCTCTAGTCCCTTCAAATTCTAAAAGTCTAAGTTAATAAAGAAATTTGTTACGTTAGGTTTTTCAATTTTTAGGCAATAGATTTTATTGATATAGAAAAGCAATTACTATTAATGTGTCGACTTATTTTTCAAGAAGTTAGGAAAAAAATGAGGAATTTAAGAATCTGTGACACCGAACCATTAAAAGAAGAGGAAACTTGTGTTTTTGTATTCTATTTTTCTATTCAACAAACCTTAAAAAATACAATCGAATCTGTATTGAGCGGCAGCGGTAACCCTGTATTAAACAGTCTTTTGTCAAAGCCCCGAAATTTTTTCCCCATAGTAGTTGTAATTTTCACTTTCATTAAGGTGGTCTTCCACTCAAATTTTAAAAAAATTCAGTTTATGCTTTACCTAAGTTATTTAAGTACCATTGGAGAGATCACCTCAAACTGATACTTTTAAGAATTTTGATAGACATGTCGTTGCCATGGTAACCAAGTTTTGGGCCCCCAACTGTGAAAATAATGGTGTTCTTGTAAAAAGGATATCTCAAGAACTAGCGGTCCTATTCACCTGAAATTGGTATCAAAACTAAGTACAAAGATGGCTTTATGTCATGAACCTCAGAAAACCCATTTTTTTTATGCCAAGCTATTATAAAATTGCAACTGTTCCTTGATTACAACATTTTTGTTTGTATTATCACCATGGATACATCTGTCAACAACCATGTAACTAAAAATCACTAATAATTTTAGGTTCACAACACAGAACTATACTCAAGCAAACCTCCCTGAAAATTTCATCCCTTTTGGTTAATACTTTTCAAGAAATCCTTTTTGCCGTGACGGGCACTCTCTCAAAATTGCAAAACTGAGAAAATCAAGTTTAAAGATTTAAGTTGATCAATCAAAATAATCACTAAAGCAACTGGTGCCTTTTGGAAAGTTTAAGCTAAGCTCTTTGATGTTCTCATTAAAATGCACCAGGTGCATATATGTCACCCTCCTTTTCCTGGGATTTGTTTTTTTTTTCTTTTTTCCCCTGAGTAGCCTCCTCCTTGTCTTGTTCTTCTCTTGGAACTTGTATTCAGCTTTCAAAACACGAATCTTGTCCAACTGCTGGCATTCATTTATACAGAATTCACCTGGGGGAATTCCAAGACTCTCAAACACTTTAATAGCTGCTCTTGAACCAATATTAAAGTGAGCGACAGCATCATAAACCCCCAGCTGCAGTACTTCAGAACCAACAAACACCCCCTTTGGCACACGCTCCCAAACCATACCATTGAGTGACTCATTCTGGTTTTGAGTCTTGCCATCAAGACATTTGCTGAGAAGGCTGTCCTCACTCAACCTTTTATAAATGGGTTTGATTTCCTCTCTGACATCTAAAGGTAGGCCAGTTCCATGTTTGAAAGTGTTTGTCCTATTGACCTTGTCCCGCTGAAAACCACACCAGCTTTCAGGACCCTCAGGGCAATGCCCATGGTAATTACTGTCTGCAGAAGAAGCACAGTGAAACGAGCTGGCATAAATTGCCTTCTTCATGGCAGCAAGATCACCTGAGTTGCTTCGAATGGCAATTCCATAGTAATTTTGCAGTCTGTCAATCATGGCATCTGTCAGCCTGCCTTTCCCACCCATCCCTTTCTTTTCCTTCTTTAACTTTCGTAAAGCTGTTCCCAGTCGTTTTTGAACATGGCCAACACATTCCTTCTTTTGAACTTCAATATCATAGACTTGGTATACATCTTTGACTAATGAGTAACTTTTGCTGTCACCATCGCCATAATATTCATCATACTGCAGCTTATGCAGATCTACTGACCTTTGAAACATTCGAAGGGCGCCTTCTGGTTCCATAGCTGGTGCTGAACCCTTAAAGTTTGCCTTGCAAGAGGCTCTGTGGTCTGCTCTCCATGCAGTAGTTTCTGGGGTGTCAGGATCATTTTCATGCTCCCTGCACTTGATACAAACTTTGCTTAGGGGCTCAACATCTACCACTTTCCCTGTATCCATGCTAATAGCACTCACACAGCCATTTAAAGAAGAAAAGCCTCTTCTCTGCCATGTTCCATCAACAGACACTCCACATCTTGCTATGCCCTCATCTGAACCTGGCTTGATATCGTGAATCTCTCTTGCAGTATCACGCATTGTCTCCAGTGAGATCTTCTTTACTGCTCGGAGTATTTCTTTATTATGGCGAGCATATGGTGTAGGTCTAGGAGGTGGCGGCATGTTCATAAGTCCACAAAACCTCTTACCTGCCGCACGTCCACAACCAACAGATCTTGAAGCATACACAAATCTTCTGTTTACTTCAAAGAAACGGCCTATTTGAGCTGAAGTAAAGAATTCCATAGACCAACCACACGAGCAGCAAAGCAAACGAAGATTCGAGGCACAACCTTTGCGTTTCATAGCTTGCTCTTGTAAAATTAAATCACAAACAAAGCATTCTTTGCATGGCATACATTCCATCACAGAAGACAAAATTCTCATATCTACAAACCGAAATCCACTTATGATTGACTCCTTACACTCCTTGATACCCTCAGAAGATGCGGTGGTCAGACCTGCTGGAATCTTGCGGGCAGAAGCTGAACATTCTTTCCCAAGACCTTTGGTGCTGACACTCGTTTTTTCCTTCTTCGAACGCTTCGATTCAGTAGAGTACTGGTTTCCACGATATTTACGCTTTTTTGTGTAACCAGAACGAGCCTTTGGTGGCATTGATAAATAAATTATCAAGCAAAATCGCAATAGGAATAGAGTGAACGAATACGACCAAAATGGTGGATGATAAGTTGGGAAATAGTGTCGCCACATATCATCCGCCATTTTGGGTGCTCGTAACTCACTGCATGTATGCCTGATTGAAATGTCAATAAACAACGGGAATAACCAGGGAGGGGTCCCAGGAGAAATTCCGTCGTTTCCTTTTGACTGCAACTGCGTTTTGTTTTCATAAACAAACCGTTGCTATGGTCGTTGCTAAGGTGAAAATTCATACTCGCTAAGGAATTTAGCAAAATTTTTGACTTTACCTCCTGAATATGGAAAAAAGGAAGCTGTAGAATGAAAGAGTAATGGTTAAAGATACCAAAAAGCACCATTTTCAAAATGAAAGTTTTTTGACAAAAAATACAAATTTTTGAGTGGAAGACCACCTTAAGCGCTCGTGATCACCCTTTACCAAGTCCTAACGGCCTGTTTGTATCGTTCCACCTGTATAACGGTCATTGAAATTGGAACTACTCAAACAAAACCAGGAAAAATCTTTCAAAAACTTTTAATCCATATTTCTCTCCCGAAATCAATATTGGTAGCATTTCTGACCGAGTTTTTGTACATTTAGTGATCAATTATGGCATGATACCTTCATAGTATACCTTCATGGTATCGTACTTGAAGAAATTTCATTTAGCTACGCAACCGTGCCCAATAAGCATCGCTACGCAACCGCGCTCGTTAAGTCCCATTCTACACAACCGAGTTCCATACAATTGCTGGAAAACAAATACATTGGTCGGTAGATGTGGCTGTTCTCTATGGAACCTTGTTTCATCCTCTTTAATACGCGACTTTGCTAATACTACGTCCAAATGAATGCTGGGATTGGCCAACCCTGCACTAGGGCAGGGAGCTTGTTGTTTCGCGCGGCTTAGATCTTTGTCGTGTGAGATGCAGAGCCGAAAAAGCCTCGCAAATTCCCTGAATATTGTACGTCAGCAAACCTTTTTTCTTTCCCCAGTAGGGCCACGGAGATCATTGATCCGCGTGGGAATGTGAAAATGACCGTAGACATCTCGAAAGGTACAAAATTTTAACGAAAACCTTTTATTTTCAATTCGTGGGTTTAGAAGATTCGTGCAGAAGTCTGTAAGAAGTTATTACACTTTCCGTTCCATCCCGTTTCGCACGGCCTTGATATTTTTTGTTGTAGGGTCTCGAAAGCATCTAAAATTTTTTGAGAGGTATATATTTGAAGACCTTTTTTCACTCCAAGATGGGCCGAGGAGAACATGTAACAAAAAAGATATCTTGAAAGTTACGTAAATTTAAAGAAAATGTTTATTTACATTTCACGGCAAAACGTTTTGTTCATGACATTTTAAGCTTCAATCAGCGTTTGGTTAATGCAAAATCCCGCCTGCTTTTCCTTACTTTTCCTGATTTTTAATGACTGCTTTACTCCTTTGGTTTTCCTCAGAAATAAACATTCAAGACACAAATCGCAAAACATGCTCAAAGTCAAAATGCAAATTTGTCGGGGTTACCAGATAAACGGTTACCAGAAGCTAATAATAACATGCAAAGAAAAATGACCTAGATATATCTCTTTATTGAAAAGAGTGCTATAAATGACCGTTCAGAAGCAAAAAACCAACGAATTGCTTGCATTTACGACACCCGGCGATAGATTCACCTTGCTGGAGTCGTTGTTTATATAACTTCATGGTTATGAAATCTAGAAAATAATAGAATTTTAAGACAAAATCTATGATGGAACAATATTTATAGGACATGTCAATACTTGAAATAATATTTAACGGTCCAAATAGTAGCCCAGTGTCGCAAAACCTCAGTTGAAGTCAGCAAGTTCTGTTTTCATATTTCAGCCATAGTCCCTGTCGCTTTTGAGAATCGCATTTTTGGTTACTCCAAAGCTAATTCCGTTGCTTGCTAGTCTTAAACTGCCGCTATTTTCGGAATTGATTAATCTTTGGAATATACAGTTTTCATTTGAGCTCCTAAAGATGTAACTTGGTCGGGATGGAACGGATTTATGGTGTAAAAAACTTATTACGGACTTCTGCGACACGAACCCATGAATTGAAAATGATAGGTTTTATTAAAATTCTGTACCTTGTACTGATGTTTACGGTCATTTTTACATTTTCACACGGATCAATGATCTACACCGCCCATCATCGAAAAAAAGATGATTGCTAAAATTCACCTTTAAAAGAATTTGCGAAGCTTTTTGACTCTGCATTTCACACAACAACAACAAAGATCGAGGCCGCGCGGAACAACATGCCCCTCGAGTGACCTGGTATAGGGCTGACCAATCCCAGTGTTCATTCTGATCTCAACAATGGCAAAAAGTCGCGTGTTGGTTAAGTGATTTTTCCTTGAGGGTCTCGTGGTTTTTTAGTGATTTTCGTAGTTTTTCTGTTTTTTAAGGGGCTTTATTGATCCTTTTGGTGACATTTTGTCATTTTCGCCTCTTATGTTAGCCATGTTTGAAAGATATTTTCGCCATCTGGCGATTTTCGAAACTTTCTTTCATATTCTTGTTTTCTATGTAGCATTACCCAACCCTTTCAAATCGATTTAGAGATTCCCTTTGAAGATCTTACTACTTTGTGTTACATTTTTGCTGTCGAGTGATCTTTTCGTAATTCTGAGCGAAAAAGCAAAATTTGTCATTTTCGTTGCCGCGTTCAATCTTGAGCGTAATTAGGTAGGAATACATATGAACCACAGAGTTTTCACTAATCGTTTGACGACTTTTGAGGAAAATAGTTAAAGTAGTTATTGAATTGTTACCAAGGAGACAAAGGATGTTGACAAAATATTTGCAACAACCTATCCAGTTACCGAGACAACGGAAAAAAGTTTCGACTAGCATAAAGTTCAGGAACGTTTTTGATAGCACTAAGATATGTCAAATAAACACGTTAATTCACATTTGGAATGATCACCTAAGTAATCATTAGTTATTACTTTGCTTGGCATGAACAAAAAAAGTTGTTTTGAGGAAAACTCCAAGGAAACACCCAAAACAGAAAAGAAATGAAACCTGTGAAGAGTGATTAAAAGGTACCGCACTCCAAAGACCTTCTTATCAATTCACTGCACCATCTGCTATAAATTTCTAGGAATTTCAATCCTGTAAATTTGATCTCTAACCAAGCAATATCCCTTCGATCATATGTTCTTTCTCCTCGTTACTTGCACGCTCGTAAAAGTACAAATTCTGTAGGACGACTATTAAGTCGCGTAGAAGTACAAATTCTGTAAGGAGAAATTCCTTTATGATAAAACTTGGGAGTGTAAGGATTAACTCCCCTTTATCCAGGACGTGAGGAACTGATTTTCCAAAGAAATTTCTTGGCCTTCGGCACGCACTCAGTTACTCAAGGTAAGTGAAAGTGTTTCTGGAAAGAGACCATCACGAAAAAGGAGTAAAGTTTCTTTAACGCATACATCCTTTTTGCGCTCAAAATGTACTCCATTGGGTTTGAAAAAGAAACAACTTTCCACCAGAGACTTTGTGTGCTCAACTTCCCATGAAATTCGTCAGAAGTTCTCGCAATACTGGCGAAGATATATTTTTCAAAGGTTTGTGTGTGTATAATTGCTCAACAACCTCACTTTCTGCAAAAAGTATTAATAGGCGGTTTAAAATTACATGTGGCTACTGATATTGCACAATTTTTACAGTATTGAAAAGAACTAAAGGTTTTGTAATAATGCTAGAAGGAAGTGTTGCAGTAAATGTCTCACATGTAAAAGAGAAAACCTGCCGCATCCCACAAATTTATGAGAACCCTGTTCCACAAGAGAGAAGTGGTTCAAGAATATAGTGAATCATTGACACTCAACCAATAATTAAATGGTAATATATAATTGTATTTACAATGATAACAACAATGATAACATTAGCATGGTATTGATAGTTTACAGGGGCTAGCTTCTCGGACGAGAAAGCTTCGAATCCTCCATCCTTGGTGACCCTGTGCTATACACACCCTCCACTCTTACGTAAGGCTGTTCTGATATCTCAATTTTTTGAATCAATATTCTTAAAAACTCAGGTGCTATCAGATTGCAACAGTCTCTTAATCACCCCTAATGCTATAACATTTTCAGTTACAATTTCGTCGAAAGAAAATGATAAGATTTCCCCTGAAGAATTGTTCCACTTTCAAGTCAAACACTGCAGTGTTACCCGGAGTGTTCAAGATACCAGCGAATAGAGTTCTATCAAGCAATAGGTATGTATGCGTGTTTATTAACTCTTTTGGGGGATCCTGTGTCGAGCACAAAGGTAACAGAGGAAGTTGGAAAGTTTCCTCTTGGGTGAGGGGAGGGGGCTGAAAGGAGACGGAAATCAAGGCTTGCAACCTAATAATGATTACGCGAATCCGAAGCACGGTGGGAACTCTTTTAAGGAACCGGTAACTGCTGGAATAGGAGACTGCTTAACTGATGCAATGGTCGCTTAAAATAATTGAAGAAAAAAAACACACTTCATAAAGAATTAAACAAGAATACCAGCTAATGATGCTTAAGTTTACTTGTATGTGACAACCGAAAAGCGGTTGCAGCAATTTTTTTTTATCAAATATTAATCCTTTGTAACTCAAAAATTTCTGAAAGGCAACCAGGAAAAGCCGAAAATTCAAAATGGCTGAACTAATAAAGTGCACATTAACGATAAACTTTCCGTCAACTTTAAGATAAAAAGAATACAATCCATTCCAACAGTGGAGGTTCTCGGATCAATGTCAGTATCTGAACAACTGCGCAACTACCCCTCCCCTAACCCAACGATAGTAGACTGATAACAACGTAAGATTAATTTTGGGTTGGGGGAGGGGTAGGTGAGCATTTTCTCAGATTATGTTATTGTTCGAGTTTCAAGTATGTACATTTTACCTCCCAAACCACCAGGCATCATCCAAAGATACGATTCATTCAGGCTCTTCCATCATGCTTGGGCTTCCCCAATCAATCAAGACGCTATATGGACGAAGGGGACGTGTCAGGAAAAACTTCACCTCCTCTGATAAGTGCATGCGCAACTGGTGTAATTCAATACCCGCTGTATCTACAGTATCCTCATGAATCATGTCCAGCAGCTGCATCGCTTATCAATTCTCAGGTGATAAAATCAGTAGACCACCTCTCAACGTATATCCAGTGCGTGCTTTGCTACTCTTCACGGTTATTCTAGTGTTTCTTCAACACAGTGTGTTAGGAAACGTAACATTGCACAACACATAGCGGGGCCGTTAGCCTTTTCATGAAAGTGAATTTTTTAAACTGGACATATGAAAAATACTGCTTCTTAGATCGCTGATGGAGAAATAGGTCCTGAAAGTCTTGCAAAATAATTGCAATGGACATTGGTTGAGAGGGACGTGCCAAGGGAACGGAAGGGGGGGAAAGGTGGGAGTGAGACATTGTACTTTTTCAGGAGCCGTGTAAACTGTGGGACACTTGCTATAAAACAATGTTTTGGGACCAGTCCTTATCTGACGCTGGGGGATGGGATGGGGGGCAAGGATTTTTGTGGAGATCAGATGGTTTTCACAGAGGGATGATCAGTTGTTGCCAACAGAGTTTAGCGGGTGAACTGTAGAAAATCGGTATAGGTAATAACATGATTTCGAGTGAGATTTGGTTTAAGTAAGCACGCATAAATTTTTCAGAGTCAGTAAAATTTCACGAGCCCGTGGGGCAGGTGCAATTTTTACTCTTTGAAAATTTACAAGTGCTTATTACACCAAATTGTAAAATATATCATTTTATTACTCATTAATAATGTACAAGAAAAAACATCACACATAGTTAAGAGGCGGAATTTTGAAAGCACGCGCCCTATTTGTAATTTGCACTCGTGTTACATGAGAATGCACACGTTTTCAGCCTATCAGAAACGCAAATTTTTTCATGTACATTATTAACCACTGTTACCAGATTACAAGAAAGTGAATGAGCAGTAATAATACGATGCACTGGTACAAAAAATTACGAAACATAATGCATGTTTTCCTTTAAAAAAATTTGGAATTCAAAGGTAACTATCAACTCCAAAGAACAACGCGAGACGAGACGAGAGAAGCCGCGATGCAATATCTGCAAAAGAGATTTCTCTCGTAAATCATCATTGATTGTCCACATGAGGAAACACAATGGTGAAAAACCGTACAAGTGTACACACTGTCCAAAAGCTTTCACCCAATCAGCAAACTTAATAACACACGTGCGAACTCACACAGGAGAGAAACCATACGCATGCTCTGTGTGCGGAAAGTGCTTCTCCCAGTCCTCTTCTGTCACCACGCACATGCGCACTCACACCGGGGAGCGACCTTTCAGGTGTGCAGACTGTGGGATGGCATTCGCTGAAAGGTAAACTGGCACAGTCTATTATGCAGAAGATTCACTTTGGTGTCCTTGGCTTTTGTTACGTGATGATAATGGTCATGTATATTGACTTTTCAGATCAACCCTTTCAAAGCATTTTCGTGTTCACCGCAGAAAACGTAATTTGAAGGCCATTTCAAAGCAAGGTAACTAATCAGCTGTGAGACACGTGACTAGTCATATGACTCGTCACTTTCTTCTTCTCAGCGAGCGGTGTGAGAATGTAAACCAAGGAGAAAAAAAAGTGATGTTGAGGAGAAAGACGTGAGAACGAATATCAATCTTGACTTAGAATGCTTCTCCTAAAAAGATAATTTGGTATTTTATTAACTGAGTTGATAACGTAAATTGGCCACCGTTAAGAGGTTTAAAGCTAACTTTTCGAGCTTAGCCCTTTGTCAGAGCGAATGGAGGAATTGTGGGTTGTGCATGTGTTTATATGCAGAAAATGGAGCTTCGCTACTGGTGGGGACAAGGTAACAAGAAAAACAAGAATAAATTAACTTAATGAAAAGCGTTCGTTGATTCCGTGGGAATTGAGAGTGCCGATTTGCCAGAAAAATTTACGTTTTAGAGCGGCTTTTTGAACTGCCTAGATGTCGGGAAAAGCCGCAAACTGCCATATGCTGCTTAGAATGATTAGGGAGATTAAAGTGTTTAGCAACTGGTTGGGATGCGTCCTTGTTATTTCTTTCCACGCGATTTCTTTCTACGAGAACACCTTCGCAACGTAGAAAGACACTTATATGAGGTACTACCAAATCGCTCTAACAAAGGGCTAACGCTCGAAACGTCAGCTATTTTACCCTTTGCGGTGGCCAATTTACGTTTTCAACTCAGTTGTTAACACTGAATTACCTGCTATACTCTCCCACCGACGCAACACCACAGTTTCTTTAGTAACTTACCCCCTTAATACCAAATTACCTTGTTATACTCTCCCAGCCACGCAACACCACAGTTTCTTTAAAAACTTATAGCCTTTATTCACATCTCCATGTTTTACAATCCTCAGGTTGGGTCTGACATGTCAGCACTACTGAGGACAAGGCTGGTCTCACTGTGCAAATTCATTTGTTTTTTCTTTGTTCTGTTTTGTTTTGTTTTTTTTTTTGTTTTTAACGACATATTGGTCATGTAAGGAAGATGGTTCTGGTCCAGTAAACGTAATCTTCTTTAGATATTTGACTATGCTGGGTACCGATTGGTGTTGATTTCATTTAACATTACAAGTACATATAACTATGAAAACTACGTGGAAATCAACCTAATGCATTTTCACAGTTTTTTTTTTTCAATATAAAGATTTCACGGCTGAAAAAAGGCAATCTTTTTCATCTTATTACCCTGTTTCGTCGCTGGAAGAATATAATTATTCTATACAGCTATATAATTCATGGAAGATCGAATCGTTCACGTTATTGACTATGCTTCTGATTTCACTACAGAAGTATAATTTTTTGCACCTTAAATTATAAAAGAAAATTGTTTTAAATTTCAACTCAACGAACGAAAAACAATTAAAGAAAAATGAGCTATATTCTCACGAGGCTCTCTTCTGTTTCAAGATTTACATATTCCAAAAGACTCTCACTCACTTGTAGCTGATTATCTGACACGAGCACTATTAAAATTATACCATGAATGGGAATAAGTTGTGTGGAATTGCTGAGACAGTATTGTAGTCATTCCCTGTTTTCCCCGTCCACTTTCAGTTGGGAAGACGTGGGAACTAGACTTCCGCTGTTTTGTTTTATAGATGAAAGAAGGTTGAGGATGGATCCAATAAAACTCGCAATAACTGATCTTAATGAGCTCATACTTAGAAGGAAAAGAAGACAAAGCTCCAAAAAAAGATGACTACTATCGCAAACAGATAAGCAGCTCTATGGACGTCTTGAATGTATATTAAAGCATTTATAATTGATTAAGGCAATACGCGCCTTTTCAAAATATTACACTCACATTTACAATTAGTTTACAACCAAACAGTTGTTGATATATGTCACACATCCTAAACTGGAATGTAGACTTACAGCTTTGGATGAATGAATATGATGGATAATTTCATTCGGGATTATTGTGGCCTGCCACAAGTAAAATTCCACCACAAAATATAATCGGAAAACAATTCCTAAGAAAACGCACTGTCGCGAAGGACTGTCCATTACAAAACACTAAAACAACAAATCTGAGTGTATTAATGGGAAGAAACACGGAACTCAACAATGCTCAAGATCGTGAAACCATCAAAAATGAATTTACCAAACACATCGCCGCGAGATCTTTCCCATAAGCGACTTCACGGTTTCCCGGTGTCAGCGATACTGCCGATACTGCACAGCACATGAAACGAGATGTCTGAAAAAGGAAACTGCTTACAAAACTTCCCTCAATCTACCCTCCCTCTAGACTTCAACTCTGCTCCAGATGATCAAGATTTTGATTTAGATCTGCTTGTTCATGATTCTTCATCAACTGCTTGATCACAGCGTCTTTGGACTAACAACAAAGCAGAACAGATAAAACGATTTGTAATGAGTTAATAAAACATCGCTGCAGCCACCTTAAGAAAACAGCATTATCTTAAATTTGTCATTGAATTCTCATTGGGAACAATGCTTACCCGAACTTCTTGACGAAGCAACTCAACCTCCGTTGAAAACTTTTCACTCAACTCGCGGACGAGGCCTTCCTTTATCTATCAAAAATACAAAGGTCGGCTTTCATCGATTCATCTCTTCTTTCCTTGCGGGCTTTTACACTGTTTGTATTGACGCACATCATATTCACAAAACCGAATACAGTGGTATGAATTGTAATGCAGTGATAAGAATAAATAAACAAGTTTGGCGATGGCTTAAACGAAAGTAGCTTTTAAGAGAGCAATTTCCAACTGAGAGTCGGAAGTAAAACCGGATACCATTGGTTCGAAGCTTGTTTTCAATTTGAGCTCTCATTGGCTCCATGTAATGACTTACTTCGCTCTGAATGGCCGTAGTTATTACTCTGGTTTTGGTCTTACGAAAGTCAATCGAAGACCGTCCTGTACAAAAAATTGAGTTTGAAATTTTGTTCAGAATCCTCTGAATATTTCGCAAATTCTTGAGCTAGACACACGGCAATCGATCTTCTTCTTCTTCGATGTCTCAACAACAAAGAAATCACATATATTCCCGTTGCTGTGTCAGGCTGTAAAAGTTAAACACGCAGGGAGTAAAAACACAAGAGAGCTTACCTCTTCACGAAACTCCTTCATACACTTTTCCCTGTCCTCTTTCAACTCTTTCTTAATGCTTTCAATCTGCGCGTATATCCTGGCCCGTCGAGAAGCCTTCTCTCGAATCGATAATTCATCGTTAATGTTCGAAAGTCCAATATTTAACGACGACTGTTCCCGAAGAAGGTCTGCCATCTTAAAAACGAAAAAGCATAAAATGCTGTCACTGATAGGATCCGAAATTCTATTTCAATGATCATAAGGTTTTTATTCGTAGACCGAACAGTTGAGTGTCCTCCCCAGGATGGTATACCAAGTGTCACGTGACAATACTGTGCAATCAATTTCTTTTAGACATTACACACAAGGATTTGCAGAATCGAGACCAATTGTTTTGAACAATATCCTAAAAAGCACCATGTAAAAGTACTGTTCAGAAGCTTTCAATAAAATGGTCATAAGCTCTGAGGGGTTTCATCCACAGACTTAAAAGTTAGAACCACCGCATAATAAACAATACCATACGTAAGAGCTGGCCGATGGCCTTTTATTCAAATTGCCACACACCAGGGTTTCATTACCAGACGTGAAGGTAAAAAAACACTCCTTTTTTAATTCGCAATGGACTCCTGTGTCAAAGTGACGGAGAATTCGTTAAGAATTTCAGAGGAAATCTTCCTCCGTTAAAACCCTAAATAAATCCTGTATAGCCCGGTGCTAAATTCGGGATCAAATATCCACTCACTCCGATTATAATTGCACCTATCGATTTTAATCAGGTTCCCTCAGGAGGGTATATTTTCTTAATTCTTCACACCCTAACATCAGTATCCGTATTCTCCATAATGTTCTCTAAACATTTTCTCTGGTACTGACAAGGAGAATTCGTTTATCAATCAGAGCTTCGTGGGTTGGTGGTCATTTCCCTTTTTCTCATACCGTGTAGCTGTCAATACACAACCTTACCCTTTGAGAAACACCGAAACAAACTGGGCTCTTCGCAACTCCTGCAAGCAACAGCCTTCTGCGTTCCGAAAGAAGAAACTTCATTCTTTCGAGTTCTGAACCAATCATCACACGCAGATCCTGAATAGCATTCATTTCTTCTTTGATCCTACAACATCAGAAAGAAATGAAAGCACATTTGAAAATGCTTTAAATACTTGAAAATGAAGTTATACAAATATTTGTCTATCTCTAATCGTGTTATGTAGAAAGCCCTTATGTATGATGACCCTATGTACTGAAAATCGCCTCGTCTCGTTTGCACTAAAATGTTCGTCATTCTTAGGCACTTTCTGCTTGTTTCCAAGTAGACATTCTTTTAATCTCAGTGTTTTGATAATATTACGTATTCCATCGTAAACATTCATAGAGCATTTAACGATTGAGTGTCGTAAAATCAAAATAAAAGTAAACCCAACAGCCAATCACAGCAAGGACAATATCACCAGGAGCCAATGAGAACTCACCAATCTACACCTTAAGGAGAAGACTTAGGGTGAAATTGCGTATTCCGTCGTAAACATGCATCGAGCGCTTTTCAACTGAGTGTCGTGAAACCAAATCATAGCAATCACAACAGCCAATCATGAAATGGATAATATCACCAGGAGCCAATGAAAACTCGTAGAACAAACAAGCACACTACCGGAAGTGCGGGAAAACGCTAAAGAACAAGTCGCGATTTGTTTTAGCTTTGAATCTGATTTGTTACGAAAGTGGTGCGAGTTTTCTGGACCAAACACAAAACGAAAGAAAGCAAAACCAAATCTATCCCGGATCACTTTCGAAATAACAGGAAATTGCTCTGAGACCAATTGAAAGAAACTCTGGACAAGACCCTATGCGAAGGGTAACGAGAAATGAACAGACAAACCTACCTCACTAGTACACTCTCAGTATCACCAACAGCTTTGGCTCTATCCAGTGGTCCCTCGGAAGATAAGTTTGACTCGTACCTTTTAATGCTCTGCTCTAGAATGTTTATCTCATGAAGGTAATGCTACAATGTAAAACAGACGAACAAAACACATAAATTCAAAGAAGCTTTAAAATTGCTCCAAACTAAAATATCGATACCCAAGGAAGAAACTTGAGAGAAGAGTGAAAGTATATTTATAATTGGAACAAAGGCAAAAATTCAGTTCCTGCTCAGAGCACATCAGCAGAGTATGGAAGAATAGGTAAGCAGCGTTAAACGCTGGGAATAAAGGAAGGAACAGAAAAGACTAGAAAAAGTATGCACTTGGTGTAAAACGAGGGAAAACATACAACTACCTGTGACAAAAGTAGGTAAAGGTGCAATCAAACGCGGGAGAAAACACAACTGTCTTGCAGCTGAAAGATCCTTGCAACGCACACACGCACATCACTACAGTCCAAATCAGTAACATTACTTTTAAGATCTTTATCGTGATTATAAATATTTTAGTTAATAGTATTAGTTCTCACCTGGAAGGATTATAATCATTCTTGTCCAACATAAAGTTATTGTCAAAATCACCGCTTGTGTGCTAATTAACAAGTAACATATTAGTATGTTAGGACTGTCAAGAAATGCTTTGTCAATCAGAAACGCAACATGGTTGTCGTCCTCATCGCTGTTGGTAACCTCGTCGTGGTTTCCCTCAGTTTCATCGTCGTCCTCGATCCATTAGAGTTGCACCAGTCTTCCTCGCCATTTAAATCTCCAACGTAAACCTCTTCGTTAGTACAACTGTTATTGTCTCGTTAATGTCTTCTTCATCGTCGTCATCTTCGTCGTCGTCGTCTTCGTCGTTGTCATCGTTTTCGTCATCGTCATCACTAACACATCATCACCACCACAATTACTGTTATCCTCGTTGTCACTTCCGTCGCTAAAATCACTACCATTATCTACACCGTTGCCAATAACAACCTCATCGTCACCATCATAATCAAAAAAGGAAAAAAAAACACACTCAGCCGTAACATCATCACCACTAACTGCACGACGAAACCCATCATCAACAGCACTACCGCCGGTCTTTGTGGTGATCACTCCAACTGCAATTGCAACGTTCTTCAGAACCCTCACCACCAGTGCTCACGAGTGACGCCACTTATATCACTGCTAAACAAACCTCTGAATAACACTGTCTCCCCGATAAATACTCTAAAACTCGGAGCCACTTTTCAGACTCTCCTCTCTAAACTACATAACAAGCTTTCAAACAAAACAAAGCGCAGGTGTCGAAAAATATTTATTAAAGGGAATCAAACAATATTAAACCTAAAAAATTAAATAAAACTTACATCGCACTGCATTTAAATAGATATTACTGTTTTGTTGTAAAAAAAAATTAAATTTACTTCTCAATTTCCTCTTCATACAGATTTTTCGACATGTGATGTAATCCTTAAACGAACGTCTGTCAAGGTTTACATTTCTTAAAAGAAAAATGTCTCTTTTTCTTCCACCGACTGTCTTCACCTTTAAAAACCATTTACCATCAAGTCCCACTTACATATTAAATCATGAAACTTATTAAAACTGATCTATAAAATGATTTCACGGGTTCTGCATTATACCAATCTATGCAAAGTACTAAAAGGCTCATAAAAAAATGAGAAACTTCCCCCCTCCTTTATAATTCAGTTTCCATGTTTACATTTGAATCTTCTGATCACAAAATGTTGCTCTTCATGGCTCTAGAACAACTTATCAACCCGGTTTACACTTCGACTTTCCAAGTTTAACATTAAATACATTCATACAATCATCTTAGACTAACCTTTTGACATTCAGAATCAACCTTTTTCAAAGCCTTTCGAGATTCCTTCCTCTGTTGTTGTTCTACGCATGCACTAACGTCTTCGTTGTCCACAAGGGAAGACGTTGAAAGGTTACCACAAGCAGCGACACTAACACAAGTTTCTGCTTCGTTTTCGATATCTGAGTTAGTCTGGAGTAACTTGGCATGAAAATAACCATCATCTGCAAGTTCACGTAAACTTTGCGGCGAAACTAACTCTTCTGTAATTAAGCTTGAGTCAGATATGTTTCTCTGGTATCCACCTGTTACATTATTTCGAATAATTGGGTCAACCTTAGATTTATTCATCGCAGTGTCAGTCTTAATCGGGACATTGGAGAAACACTCTCCATTTACTTGATCTCCCATGCCAAAGCTGTTAGCTGGCACTTTATCATCCTGTTCTTCCCAAGTATCGTCTGCTTCTGATGTACCTGATACAACAGGACTTATCGTAGTTTGTCTCATAGCAATGTCAGGTTCATTCTTACTAATCGCACACAATTCCCCATAAAAATGCTTTTGGTTTTGAAAGCTTTCAGGAGAAACTTTGTTGTCCTTTACAAAACTGCCACTGCCCTCGTCTGGCGTTCCTAACACAAAAAGGCCCACCTCAGATTGTCCAATCCCAATGTGAGGGTCATTCTCAAAACTTGATTTAGATTTTGCATGGTTTGTATTTTCGTTTTCTTTGCTTTCAGCAGCCACATTGTTATCCTTATCGAGAGTATCACCATCTTTATCGAACGGGGATGAAACCGCAGATACTGGCCGTTGTTCCAAATCAAATTTTGATTTTCTGTTACAGTTTTCGTCCACTTTACCATCACACCCTTCTACCTTAGATTTCCTAGCAGGATCCACAAGTTCTTCGGTGCTTTGCGAAGGAACACCTGACCCTTTCTGAACCAATTCCAAGGAAGTACTCGCGTAATTTTGACCCACACTGCTCCCTAAACTCCCTGCGACATATTTTAACAGGGGTGAACTGGAACTAGAGATCCATGATCCAAAACTATCCTCGTCAACTGGTCGCTGTTTTGTCAGAGATTTAGTTCTCCTCTGTACAAATGTCGCTCTGGGCGATTTTTCTTCCACTGCTCTGCAAATCATTTCAGGATCCAAAAGAGCTTTCAGTGGCCTTACCTGGCTAACAAAAGTACATTCGATAGTGGAAAATTCCTTCGCATTCAAAACAGGCGAACAAGAATTTGAACTTGTTGCGTCTTTGTCGGGAAACATTTCTTCAAAGCCACTACTTTCCCCGCTATTTTCTCTTGTCAAGCGTTTGTCTGATGCCTTGGAATTATATCCGCTTTCTTCATCTACAAACGATGACGATTCTTTTTCGTTAAAATCCTCATTTCCGATTTCTTCGAGTTCAAAAGAATCTTGTACAGCAATATTTGCAACTTTCAAGTGCCATGGCACTGCTACGTGAGGAGAAACATCTGTTACCCCTGGATCAAAATCCACGACTGCGTTCCCTGGTAATTCATCCATATCACTGTAATCACTCGTAATTGACGCAAGTTTATCGCTGTCTGTGCTGTGATGGCTCGAATTCACTGCATCTACACTGCTTGACGAACTCGTTGCATAATATAAAAATGTACCCTCTCTAGCGGGAATGCTCTTGCTTTCTTCAACGTTTAAATTTGCAATGATAACCGCCTCTTCTCGATTGTTTTCAGTATAATTGGTATCGGTGGGCTCGTTCGAATCAAAGCTTGTTTTCTCGCTTACAATAACCGAAGGAACATTCAAGACTAGTTCCGAATCCTGATTCGGTTGTTCTAACGACTCCTCTCGTACAATGATCGTGCCTTCTTCGTTAGAGAGTTTTCTAGAAATTCTCGTCCTAATTGTTCCACTTCCAACCGAAGACACTTCAAGTTCTTCTGTAACTGGTTCAAGGTACATACCCTTTGTCACGTGTTGTGGTTTGTTGAGTCTAAGGTGCCTCATTAGATCAAACGAATCCTCGGACGTTTCTTCAGGCTCAGAGATAAGGGGCACAGAGCTAAAGGGCCCCATGCACAACGTGTTTGTTGGCTCCGTGTGACACGTGATAAACCTGGAGGGGATCCTGCTGGAGCCTGGGTCCGACCATACCGAAGACTCTTGGGGCTGCAAAAAAACGATAGGGAACAAAAGCTGATGAGAGATTGGTTTCTCTTAACCTAAGTGACGTAACAATAAGATCCGTTGCTTCTTGTGGCTCAAAGGAGATGTAGTCTTTTGGTAAATTGAATACCGTTAAGGTATCAACTTTTGTGCATTAGACACTCACAAATTTAACGTTCGATGATACGCCACCCGCGCACAAGCATCCGATCCAATTTTTTCACGCGTTAAACTGAATCCGCTGTGATAAATACGTGTAGACGCCGTCACGCACAAACACTAGCATGGCATTTCCAAGAGACCCGAATTAACATGTTGATGAGGTTAAACCAAGGCATAAAAATTTAGTTCGGGAATATTCTGTTTGCTCACTCAAAATGTCTAAAAGCGAATTTCCGTAGGTACCAAACTCATCTACGCATGGAAATGTGCAATTTTGTTCATCTTGAGAATTTTACATTAAGCGAACGTTGCAAATTGTGTGAATTCCTTCCTTTGTCCTTGTTATTACAAATCAGAATTGTTTTGTGTCTTTTTTTATTTCATCAAACTGAATTATCTAACGCAGAATAGCTTCAGTTGCCTGGTTACTCTTCTGTACTTTCAAACTATGGTCAAACACTGGTCGAATTATAAACGAGCACGTTTTTAAAAAGCAAAAAGGAAAATGGCCGAAACATTTCGTAATTTCGTACTAAATATTTACATATTTAGTAAGTTGAACAAGAAATGTTTAGGACCAGATTAAGCCTGCATGAGTTTTGAGAATAAAAAAAATCGATATGCCTGACAAAGCAAGTTAGAATAATTATAAACTACACATTCAAAACCTGAATGTTAGTGTCTACTTGGGCAATTCCTTTTGCAGAAATTTATTCACAAATGTAAAAACAAGCACAATCTTACGTCGAAACCTGAATATCAGCAGCTACGTAGGAAATTTCTCCTGCACAAATTCATTCACTTTTTCTCGGTGTTTACCTCATTACCAGCAATATTTCTATTCCCTTTAACAGTAAATCGATAAAAAAAACAATAATAAAATAAATAACGACAGAAAAATGGAAAATCAGTGAGACTACTGCTTTTCCTGCGGTCAAAATATCCTCAACCGCTTCTCGAGAGACGAACTACTGACAAACTAGACCAGCTTAAAATCTATATGTCAACGTACAAGATCCTAACTAGAAGAGCACACTGCACGATACTAGCAGTGTATATCACCACAATTTTAGAATTTACGCTGTTCAACAGCATTAAGGAACTCTTCAATAACACTACCTTAATTAAGGACAAAACTTCTAGTTTCGATCTCTTATATATTTTGGTTTCACCTTTCTCTTTTTTTTTTTTTAACCCGTCCCGGATCAACTTCTAAAATACTGATTCACAGGTGTAACACATACCCATACGAAACTGGTAAATATCCTACGAATTTCCTGCGGCGACTCTAAAGAACCTTGTTGGCTTTGGAAGTTGATTTGCGAAAAAAATAAAAAAACGGCGATTGACTGCCGTGCACCTGGATATTAGTAATTAACCCAATTCAATAGAGCGCATTTTGATTAAGTGTTGCTCGGTCAAAGTGATCACAACAGCCAATCAGAACCAAGGAAATATTACAAGCAGCCAATGAGAACTCAATGTGGAATGACGCAACTTTCCTGCGTGGGAAAAGCGAATGAACAGGTCGCAATTGGTTTTTTACTTCTGATTTGACGCGAGGATGGTTCTTATTTTGAGGACCAATCATAGACCGAAGTAAAGCAAAAGCAACGCATTCCTGGGATACTTTCGACATTCGATTGGAAATTGATCTGAATGAAATTTTCTTCACTTACCGATGATCCATACAAATCGTCCGTCTCAAGACTTCTTCGAAATGAATTCACATCGATTCCTTGCGCACTGGAGGCCGACTGAAAAAATCTTTCTGGAATACGCATACGCAGTTCTGTGTCGGCAAATCCCAGATCACTGAGAAATTCTTCCGGATCAACGGTCATTGCGTTCAGCAGTGAGCTTACATCGTGGGAGGTCCTTCATATAAAGGAAAACAAAATTAACGAGTCAAGAATTTTCCTGGTTTGAATATTAGTCCCGTATCGCCACAGCTAAAGAAAATTTTGCATCTCTGAAACTATAGTGCTGAAAAACCCAATTTCCTTTTGTATGATTTCATAAATTATAATTTTTCACCGTGAAATTCCCAGAACTGTCAATAGATTACTAGCTTTAGAACTGTTTTCTCTCTGATCTCATCAGAGAGAAACATACAAAGGTTGCCCATTCAATTCAAATCAGTCTCAGAGGCGTACTGCATATTGTGCAGTAACCGTAACTCACCTTTTTAACGCTCTGAGGCCTTCTTGCTCACTTAGTGTGACTACCTAAAGGCACACAGTTGATCACCCGGGGTAACCAAAAATACGGTTACCAATTTCCATTAATTTTCATTGTGTGAATAATCTTTCGTATAAACATAATACATTAAACATCTCAAGACAGCCAGCAAACTGCGATGTTAACGAAGTAATTCGCCCCGTAACATAACAAAGAATACCTACAAAATTTCCCAAAATGCCATTTACGCCGCAGAAGTTAGCGTTTGTGTCCCTTAGATAACGCGCCGCAGAGGACACACAATCTCTCAAAGGGAACTTTCAAAGTTGAATGCTTTAGTATTTCCACACGAAAACAATTTGAAATGAATGCCACAAAATAAACAAAACGGTGAACAAATTTTTGACAATAAACCACCGGTAATATTCTGACATGGAAATTTATAAACTTTGTCTTGTGGTTAACTCGATTTCAAGAGTATAACATGTCACTGTGCAATTCTAAATATAGTCAACTTAACCGCTACAAGGCCACTGAAGTGAATACTCGCTTAAAACGAGGCATTTTGCTTAGTCAGAAATCCGATGAAGTTCAATCTTTATTTGTCAGTTTTTAATCTGCGTACATACCAGATACAAACGTCCTTGCATTCAATTAAGCTGACTTATCTTTGAGAGATGAAGTTACACTTTGGATGCCTAAAAAATAATTTGCTGCGAACAGGAAGCTTCCACCCTAATCTCAAATACCTGCATTTGAAATTAATTTTGTTAGGGTGGGTTGAATGGGAGGTGATGTGGTAACTACACAACAACTCTCTTGTTGTGTCTTGAAGAGAGGGAAAGAAATAAAGAATCAAAGAAGCAATAAATTTGACCACGAAAAAGGGGCAATAGACCAGTTAGCTTTAGTGGATTAATATCAGTATCTAGGTAACTGCCCACCCACCCCTCCCTTAACCCAACAACAGTCAGTTGATAACAAGTTAGGGTTAATGTTGGGTTAGGGGAGGGGTAGGTGAGCAGTTGCCCAGATACTGATATTGATTCACTTTAGTTACTGCTTCTTAATCCTTTTCCCCAAAGAATGACAAGCATCTAATTTCTGTTTATCCCTCATCCCTTACAACCTCCTCATCCCTAAATCAAACCCAAAGGTCAGGAGAATAAAGGAAATGATCACCAACTGAAGAAGCTCTTGATCATTAGACAAATTCTCCTTCCAGGCTCCTTAGGAAAAGTATAGAGAGTGGTATAGAGAATGTGAATTCTGATGTCAAGGTGTAAAGGGCTAATTTCAGGGTAGTAATGAAGACTATTAAAGATTATATGGCAACACTTACCGACTGAAATCAGAAACATTTGACAAAATGCTGTCTGAACTGTTGGCTCTTCCAATGTTACAAAGTTTTCTAGACTCTCTGTTTCTTCCTGGGGGCCCTGTGCTATCACTAGATGATTCAAAAAAGCACCTTGTGAAAAAAGCAAAAAACAACACATCCATGGTTACAACCAATTACAAAAAAACTATCCACTGATGGTTTTTAAAGTGCTTTTTATTCAAATTCACAGAGCCACAAAACTTAACCGGCTTCAACTCCCAAGATCTCCTTATTATTACTCCCCTCTACCTGCTACACATCTCTTTGAAAAGAACTTATGAGAATTTGGTGTTAGATCAAGATAACAACTTCTACCTGATAAGTTTCAGTATTCTCATTACCTGTTTGCTGGATAATGTATGGATATTATTGGGAGAAGTTACCTGTTAATCACTTCTGGGAGTTAAAGGGTTAATGAACCCACCCCAACTCCACAGAAGGGTTATGACACATTCACTTACCCAGCAGATTTGCTTGAGCCTCCAGGTGAGGTTTGTGGTATTTTGTCCTTGTAAAAGATCTGTGCATCAGTGCCAAGGGATAAGTCATCCTCTGGATCAGACACCATTAATTCAACCATTCCTACAAAGTGAAAACAAAACTAAAATTGGAAGAATTGTATTTTTGTCAAGTTCCTGAATTTTTCATGAAGCATTCAATTTGATCATGAAGCTTGGCTTGGTGCCATCAATGTCTCGATTTTTATCAAAACTAATTTCTCTCTTTTTTTTTGGGCAGAAATAACAGCTGGTTTATTAAGAAACTTTAGTTGGATTTTGGAATAAAGGCTGTCTATTTGGTTGCTGAAACTCTTTCTCTTCCCAGATCCACATATCAATTCTCTATACTGTTTACCAACCATTTCTTATAATTTCAGCCCTGAGAATTTAGTATTAAATCAAATATCCTTCAAGTGATGTTTTTCATCAATGTATAGCAAGGTAGTCTTGATATAAATTTACGCATTCTGATGAGTACTAACCATTTCCATGGAAATGGTCATGGGCAGTGTATTTTAGTTCACAAAAGCAAACAAATTCAAAATAAACAAGTTTGCTCTGATTGCCATATAATAAGGAACTTACTAAGTTCACTTGCTTGAGCCATAGTGGGGAATATCAACCCTCTGTTGTTTTCATATGGACCTCGCTGTGCTTGCCCCATACTACCACAACCTTAGGCCAACATAAAATATACTATATCACTGAGAATTTAAATGAGTTGTGCTGTATTTTTACGAGCCCCTAGTGCGAGTCCAAATACAAACAATAAGTAAAAATACTCAGCGATACTACACACCAAAAACTCTCAGAAGTTGTTTATTATCCAACTCCTTTTTTTTCTGCTAAGTCTTTTTTTTCATTTCTCATAAGGTGGGAAAAGCAAAGCAGATGGAGAAGCATAGTGTATGCAGCCAACTGGTTAACCCTTTAAATCCTAACAGTGACTACCATCTAATTTCTCCCTACAGTATCACTCCTGAATCATACATTAAGGTAATGAGAATAAACAAAATGGTCATCAAGGAAGGAATCTTTAGATTTGCGAATAAATTCTGTATAAAAATGTAAAATGTATAAATGTATATATAATGGAAATGTATAAAGAAAAGTATGTGAATGAAAGTGAACCTCGCAGTAATGTGCACTACTTAGGCAGTAGTGAAAATAAGGCCTGAAAAAAATTCAGGCCTGTACGGGATTTGAACCCATGACCTCTGCGATACTGGTGCAGCACTCTACCAACTGAGCTAACAAGCCAACTGAGAGCTGGTCATGAAGTTGGTTCTAAATAAACCCATGAAGTGATGAATAAATGGTTAAGAATATATGAAAGTCATATATTTGAACTGCGGATAAAGACGTGAATGAAAGTGAACCTCGCAGTAATGTGCACTACTTAGGCAGTAGTGAAAATAAGGCCTGAAAAAAATTCAGGCCTGTACGGGATTTGAACCCATGACCTCTGCGATACCGGTGCAGCACTCTACCAACTGAGCTAACTGAGCTTTAAACTCTTGAAACTCTTGAACTCTTTCAAGAGTTCAACCGAGCTTTAATCTGTTACACTCAGCTTAGAGTGTAACAGATTAAACAGGTTTTTTACAGTACAAAATAACCAACTGTTCAAATAACCATACAACATTGCAGGATATTTGTACACTATTTGCAAAAATTTGTACTCTACTTTCTGCAGTTGGGTAATAATCTCCAGTACTGCCCTCACCCTGGGTTAATAAGAATTTATCATTCTCATCACCTTTCTGCTTGGAAAATTTATCAATACTGTAGGCAGAAATTCCTTTTACACACTCGAGGTTGTAAAGGGGATAATTTTCAGCCCCCATATTAAAGGTTAAAATCTAGTCTCCGAAAACATGACATGAGCAGATGATCCAAATCCTCACCATGTTCAGTTGGCAGGTGCAGTTGTTCATCAGCTCCATCTATCAGACCCTGCACTGGAATATCCTTCACATCACTACTACCAATGTGCATGTCTAGACTTCTACTTGAGTCCATCAGCTTCAAATTTCTATTTGGAGATCAGCGAAGACCACCATCATGAATCTTTTGCCTAATGGTCATTACCTGAAGAACAGAAAAGTACCCCAACATTTCAAGAGTTTTAAACATAATTTTAACCTTACAGTTTGGTCCTAATTTTAACAACAATCATTTATTTATTTAAATAAATGCAATATTATAGAAAGTCTGGCCTTATCCAGCTCTAAAGCAAGTTTAAATGGAGGCCTGTTTAAACATCAACAAGGCCAGACCACAACACCAAGAGCAATGTTCCCTATTCTTTGTGAGAAGTGAATGGGTTCTTCAATGTCCTGACTGCTAACCAGTACAGAGAAGATACCATTTGCGGACGTCATAAAGCATATTCTTCTCAGTTATTTCATGACCTTAAATGTTGGTCTGGTCTGAGTCTTGGACCCTCGAGATGAAAATTAATGGGAAGGTTATAAAATATATAAACCCCTTTCTGGCTTTCTGGTATGTTGGCTGATAATGTCCTTGGAAGAGACATTGTTCTCAATATTTGACATTTTTCCCTGTTTTTTGGACAATCTCTCAGCTGTGGCTAAGTTATCAGCTGACATATCAGTTGCCTGTTGGGGTTTAGTTACTATAAAGATGCACAGCAACATGGAATCTATTCTTTCTATTTGGGATGGTTTTCTTTGATAGCACATGCTACTAATAAAGATTCATGATGCAAACATTTGGGTTGAGGCTATAACAATAAGTTAAGGTGAAAAAAAGCTTATTTTAAAAATTCAACAAAAACCCAGCAGTTACATCTACAAAAACCACTAAATAACTGACAACCCCAAAGGTGCATATTATTATTAATAGATCTTTAGTTCTGCGCTCATCAGGATTAGTTCATGAGCATGTGCATATATTTGCTGCTTACATAGATGGCCCAGTAATTTATACCAGTATACTTCCTACAGTATTTTGTCATACAAGAAAGCTATAGAAAGCACAGCCTATGTTGATCATCTGGACTTTCATAAAGATTTTATCTTGATAAAAGGTGACATCATTATTGCCTTGGTAATACATATGTAGGTGATATTCAAAACTCCTTACTGAGGCCATTTTGATCACAAAGACAAGAAGGAAAAGTTTTAAATAAGCTTCCATTTGGTTACCTGCATACAGTGGTTATGTAACAAGCTTCAAAGTTGTTAATATATCGTGTTGGAGCTTAAAGTTGAGGGTAAATCAATATTTGCATAAAACAATAATAATGCACATGAAATATTGCACATAGTTTCTCTTCCAGTTTATTCTATTAGCAACGAGATTTAACTCTTTTTGGAGGCATGTTATAATTAGAGATTTTTCAAAAAGGCAACTTTACAAAACAAAATTCAGTTCAGATCGCAGACATGGCTTGCACCTGTAAATTGAGATATATCCTAGAGGCCAATATGACAATTGCTAAAAAACAAAAAAAACACAAATTATAGTTCCTATCAAGCTGTCGCGAGCTTATATATTTTTCATTCATCGTTTTAAATCAAAAGGCTAGTATTCTAGCCAATTTGCGTCCTTTTAAACAGCAAGAAAGTCTTACTAATGTTCCGCATTGTCTTTACGAGTCATGGCAAGAATGTTTGTAATCTCATGTAAATTTCCTCAACATATGAATACCTCGTATAAAATTAGTTACTGTTAACAATAAAAACATGAAATATTATTATTGACCCAAGAATGACTTCAACACGAATTTCGCACCGTGAAATTACTGAACAGAACAGCGCAAACTAACTAGGAATTAATTTTTCCTGTTTAAAAGTTTCGGGAACAAGATCTCGGACTAATCTTTATATCGTAATTGATAAATTTAGATCAAGTAAACAACGTGGCTTTCCTGATGATTCACCCGTGTAACTAAATGTAGCTTAGAAATAAAAGAACAAAATTATACGGAGTGAATATCAGATTTATCAAATACATAATTGGATTCCGAGACGACAAAAAAAAATAATAACTTATCTGAATTATTAAAGGAAAGCCAAGTTAAGCGACTTATCATTAATGTTCTCGATTTTCGGTTTGACGTCGCCTTGACAAAACAAAAACACAATGTGTATCTTTACCGAAAACATGTCAATGTTTTCAAATCCAAAAGCACAAATTAATTGCACTGTATTCTACATCCAGACAGACAATACTCACCAAAGCTTTAAAACAACAACGCTGTTCATTCCGAAGTCGCCGGGCAGAAATTATGCGAAACAAAGACAGCAATCGACGCTTTCCACCGAGATGTTCATTTTACTTTTTTCCATGTTAGCGTCAAACTATCACGAGACGAACAGGCGGTTAAAAAAACAAATTTTCTACATTTCCTGTGTGAGAATGGTCACTGATAGTCTGCTGTGCTCCTGCCTTATCCACTCGCTCTTGTATATATTTACAAATACCTGTAATGACTCCACATGTCCGCCTACAGTTTAACGAGACAAAACATGTTTGTCAAGGAGTCTGGAACGACTCCTGATAGGCTCGCCTCTATCTCCCCTCCCACGCCATTTTACACCCCCCTACCCCGCCTCCGCTACCGACGCATTATTTAGGACGACAGAGCGGCAATGAGTAAAGAAGTTCGTAACACAACTCTAACAAGATTTAATCTATTTTTATAAGATTTTCAACAATTCCTTACTCTTTCAAGGACGTAGCGGAGGCTAGCGTAGTTTTTTGTGTTTCTGTTTTTCACTCGAACTAGAGAAAAAAAACGTCTTGAATATCTCGCACTAGCTTTGGGGAGCATCGCTACGTGATATTCGATAGAAAGGCTGTCAAATGCAAGCGTTCGGCGCACAGCGGTTTCCGTAACAACGGTTTATCGTAATCATCGTAAGTACATTAGTCCTGACTTGTTATCAGTTGAGTGTTGTTATTAGGGGAAGGAGTAGGTGTGCAGTTGCTCAGATACTTGCATCGTTTATAACTACACTTAAACAGCCTATTATATAGGAGCTAGATACGTCGCAAGCAGCTGGTTTGCGTCTCTATATGACATCACATTCTAGTTTCCAGAGTCCTAGTTGGTCGGAGAAACAGTAGGTGAAAACGTGTGGCTCTGGCGCAAAAAAAAGGTTATCGAAAACTAACATTACATTGATAAGAATAATTACATCAATATACAAGAAAATAGCTGTTATTCAACACTTTATTGATATTACAGCATATCACGCTTTATGACAAGACAATCCTGTACACAAAATTGGCATTTGCGCCCCCGGCGCAGGAGCTGGAGCCCTCGGTACAAGTTTGGTTGAGGTTCTGGAAACACTGGTCGGATGCGCCATACTTGTCGTAGTTTTTATCAGCATCGCTGGCACTCCAACATTCTCCTACAGAGATTAAAAAAAAAGTGGCAAATTAATTGCTTAACTCAGTGTGTGATTCCTTTCCTTTTCCATTTTTGACTAAATGGTGAAAGTGACAATATGGTTTTGCAGATTACCACAGTTAATGGCTAAAAAGAAGCTTGTCAAATAACACGACTCGATTTTGCGGAATCTTTCCGCGTTTGGTACAGCTGGCTAACTTTTTCCGCGTCCTGTCGTTCTTATGGATTTTCCCGCCCTTGAGGCGCGACGCCGAGTGCCAATTTTTTTTTAATGTCTTGTCAACGTTCCGTCGATTTTCCCGCCTTTTCAGTGATCGTGGAACTAGAAATTTCCAGAATTTTCTCCGGCGAAAAACATTTTTGTTTTCCACGCTAACACTTTTTCACTTGCGAAATGCTTTCCCGCGCTTGATATCATATACCTTATTTTACACGTTTTGAGATGGTAGATCGTTTGAGTTTCGTCTATACTTTTCATTATTTGACGAACTTTTCTGTAACTTGCTTAATAACTAAACTCACCATGTTCGTGAACACCAAACATGGTGTACCGTTTAAGATGAGCTGCCCTCGCACATCTGCACAGGAATTTCTTGAAACCTTCCTCCCAGTTGTTCCCAAATTCCATGATTACTCCGTTAAATGCCCGACTAAAGGGCTTCACCTCATTCACAAGTTCTTTAGTGAAAGCACGATTGGACGAGACTTCACCATAACAACCAACAGCTTCATATGATATCTCGCACCCGGCATCTGGAAAAAAAAATAACCCGGATGTGTAAGAGATGAACATCCCCGGATGTGGGTTTTGCCTTGTCATTCCGAAAGCTTTCTACTTAACGAACTGACATTTTTCTTATTTGACTTTCCGTCACAACGTCTGATTGTTCACTTTGTGGAGGTAATTGTGACTGGCTATGAATAAAGAGCGCTTTTCGACTGAGTTTCGTAAAACCAAAAGCAGAGTTATAACAACGACTAATCAGCTCGATAGCAAATACTTCGAAAAGACCATAGGACCTTAAAAAATACAAGCTAACTGCCTAAAACACGGGGAAATGTGGGTGACCAAGTCGCATGCATCTGTTTGGTTGAAAGGGTGACGCGATCTTTTTCGACCAATCACAGAGCGAAGTAAAGAAAAACAATCGTAATCGTGGATTACTTTGACATTCCATGAAGAGTGGCTATAAAGAGATATCACATTAATAGAATCATTACCCTGACTAACCTGAAAGGCGATAGACTGCATTGGCAAAGTCTTTCCCTGCACAATACTTTTCGAAGGGCTTGCATTTCTCAAAACACTTGTCTTCACAATTTTTCGACACGCCCAGCTTATTATAGGTTTTTTCTGAGTCGGGACCACTCCAGCATTCTCCTAAAAGAAGCAAATTTTACGACATGAATCAATGTCCACAGACTGGACCTTCAGAGTAACCATTAACTTCAATTTTTTTTAGCTGCCCTATGAACACAAGCTTGTTAGTCTTACGTACCATAATACTGTACTCCAAATGTATTGTGGCCTTTCTCTTTAGCTAATTCTGCGCAGCGACAGACAAATTTTGGCATATAAACATCCCAGTTCCTCCAATCTATAGACTGTCCACTGTAAATCTTTAGTCTGCGCTCTCTGTCTGTCATTAGAAACTCAGGGAAAGGGCGCGGACTCTTCTTGTTGTCTCTGAAGCAGCCGATCCTCTCAAAATCTAAGTCACAGTCGGATTCTAAACATATGGAAACAAAAAGTTACAGAAAGCAGAAATTCATTTTGATGACGTCGGTAGGCGCGTCTTCCATCTATATAGGATGTATGCTTGCGGAGACTTCCTTGAGAGCCTGGGCGCACAGGCAAATCTTTGTTTACTTTGCGTAAAAAACCTGTCAATAATGGCTTGAGACAAGTACACCCGGTGATTTTTTTCCTATTAAATTTTTTCAAGCCTTACCAATGTTCTAAGATGCCATCGTCCTGGCTCGGAGCAAGAAAAATTTTAGTCAGGCGTAAAATCTGATAGATTTCCCAGTTTACGCGCCATGATTTAGAAAATAACGTCAATCAAAAAAATTTGATTCGCATTTTAAATGAAAGTCTTTCAGTACTGTTCAATTTGTGCGTCTTTGTGATTGAAATTGTGGTTAACAAGTATTTCGCTCTTTTTCGGTGCACCTACGATTAACAAATAGAAAATTTTTAGGAGACAAATTCTGTCGAGAGTTTTGGTGGAGTCAAACACATTTTGTCAGTTCAGTGCGCACCGACCCTTTAAATATCAATAAATCGCGCTTTGTTTCTTGTTAAAGGATGTGGTAAAACATAGTAGAAAACTTCCCTGTTAGAAAACGCCTCAATTTGTTTTGGAGACAAACAAACGAAATTTATACTTGCTCTACTTTGAGGCGGTAATTAGTCCTAAAATGTAAACACGCTTCTGATGGCTTAATGAATAAAGAAAGCTTTTCATTTTAGTCTAACAGAAGTTCCTCACCAAGTTCAAACACAAAGTTAGTCCATTGTTCTCCAACACAGTGTCTGTCTAACTTGCCACACTCGTTATAGTCATTTGAGATACAGGTCGATTCCGGCGTCATACTTTCCAGGTCATAAGAACCTTCAGGTCCACTCCAGCATTCCCCTAAATATTGACATATTGATTATTTATTACTTATCATTAATTCATTAATCTGATACTACTATGTAATATATAGCACCCCATAAAATGGCGCTTTTTACGGGGAGTTGTAATGAAAGGTTATCCAACTTGGACTGAAAATCTCGACTTTGAATCGAAATATGATGTCCAGGTTCACGCTTCGGTTGGCACAGTTTTGAGTTCTAGTGTACATTTCCAGCCATTGTTAGACTAGGCAAGATGTCGATCGAAAGCTAATAAATTAGAAAAACTCATTATTTAGAATTGTACTCGGACAGTTCAAGTCTTATTTCCACACAGGAGTAGACATAGGAATCAGTTAACTGTTGGGAACACTTTCTAGGGGTAAATGTTAACTTGCGATGGACTTACATTTGCCCTCTGGGAGAGGGGGGTGTGGGTAGCAGTACTCTCAGTCAATGGGGGAGGGGGAAGGGTAATGGATAGCATGCTCTTGGATTTTTTTAAGCAGCTGAAACCATGGTGACCTCTGAGTGAGTTAATTTGCCGGGTATGTAGTCTTTACCAGCAATGATAAATCGTGAAGCAGTCTGAAAGCCGTACACAATATCTTTCTTGATAACAATGCAGTGTTAGTATATGAAATGACATATTTTGTAATTTAAATCTGAAATGCTCTTACCATAAAACTGCAAACCAAACACAGTCCATCCTCTTGCCTTGACAAGTTTAGCGCATCTACAAGCAAAACCCTCTATGTAACTATTCCAGTTTCTCCAATCAATACTTCGGCCTCCATAGACTTTACTTGAGGGGTCTCGCTCGTTAACGACTTGTACTTTAAATACGCGTGATGGGCTGTCTCCATAGCAACCACGACCCTTATATGGAACTTCACAGTTACTGCACTTCCATGCTTCACCTACACGTTGAAAACAAAAGACTAAGTTATATTCCTTTGGGTTTTCATACTGTGGTTTCAGCATTTTAGATCTCCTTCACGAAGATGCACGCAAAGAACAAATTATATCAACCGCATTGGTCCAATCACAGTCAAAGTTTTTAAGCGCGCATGTTTGAAACGTTTCACGCAACGTTGATTTGCACACCCTTATCTTACAAGCAAATGCTCTGTTGTGACTTGTATAACACCGCCTCCACTTGGGTGATTAATGGAACAAGAAAAGCCAAAATCACTACGAAATAAGCAAAACGCGCATCCTTTTTTCTAAATATGCTAATCTAACAGTATCTCAGAGGCTCCTCCTTTAATGAGAGCGGTCTTGTAACATATTAGTTACACTATACTGTGCACAAAAGATACAACTAGTTTAAAAGAAAGATTTTTTTCCGTTGGAATAATCCCCTACATAGTTTTTTAATAACTTGGTTTATCACCTCGAAATTAAAATTGGCTCAGTTCTCGACCTGTGATATCTAGATCTTTGCAATTCTGAATGCAAGCTTCCGGAGATAATTACTTGCGAATAGGATTCAATAAAAGGCGCTGTGCCAACAAATTCAATCATGAAATGAAATTATAATCAAATATGAAACTGATCCCGATGAAAGGTTTAACCACTAAATTACGCGCAAGCACGAAAATACACATCAGTAAATCACACGAAATGTCATGCTAAAGAAAACTCAAATAATTAAATGCAAGAGACGGCAAAGCAAATGCTAATCTTGTTGCGCCTGTGGGTATTTGAAACAAAATTATAGAGTTTACGAGGGGGAAGTGTGGTCCTCTTAGAACAAACAACTTTTAAACACTTGTCTGTTCCTAATATGGCAATATTCCGACATCATTTTTTGCGTGATATTTTTTGCATCCACATGGAAACTTTAGACTTTCAAATTATATCGAAAAGGAAACCAAATAGACAGTGTAAATACTTTCGATTGCACACTAAAATTAACGCATTGATCATCGACCGACAGGCAAAATCGATCGATATTTTGAAAATTTTTTCCTAGTGGTCGTAATATAATATAAATTTATTTCATTCTATTTTTTTCAAATAATCTCCTTTAATTGGGTAAAATCCGCCGATCAGATATTTTCTTCTAAATATATTAACACTTCTACAAAAGGACTGTTTAAGTGGCTTGAGGATAATCAATTGGTTCCGAAAAGAAATGAAACTTGAAATTTAATCATTGTTCCTGATAATAATGCTGTGTTACATCGTTAAATGATCAAAATATGACGAATAATATCCCTAAGCGCTTTTTAAAAATAAGTCTACCTTTTTTCCTCCAAAATCTTTCCATCTTTAATTAAAACTGTAACTTTGTCAAAGATCTTTAAATCAAACCTGAAATATGTATGAGTGAGTTATATGAAATACTAAGAACTGTGTCTGATAATGAAAAACTGTAGTTATAGTAATATCTTTGTTTCACGCAAAGAGTTATGATTACAATTTTTTAAGAGGCATGCTGTCGATTCCACGTTTGGAATGTTCCAACACTGTAAAGCTGTTGAAATGAAATAACTATAACTCTGCAAGGAGCTAGGCTGTTCCCAGGGGAAATTTTAATTTAAAGAAAGATATTTGGGTTTATTGGAAATTCATGATGTAATCAAAAAGCAATATATTTGACGCTTCTCTTTCATAGCTTTTTTTCTTTCTTTCTTTCTTTCTTTCTTTCTTTCTTTCTTTATGTTCTGTTTTGTTGCCAGGTGACATTGGTATTCGACAAAGAACACCGAACAATTCAATTTGACGAATGCAGCGATTATCGTGAAGTTGAATCGTCCCTTGCCTCGCCACGCGAAGAATTTGTCATGAAAGATGAAGCTTTCTCATTTATAAAATAATGAAAATTCTTAACTCTTGTTGTTTTATTGGAAAGTATCAATAAAAAAAAAAGCTGAAAACTGATTTTACTGTGTAACTACTCATCGATAAGTTAGAATGCGACGCGTATACGTCGAACGGTTTGAGAAATGTCAAACAGTCAATTTGGTTTCCTATCTAGAATACACAACGAAAAATGTTTTGATTAATTCAATATCAGATATTTTATTGGGGTTTCGAGCTCAAGAATTTATCTTTTAAATGCTGTTTGGGAGGATGGCTTAAAATACTCTGTCCCTTTAATATCTAGGAAGATTTCGTCGAGATAGAGGTTTTAATTTGTTTAAACAAGCTACCCCTTTCACTCAATAAAAACAGCTGATCTATCGGTTGAACTGTTTTGGCTGTTAACAAGAAGCAAGGCTAAGAATCTTCAACAGCTTTCGATCTGGGTGAAAGATGATAAAACTTTCAATGGTAGAGACGCCTATGTTAATCACTAATTTAAAAAAAACATACGGCGTGTACACAAAAATATACAATACCTTTACGACATAACTGGATCAGAGCCAAAAGCGACAACAGAAAACGAGCTGCCGTTATGATCCGAAACATAATGCACCTCTAAATTGAAATTCAACCTGTAGACACGACAGCCTTCCTGATACTGGTTCGGGAGAAGGTAAGCCTAGCATTTAATACGCCCAGGAAGAAAAATTCATTAACATCACCGCACCGTGTCAATAATAATTCCAAATTGGCAACAGATTATTCCCTAGAGGAGGGATAACTTGAAGCAAAGGACTTTATCGACAGATGTAAACACAAATTTGTCACGCGCAAGCTCTATTAACATAACTATAATTGAAAAAGCTCGGCGAAAAGGTATTTACGAGAGTGGGAGGGCGGTGTTATTAAAATGCGGGTTTTTAACTGCAACTTGTACTCCTATCTCTTCAAAATGACCGCGTATTTATATTGGCTAAAAATAAATACGTAAAGAGGGTAAGATTCTAAAGAAACTGCAGTGCTGTGTCGGTGAGAGATATTACACGATAATTTGGTTCAATCAATTGTGTTGATTACGTGATATGCTGAGGTTTCGAGCGTCAGCTCTTCGTCTGATCGAATAAAGGAATTGTGGGCTGCGTATGTCTATGGGCTGCGCTAATGGTAATTTACGTTTTAAAGTCCCAGAAACGGAAGTTTGAGAGTTAACATATCAAAGAAGGTTTCTGCAGGAAAACTTTCCCTTAGGTCAAGAATGCATCGATAACCTTCTCATGGTTGGATTCAACAATTTGTCTTCTAAGTCAAATCGATTCATAGAAATTTCCTTTTTGCCCCTGATTGCCAAGTTTTGTTTTGCACGCAACGCATCCTAATAATTTTCCACGTATTATCCAGCCGAGAGTCATGAGATTAGACCAACATGTCAGCCTGAGAGTGTTGTACTGATAGACCACTAAATTCTCTCAACTGATGCATAAGGAATATACGGCAGGCGAAAGTGAGAATTACTTTTGAGCCCAAACAGTTTAATGGTTAAAGAATAAATTGTTTTAATGATTGTCCTCCGCGCATATTGGGCTAAGCAAGTGTCAATTTATTTTTTCCTGTTATGACACGAGTTGTTTAAACTATCTGCGTCATTTTTAATCTTTATTGATTTTAAAAGGAATTCAGGATTACTATTTTTCTACTAGGATGTATACAGTAAAACACTAGATGAGACTGGCATGTACTGCAACCGCAAACAGTAGTCATGCAAGAATCAGGCCTTGCTTTTACACGAAGCTGAGCCTGCACTCAAACGGCGCAGTATTTGTAGCATTCCTGGTTAAGTTAAAACTACTTACAGTCGATCACAACCCTTACAAATTCAACCCACAACGAACTTACCACCATTAAGTTAAGAAAATTTACCTAAAATACTATGACATCATTCCCTCAATTCCAGACAAATCCATTAGCTGCAACACAATGCATTTTAGTATTACAATACACACCTAAATCTTCTAATTAACACTTTCGAGACCATGGCGCTATAGATGTTAAGCTGAATGTTACACGCAAGCACTGGCTGATAAGCTGAATATTGCACGCAAGTTCTTGTTATGATCTATTGTAGGGCAGACGCATGAGGACATGGCATTATTGTTTTTGATCATATTAAACAAATACATTCCATGTTGTCATAGGTCTGTACGATAACGTCCCCTAGGAATAGATTCCAGAGGACTTCAAAATGTGGTAGGAACATTGGTGACACTGAGTGCCTCGTTAATATGAAAGCGATCTTCGCAGTAATGAACACTATTTGACCGGTAGTGAAAATAAGGTCTGAAAAAATTCAGGCCTGTACGGGATTTGAACCCATGACCCTTGCGATACCGGTGCAGTGCTCTACCAACCGAGCTAAAAAGCCAACTGGGAGCTGGTTATTAGTAGCCTTTATTTCCACTACTGCTCAAGTAGTGTTCATTACTGCGAAGATCGCTTTCATATTCACGTCTTTATCTGCAGTTCAAATATATGACTTTCAAATATTCACAGTCGTTTACTCTGTGCCTCGTGTGCCTCTTTTTTTATTCTGATTATGACAAGTTGACGTCACATATGATCCTTAATCCTTTAACTCCCAGGAGAGATGAACATGTAAGTTCTCCCTATAATAACCCTACATTATCCAGCAAACAAGTGATGAGAATGCTCAAACTTATCAGCTAGATTTTTGTTATCCTCATCTAACATCAAATTCTCGTAACTCATTTACAAGGAAATCTGTAACAGCTAGAGAGGAGAATTGACAATAAGATCTTGGTCGTCGAAGGGTTGACTAAACAGACGCACGGCAACACGGAATCTGTTTGTCAACTATACACCACACAATTGGTGTGTATTCTTCAAAGGAGGGATTAACATCTTCTTTCGATCACCGACCGAAGCAGAATTGACAGTATGTGACCTTTCCTTAATCCTTCAACTCCCAAGATCTCATTAGTAATTCTCCTTACTGTCTGCCATCTAGTTCTTGTGATGTTAGTTTGGAGAATTTGGTATTGGATCAACTAGTAAACCCCTAATTAATATTTTTCTTTATTCTCATCACTTGTCTGCTCGACATTGTATTAATATTA